TATACAGAGTTTGTAAAAAAAAGAAAGAAAGAAAAAGACAACACGTACAAACATTACAAACTCTATGCCGACACACACGGTGAACTGCGTACTCACTTGCTCGGAGTGAGGGTAACAAGGATGCAGTTTATGGGGTTATAGGGCTTTTACACGCCCGCTTGTTTGAGAGACTCGTCCCCTCTCCCCTGGCTGACTTGTGAGGTCTGCATTTGACACTGAGGATATGTGGGCGAAGTGGTGGCCCGCCGATGTGAATGTCTTTGCTTGATGTGTTCCTCAACACGTCAGATGATGCGGCTGCGAATCCGGCTAACTTTACTTGATTAAATCTCAGTGAGTTGTGAGCAACACAATGCTGCTGGAGCTCCTTCCTCGTCGCCAGGCAGTATACACAATTAATCCCACAGCAATATTCCAGCACAGGCAGGTCCCAGGGCGAATCTGCCCTGACATATCTCTTTGTTTACTGAGTCATCACACGTGACAACTAACCTTTCTGGATGTTCTTCGCCATTGAGATGCACTCCTTACTGGTCCGCGTTGCTCCCGAAGTACTGTGTTGGTTTACAAATTGGGAGATGACCTCCCATCTAAATGCACAAATGTATGCACGTACATCAAATTAACGTATTCCCAGCACGCTTGGACACTGATTCCAGGTTGTCTGCCATACATCCCAATGCACTGCTCCAAAAAAAATCAAGGTCCTGCTGTAATTCAGAAGAGTACATGCCACACTCAGGAGTTCTGGACTGTGTGTTTGTGTACAGAAATCCAGTTCTGGACTACGTGTTGTGTACAGAAATCCAGTTCTGGACTGTGTGTTGTGTACAGAAATCCAGTTCTGGACTGTGTGTTGTGTACAGAAATCCAGTTCTGGACTGTGTACTTGTGTACAGAAATCCAGTTCTGGACTGTGTGTTTGTGTACAGAAATCCAGTTCTGGACTGTGTGTTTGTGTACAGAAATCCAGTTCTGGACTGTGTGTTTGTGTACAGAATCCAGTTCTGGACTGTGTGTTTGTGTACAGAAATCCAGTTCTGGACTGTGTGTTTGTGTACAGAATCCAGTTCTGGACTGTGTGTTTGTGTACAGAAATCCAGTTCTGGACTGTGTGTTTGTGTACAGAATCCAGTTCTGGACTGTGTGTTTGTGTACAGAAATCCAGTTCTGGACTGTGTGTTTGTGTACAGAAATCCAGTTCTGGACTGTGTGTTTGTGTACAGAAATCCAGTTCTGGACTACGTGTTGTGTACAGAAATCCAGTTCTGGACTGTGTGTTTGTGTACAGAAATCCAGCTTACCTGTTGACTGTGCCGGCTGGATGCATCTTGACGGCCTTGACCAACAAAGCCGCGTCGTCATTGCCCCAACTATTCTGAGATGCTGACTTGCCGCTGGCCGCTGCCTCTGCCCGGCGCTTGGCTGCGTGAAAAACAACAACAAGAAGAAAGCGGACGTTACCAGACAACACTCAATTATGAGGAAGTCTCCACAACTCAGATATTAGATGTCCTGATAGGTAGAAGAAAACAAACATTCTAAAGTGCGTGGGAAGACTGACCTGCTGCTGCTTCCGCTGCTTGCCTAACCTCCCGTTCCTGTTGGGACTGCAGCTGGGAAACCTACAAAGAACCACACACAACAAGGAGCAATAAGACGATGCTAGAGAAAGAAAGAGAGAGAGAGAGAGAGAACAAAACCTCACAGCACATCTAGTACATGTAGCTCGTAGCTGTACTGATGAGGCCTTTATGGACGAAACACCTTGCTGTCTACAGCATTGGGTATTACGCTCCGCGGCTTTCGTCTTGTTGAGCACTCTCGGTAGGCTGCTCTAGCGCTGCTGCATCACGCATTGCCCGCTACTTTTCGTAGTTTGAGCACTCTGGCGCTAGAGCGACGAGCTATCTTTTAAAATGTCTGTGGTGCCTCCTTTGCACCATGACTGGTAGCTCGGCCTATTTAGCTCGTAGCTGTACTGATGAGGCCGTTATGGCCAAAACAGCTTGCTATCTACAGCATTGGGTAGTACATGTACTAGGTAGACCAAAGAGGATGTACTACATGACAGTCTATGCTCTAGGACTACAAGTACATACTTGGCGGTCAAATGCTCCTTTGGCATCGGCATAGTTGGCTGCGCTGACTTCAGTACGGAGTCGTTCCAATCTGAGCAAAACGCAAAGAGCCAAACACCAGGAAGAACAATTTCACCAACTAACATGTGCAGCCTTATGACAGGTTGCACGGTACAGTCTGTATCGGCTATAGAGTGACCGGATATAAGAATATATCGGCTACAGTGATATTGGTACGAAATATCAAAAGCAAAACGTATTTTATCCAGTACAAATATCACTATAACCAATATTATCGGATGTAATGATATATGGGATATTATGATGGCAACAAAGAATCAAAACATGCATAACACACTATATTATTATCGGCTATAGTGATAACTTTAAAATACATGTTGCAATAATATCAAAGGCCCTATTTTTTTACTTTCTTCACGTTGCTTATTTTGATAGTGACACATGTACATGTACCGTAAAGTCCGGAGCAAACGCCCACTTCGCAGCAAACGCCCACCCCAGCGGGTCCATACTATTTTCGTCTTTTTCAGGTCAATATAGTTGTAAACAACTGGCATGAAGATCGAATGCGTACGAGAACGACTGTAATGCCTACAAACTGCCTATGTCCTACCAGGAGGCTGTGCAAAAACGATTGTCATTATCTTCCTGCAAAGAAATAACTTCTGTCGAGATTTCCTTTCATTCGATAAATGTGTCGTCTTTGTGGTAGTTCGTTCTCCATGTGGTACGAGTAATGCCGTAGAAATTTGTGCAGTGCCACGATGTCGCACTGTCAGGAACAGAAATTGTTCTGATAAAGCGTCAGTCAACGACTTGACTGGTCCCAGTACTAGTATTGCAGTTGCAAGTCGAATAGGGTATGTCACAGAAGCTACACCTACAAAGCCGCTGCTAACTTGTTGAAAACTCCGAAGTGCCCGAGAAAAACACTTGCCTTTGGGTGCTGTGTGATCTCGAAATGATGGCTTGAAACACCGTCAGAAGTGTATTTGGTTCCTTCAATACTCTGTTCTTCGGTACCTTGCTATTCGGAAGAAAACCCGGTTCGGATTTGCGAAATAAAACAACCATCATTATAAAATCACTACGAGCTAGCTCGTGGCTAGTGCCCAAAGAGATTTTGAAACCCGGAAAGTGGACATAGTTTACCGTAGCAAAGTGCTCTTCCCGCTACGGTGTGAGATGCACTTTCGTACAGTAGTGGTGACAGTGCATGGGGTCAGTGTGTACAGGCCAGCAGATCTTGCAAATATGGGGTGGGCGTTTGCTCCGGACTTTACGGTACATAACAGAATTTTTTATGGAAATGCGGGCACTGTCAACTATGCAGCATGCTCATTTTGTCAAAACGCCATGCTGGAAGTATTTCCTTGCCTTTCACGTGTCGATCGAAAAATATCGATCGTATCGCATATAGTGATGCATCGGTTATAGTGATAAAATCACGGAAATCAAAAGGGTACGCTATAGCCGATACAGACTGTATTTACATCGGTACTAGAACAAAGGCTGTGGTTGGTCACACCTTGGCAGACTCCGCCATCTACAAAATAGTAAGGCTGTGTTTACATGAGAAATTTCAACCCGGGTCGAGTTCAGCCCGGGTTGAAAGTCTGTACAATAGACAAAAGAGGTGAGCGTTTACATGAAGACAGTTGACCCGGGTCAAATACTGATATGCCGCCAAAAGTCCACTTCTACAGTCCTGTATGGTCACGTGAATCCGTTCGCGCGAAATTTGCATCTGCAGTGCCGTTCAAACCTGGCGCGAGATACGCACAGAAGTACGTTTGTACGATTTTCTTGACCCGGGTTGAAATCAACCCGGGGCGAAATTTCAACCCGGGTCAAGCGCAATGCGTCATGTAAACGCGCCATTCATTTTGTGTACATGGCGGGTTGAAATCTGACCCGGGTTGAAACGCTTCATGTAAACACAGCCTAAGTGTGTGTGTTTGGTAGGGGGGGGGCAAAATATTTCGTCAACAGTTGAATTCTGCAACTTGCAAGATTTTCAGCCAGCAAACAAATCGAGGCGGTACTGGCCATTACTGCAGGAAGCCGTGTCCTTGTCTCCCTTTTGATTGACGTGTGTGAGGATAAACCAGCTGCGTTCGTGATTATCCCCTTTGGTGACGTTTCCCGGTTGCTTCCATTCCAACGTTTCATTTTGCAAGTGAGCCTTGCTTTTGCCTTGGGCTAGCCACCTACAGCAAGTGAACTTCTTACTTAGAGTTTCACTTGAGAAGGTTTCAAAGCTACTGTTTCTGTTGGAAACCAAATACAACAAGGATGTGAAGATAGAGGAGGTGATGAAAAGAGATTGGATACAGATGTAGAGAACTGGATTTCCTAGAGCAGCACTGCAGTTTGGACTAACCTGCATCACGATTAGTTTACATACACACAGACACGCACACACGCACACACACAGACACGGCAACAGACACACACACACACACACACACACACACACGGCACCAGGGAGGGCAAGTGCAAGGAGGAGCTTACTGTGTGATACTCAGGGCTTCGCAGAGTAGCTCAACATTCTCCATGTGTGACACACGCTTCGCATCATCATCTGTGAAGTAGTTGTGACTCTGCAATGTAGATAAACACACAGACACAAATAATATGAACGTGAATAACCATATCCAGTAGCATCACAAGATGTAGGCAAACACTTGACACCACTGCCAAGCACGCTCACCTTGCAAGCAGTTCTGAAGGCCTTGCGTTCTCTCTGCATGGCTTTCTTGTTCGCTTCGCGTGTCTTTCGTGCCGCCTCCGCTTGAAGACGTGCCTCCTCTGCCTCCGCCTCCTGTTGTTTGCGCTCTGCCTCCTCTTTCTCACGTTGAACCTAAAAGCAAACAAGGGAATCAGAGTCCCCTTAAAACACACCCCTCTGCCAGCACGAGTTTCCCAATGTGCATATGAAAAGTAACTACCCTTACAAGATGATGCAACAACACACAGTCCATGGTCATGAACCCGCCTACACCGCACAGCTAACAAGAGCACACACAGGTAAAAAGCAGCACTGCAAACAAACACCCGTGCGGCGCACAGTCTTACCCGTAGTCGCTCATCAGCCGCAGCCTTCGCGGCAGCTGCCTTAGCAGCCTTCTGGTCCTCTTTCTTCCGCTTTGCTTCCTCCTTAAAGCGACGAATTCTTGGATCACACGCGTAAGCATTGTCTGCAGCAACAGAACATGATAATCATTAACTGTTATTAGTATTGGGGCCGGCCGTAAAAATTGAAAACATAGAGCATCTGGACAGTGGTTAAATTTAAGCTGAACCACCTTACCACCCCATTTCGGAACACTGTAAGTTTTTTTTCCTTTTCAACCATAATACTAATTAGGGCTGAAACAATTATGTCGATAACTAGGATATCGATCGTTATGGGCGAAATCGATAATCGTTAGCAATCGATATTTTAGCAATCGATAATCGTTAGCAATCTCTAACGATTATTGTATGCAAGTGTACGCACTACATGCACGGGGTTCAAGATCGGAGTGCAGTGTCCGATCCGAGTCTATCTGCATGCAGCACGCGTACACACGATCTACTTGCATGCACTTCTACTGAAGTCTTGTACTCGGGTGCAAACTCTGGCAGGGCAGTGAGACAGTACACGCGGGAACGCGGACCGACTGTACTGCACAACACACAATCATGACTGTACTGCATGCAGCGCAGTCCGGAAGTGTTGCAACTAACGTAACGACGTACTTACTCGCCGCTGTTCTTGCAACATGGGCGAAATGTTTGCTGATCGGTTCGTTGCATGCAGCAATGGCGATCGGCTTTTGTTCTTGGTGTTTTGCTACACCAGTCGTCAGTTGTTGGAGTGAGCTCACAGAGAAGTTGGAGAGTGTTTCGTTTTACGTTTGGAAGATGTCGATGATTAGAGCTGCGAAAGTAAGCCGCGTAAAAAGGTCTCCGGTGTGGGCCTATTTTGATGATATAGGACGGACCGCTCGTTGTAAACTGTGTAGTCGTGAGTTTGTCCCCCAGAGCGGAACAACCAATTTGTTCGCCCACTTGAGCTCTGCTCACAAGGAACAACATGCGGCTGCTGTTGGTGGAAAGCCACCAGTTTCAGCGGAGAACAAGCGGACCGATGTTCAAACGTGTGCTGATACGAAGCCAATATCTAACTTCTTTGGCGGTGCGGCCAATATGCGAACGTGTAACTCGAGTCGTGCGGGACATCTCACGGAGCTGGTTATAGATTGGATAGTTGACTCGACGAGGCCCTTCTCCATTGTCATTGACCCTGGATTCATCGAGCTATTGAAGGTGCTCGAACCAGAGTTCAAGGTGCCTTCACGAACGCACTTCAGCAGTCTCATCCTGAAGCACCACAGAACATGTAGGGATGAAATGAAGTCGTTGCTAGCGGATGAGGGTGATGCCGGAGTAGCCTTGACTACTGATGGCTGGTCGTCAACAGCAACTCAGTCGTTTGTGACGCACACCGTCCATTTTATTAATCGTCAGTGGGAAGTGTGGGGGGGGGGGGGGGCGTCCTGGAAACCAGTGTGTTTTCCGGCAGCCACACTGCTGTTAAGCTGGCAAATTATAGTGAGGAGGTGTGTCGCCGGTTTGATCTGGACAACGTTGTGGCTGTGATGCATGACGAGGCAGCGAACATGGCTTCTGCTGGCAGGTTGCTGCAGGACAGCAACGACTGGATTTCGTGCATTTGCATGGCACACCGTCTGCAGACTGTTGTTCGCCATGCCCTGGCCATCAAGGATGTCGCCAAGCTTCTGACCAGAAGCCGTAAACTTGTTGGCCACTTCAAGCATTCTTGCCTTGCTGCTGAGGCACTGTCAACCAAGCAGAAGCAGCTGAAGCCGGAACAACAGCCACTGAATGTTGTACAAGATGCCTCCACTCGGTGGAACTCCACGTTTTATATGTTGGAGCGTCTAGTGAAGCTTCGCGTCAGCCTCACTGCTGTGCTCTGTGATGAGCAAATCACTCCGAAACGCGACGACCGCGATATGCTCCTCAGGGACACCGAGTGGTCTTTGGCAGAACATCTGATCGACCTGCTTGGACCGTTTGAGATTGCCACAACAGCTGTCAATGCCCAACGCTATGTAACGATGTCTCTGCAACTTCCTATTGCAGCACAGTTGTTTATGGAGGTGTCCGCTTCAGACGCCAGATTGCCCAGAGCAGCCAAGAATGTGGCCAAGAAGTTGAAGACGAAAATGGTGCGCAAGTTTCCGGAGGTTGCGTCACCACCGCCAACCTCAACTTTCACCTTGGCCTCCGCGCTCGGCCCTAGGTTCCGGCAGTTGAGTTTCCTGGACACGGAGAAATCCGCAGCAGCCCAGGAGGTTATCCTCGACAAGCTGAAGGCACAGCAGCCAGCAACCAATGTCGAGCCTCCTGCAAAATGAGCGAAGCCGCCAGGCAGCTTGAGCCAGTTATTCAAATCTCGGCGGCAGGAAGCACCAGCTAACACCACCGGCCCACCCTCATCTGCAAAGCTGCAGAAAGAAGTGGACATGTACTTCGAGGAAGCCGAAGTTGACGTGGAGGCGGATCCACTAGTGTGGTGGAAACTCAATTCCTCACGGTTTCCCAACATTGCCGGTCTGGCGCGGAGATTCCTATGTATACCTGCAACCTCCGTTCCATCGGAACGTGTATTCTCCGCTGCCGGATTACTCGTGTCCAAGCTCAGGAATGGACTGTGTGCCAAGCATGTGGACGCATCCATCTTCCTTGGACGAAACAAGATGCTCCCGAGTGCGCGACACAGCACCAATGGCTCTACCGACACAGCTTCCAAGTCGCTGCAGGAAGCTCTTGCCGCTGAAGAAGAAGAGGACGAGCTCGCAATGCCACCCTGTTCGATCCTTGTTCCGGTGCCAGTGAGCGACGAGGAGGATGCCGACGACAGCAGCAGCAGCAGCGATGTCTGCATTGAATCTGATGACGACTGCTGAGCTCTTAATGTGCAAACAGTAGTCATGCAGCACTATGCACATATCACACTTGAGAATCTATGAACTGCGAGCTGTACTGTGTAATGTATATACCACAGAGAAATTATTTTTTACATAAAAAATTAACAATAATGCTCGTTTTATCTTTCAATTGTTTGGGTTGTTTTGAGTTATCACTTGAAGTACAATGCACATTTTGCAATATTGGTGTATGCTATTTGCTGGTGCTTAGTATACCCGAGTTGATATTAATTTTATAGAATTTGTTATGCCTTTTGAGAAGTTTTGACTATCGAGAACGAAAAAGTATCGATAAAACCAATAAATCGATCGTTAGCGTTATTAGTTAATCGTTAAGAGTTAATGAATGATCGTTTCAGCCCTAAATTAATAATATTACCCAATGCTGTAGACAGCAAGCTCTTTCGGCCATAAAGGCCTCATCAGTACAAGTACGAGCTAAATAGGCCGAGCTACCAGCCATGGTGCAAAGGAGGCACCACAGACATTAAGATAGCTCGTCGCTCTAGCGCCAGAGTGCTCAAGCTACAAAAAGTAGCGGGCATTGCGCGATGCAGCAGCACTAGAGCAGCCTACTGAGAGTGCTCAACAAGGCGAAAGCGGAGGAGCGTAATTATAGTATTAACGTGAAGTCTGCTGTAACTCCCCCCCCCCCCCCCCCCCCCCTGTGCAAGATGTAGTGTACAGGCCTGCAAGCACTGACCCCATGCACTGTCACCTACTGTAAGACCAGTAATAGTAACGAACATTTAATGCTAACGATTTAACGAATAGAAAAAAACTCGCTAACAATTGAAGTTGTTATCTACAAAACGATATTTACATGTATAGTCATTTGTCGATTTTGAGACGGAATTCGTTAGAATTTCACCTCGCTAACCCACAAAATCCGGAGATCGTTAACTTTAATTGACGTTAAAATATCTGGTCTTACAGTATATGGTACGTTGCAAGCTTGAAAGTGCATCTCGCATCGTAGGGCAAAGAGTGCTTGCTACGGTAAACTATGCCCACTTTCCTGGCTTTCAAAATCTCTTCACCGTTCACAACTTCTGATTTTGATGTTTCTGGTATTGCCTCTCTTCAGGAATGTCAGTACGAACATAATCAAATCAACATAATAATTACTACTGAGTAATTGGTACAATTATAGTTTCTACATGGCTGAAACGAAAACCATGCCTCACTTCCCACACTTTCTTACCAACTAAGGTGCGAAGACGAGTGGATTCCTCCTTCTTCTTCTGTGTACGCTGCTGCTTGTTCTGTCGCTCCAGCCAGCGCCGTTCCTCACGACTACAGCAATGACCACACAGCGACGCAAACACCCAATCGCAAACCAAACAGTTATTATTAATTTATTATACGGGATAAAAACCGTGCCACCAACAAAGCCCCGCCGCATAGGTTAGTGGGTGAATGAGATACGTACACCACAACAGCAGCAGGCAGTGCGTCTATCCGCCATCCAACCAGTACCTACCTTTCTGCCTTGTCAACATCTTCCTTGTCGAGGTAAGAGAACTCTCTCCAAGAATCAAACTCGTACCTGTAGAACGAGAAAGAGAAGGCAGTGCAAAGCAGCAAGCCACAAAGACAGCGCATACAGTCACCTTGTGAATAACGACCTCACGTATAACAACAACTCACGAATAACACACACAATCTTCAGACCTAGTGACCATTTGACTGCATGTTTTCAACCTCCCGAATAACAACAACTCGCAAATAATGACACATGTCTCATGCACGATCGAGGGTCTTTATTCAAGGTTGACTGTGCAAGTACATGTAGTCATGTACCTTACGCAATAGCCAAATCATGGGGCATAGCTACTAGTGGTCTTGGAGGTTTGGATTATCAAGACTCGACGATCTGCACTCACCAAGCACCATAGAAGTCGTCCACATCCTCGTACGATGTGTCATCGTCCCCGAGTAAAGGCATAGGCTGATCACGGGACCACCTACAGGAAACGCAAGCACACAGCATTCGTGTCATCATACAGTTCACTACAGTTAGCGCAGTGCTATCATGACCAGTTCTATAGAGATTGTAAATCCGACACTACTGCATGGCAAGGAGAAACAAGACATCTAGCCTGCTTTTCGTTTTGCTGCCCACATGCCATCAGTTTGTTTGGCACGTGCTGTGAGCTGCATCTCGAGTGAAAACTTGCCGGCACCTTCTAGGTTCGACCTGGTCCCAAAGCTCAGATGCCCTGACGATAGGCCATGCCCGAAAATTTGGTGAACCTGATGTGACTTTTGCAGCAGAGAGACTCGACAATGTTTGAGTGTCTGGATTGAGAAAACAGATATAAACAGTTCAACCAACTATCCAAATAAGTCAAGTGTCAAGTCAAGTCGGCGGAATAGCGCGAGCTCCAGTGTGGGAGCAAACCCCTTCCTATCCAGAATAAAACTGAAAAAACCTTGAATGATGAGTTCAACAGCAATAGCAGAAGTAAGCAATAGAAACTGACTTGGATGGTGCCTTACGTTGACTTATTGACACTGAGAATGCATTCAAATGCAACTACTTCACGACGGTTTAGCCGGTGGATCAGACCTCAAGACATCAAGGTCAGAATATTTTATATTCAAAAGCAGTATCCAGTAGAGCAGTCCCTGTCGGAGTCGTGGTGACGCCTGGTACCGTTCAGGTTTCAACAGGTCACATTACAGGACTGCACTTTGCGTGCATTCATCGAGCACTACACCTGTAGCCATGCATGACTGTATGATTTATGTGTCTGTAGGTCATGTATGGTATCACTCATGCGTGAAATCATGTGATCATCAACCCTGTTTTTCCCGGGCTTGTGCTCCTGTGCACGAGACGTATGCTTCAGATGTATGGCTTTTTTCCCGCTGCACGGCATCTCACGTGCAGAGTTTTTCCGCGTGCAGTGCTCTAGCAGCTTTGGTTTTGTTGTTGTTTTTATTCTCCTTGTGTTGGAAAGAGTTCATGGTGAACAGTGGTTGAATCCAATTCTAAGTTACTTCTCAGTTCTAGCTAGGTTCTTGATAGGTTTTTGCTAGGGCATTGTTAGAGTACATCCAAGATAATCCAAGAGGGAGTTGGTGTTTTGAGAGTGAGAACTCGAACCAGTAAAGTTTGTCTCCATTGTTGAACGTGGGTTCGGAAAGTATCCGCAATCGGTATTACAGTTACGGTACTGATGCAACCTGGTTCCGGGGAATACGGAACATAGTGGTCCTTCGAGCCGGATCACGTCCACGATGGAGAAGCTCAGGCGGAGTCAGCGCACGACGAAAGGCGTCGCAGCGCCAAAACTCGGGTACACAGACACCCAGTCCTACGCTGGTGCTAGTGGTGGAGATGACAGGATGACCGAAAGTAGGAGCCAAGCCGTCACCGCGAATTCAGCTGACAGGCTCAGCGCCAGGATAGCCGTGTTACAAGCGGAACAGGCTGTGGCGGAAAAGCGGCTGGAAATCGCCCGGTTGACGGAGCAGGCGATGTCGGAAGCCGAAGGGACGTTGAGGGAAAGGTCCGTTGAGACCTCCAGCTCTCCTGCGATGCGAGAAGAAGTCTTCCAGGAAGCGGGTGAGTTGCATGAGGCGGTTGCAGCCCAAGATACGTCGCTTATCGACTTTGACGATGATGTAGTTGCACCTAGTTCAGTTGCTGTTCCAACACCAACAGAGTCACACACGGTAGTCGGTGTAGAATCTCAGCCATCAGAAGGAGAGGCTTCCCATAGATCTACGCACGTAACGTCAGAATCAGCAGTAGGTCTACACCATGCAGAGGCCTGTCAGGCTAGCACACCACCACCGGTAGACGTAGTGATAGACGCACATGTAGAGAGGGACTCAGATGTCCAGCATGTCCGTGCATTCACTCCGGCACACAGCTACCACTACCAGGCACCGCCATGCGTAGTCCAAGATCCAAGCACTGTCGGACCCCCGTCAGTGGAGGCACGTTCCGACATCAATCAACCCTGCGGACAAGGGCACCCGGGGCCTATTTGCAGCCCAGCTCGCATCCGATGACGACTGGTGGCATGGCCCGAAGTTCCTACGCGGACCCGAGAGTGCATTCCCGGCGCGGCCGATCGAGGTTCCCAGTAGTCTGCCGGCAGAGCTGAAGAAGCGGTCCGCTATGTCGTTCAGCGCGGTTCCAGGGAAGTACCAGCTTGACCCCTCCAACTTCTCGTCTTGGACGCGGCTCATCCGTGTCACCGCATGGTGTCAGCGCTTTGTACGTAACGTCCGTATACCGAGGGAGGCTGGCGCCAACAGACCAACACCCGCTCCACGACGCAAGTTTGGATCTGCCAAGTCAGTGAACGGTATGACAGTACCCGCTCTCTCCCCTGCAGAGGTCCAGGCGGCCGACGTGTTCTGGGTACGGAAGGCCCAGGAGGAGGTGTATGGCAAGGTCATCAAGCGACTGGAGTCCGGCAAGGAACCCGATCCCAACGAGCCATTGCTGAAGCTGCGACCCCAGCTGGAGGAGGTACATGGCACAACCGTACTGACGGTCGGTGGGAGACTCACCACTGCACACCATCTGCCGCTGACGACAAGACACCCCATCATCCTGCCACCGAAACATCGGGTCACAGCCCTGATCGTGGATGACGAAGACGAGAGATGTCAGCACTCCATGGGTCCCAACCACCTGCTGGCCAACCTCAGCAACCGGTACTGGCTGATAAACGGGAAGTCCGTTGTGCGACAGCATCGCCACAGGTGCGTCAAGTGCCGACGAGGCTACGCGAAGGCTTTGACTCCAATCATGGGAGGGTTGCCGGATTACCGGACCTCGTCACCACTTATCGCCTTCAGCAAGGTGACCATCGACTTTGCCGGTCCATTTCTGACGCGCCAGGGACGAGGCAAGGTGCAGCAGAAGCGGTATATCTGCGTATTCTCGTGCCTGCTGACCAGAGCGGTACATCTGGAGCCCGTCAACTCGCTCGACACAGATGGGTTCTTGATGGCGATGACCCGATTCTGCAAGAGGCGTGGAACCCCGGAGTTCATAGTGACAGACAACGGGTCGAACTTCACCGCCGCAGAGCGACAGCTGCGCGAAGCCACCTGCACGATAGATCAAGACCGCCTAACCACCCACTCCGAGCTGCGAGATGTACAGTGGCATTTCAACCCACCGAGAACGCCCCACTTCGGTGGTGTAGTAGAAACGATGGTCAAGGCAGTCAAACGCGCACTCTGGCATGTGCTGCACCAGGCTGGCCTCACGGATGAGGAGTTCTCAACAGCGCTGGTACATGCCGAGGCAATGCTGAATTCCCGTCCCCTTACCACCGTATCATCTGACAGCGACGATCCAGAAGCGTTGACGCCAAACCACTTCCCGATGGGACGCGCGGCTGCAGTCACACACCTCGAGGCGGAGACAGAGGATCTGGAGAAGGTCCACCCCAGACGGCGCTGGCTGTTTCTACAAGTGCTGACAAGGCAAGTTTGGAAGAGGTGGCTGCGAGAGATGGTCCCGGCGCTAAACGTCCGGTCCAAGTGGTACAGGAAGGCAAAAGACGTCGAGGAGGGTGAGGTCTTCCTTGTCATGGATGAGAGTACTCCGCGCGCGACATGGCCTCTGGGACGCGTCACAGCCACATACCCAGGGCAAGATGGTGTCGTCCGTGCAGTCAACGTGAAGATCAAAGGCAAGGAGTATCGACGATCAGTTCATCGCCTCATCCCACTGGAGGTAACAGAGGGTGAGGTGGAGCTCGACTCCGAGAACTGCCCAGCCACAGCCAACGTCAATGTGGACAATGTCACCAGCTGAGCGAATAGTGGATGGTGGTACGGCAGTGGCGATGAGGTAGTAAGGCTGTGACTGTAGTGTTAGCAAGCAATCCACAATCAGAGTGAACAATACATCCAACCGGCTAGATAAGACGTATCCTCGTTCCCGGATATGTCTAGTGACGTTACGGCATGCATTTGACACAATGATGTTAGGTGTGACATCCAATAGCAGTTCCCCAGGAGTTAGAACATCACTCGGAATATTAGTTTGTCTCACTCGCATACATTGATTAGGCTATGATTCGTTCGCGAGGGAGGTATGTCGGAGTCGTGGTGACGCCTGGTACCGTTCAGGTTTCAACAGGTCACATTACAGGACTGCACTTTGCGTGCATTCATCGAGCACTACACCTGTAGCCATGCATGACTGTATGATTTATGTGTCTGTAGGTCATGTATGGTATCACTCATGCGTGAAATCATGTGATCATCAACCCTGTTTTTCCCGGGCTTGTGCTCCTGTGCACGAGACGTATGCTTCAGATGTATGGCTTTTTTCCCGCTGCACGGCATCTCACGTGCAGAGTTTTTCCGCGTGCAGTGCTCTAGCAGCTTTGGTTTTGTTGTTGTTTTTATTCTCCTTGTGTTGGAAAGAGTTCATGGTGAACAGTGGTTGAATCCAATTCTAAGTTACTTCTCAGTTCTAGCTAGGTTCTTGATAGGTTTTTGCTAGGGCATTGTTAGAGTACATCCAAGATAATCCAAGAGGGAGTTGGTGTTTTGAGAGTGAGAACTCGAACCAGTAAAGTTTGTCTCCATTGTTGAACGTGGGTTCGGAAAGTATCCGCAATCGGTATTACAGTTACGGTACTGATGCAACCTGGTTCCGGGGAATACGGAACAGTCCCCTCTCACGTTGTCCTTATCACATGCTGCTTACCTACTGTTACGCTCAAACACCGGCCCAAACACAGAGATGAAGTTCGCCTTGGAGTTTGCGGAGTTGGACGGAATGGCGTCATCGAAATTCGGATCAACGCTATCATAAGATCGCCGGCTGGACGGATTGGACAATACATCATTGGCTGTGGGTGGAGAAGATGGACATGGGGATACACACGGGAGCAATTACAGACATGCCAGTTACTACCAGTCGCCAGTAAATCTACATCACCAAGGCACATTATGTCACACAGAGCAGATGAAGTGGTAAACTGTTACTTCATAGCTTCATACAAACACTGCTAAGGCGACTGAAAGGCACACGAGTTACTAGACTAGTGTCTTACCGTGTTTGATGCACGTGAAAACAGCATCAAGTCTCTCACGACCGTAGCCACCAGTGTCTTTTCTCTTGTCCGGATGGTGCTTCAACACCATGTTTCGATCTGAACCAGGCCAACAGCAAATGGATTGTAGACATGTGACATGCAATGGACACTCACATCAATACTCATGTTGGACTAGTGCTAGGGAAACAAGCTGCATCTAACCTAATTGTGAATTGTTGCTACCAACGGCTCCTCACTACTGCACAGAGATGGAGAAGGCTGGTACAAGATAGGCACTGCAGGAGCATTGGCAGTATGTGTGTGTGTGTGTGTGTGTGTGTGTGTGTGTGTGTGTGCGCGCGTGTGTGTGTGTGTGTAGGCGTGCGTGACCATATCAATGTAACGTCATCGCAGATGACCTCCGCTCCATCAGCCCCCCTGTGCCTGCTGACCTGCTGGTCTGCTGCTGCCCAAGATCGCTCTGCCTGGAGGCAGATTGCTCACCGTCGTCCTCTCACCCGTGCACCCCCTGATCATGATTCGCGCTGCGCATGCGGAAAGGTCTGCCGTCGTCCCAGGGATCTCAAGCGCCACGCTCCGTACTACAAAAGCTAGCAGATGGTCCCTCGCTATCATTGCCGTTGGCAATGGGCATGTTCAAGGTACATGTATGTGTGTGTGTTTGCGCGTGTGTGTGTGTGCGCACGCGCGCGCGGGTGCGAGAGTGAGTGTATGTGTGGCAGCATTCGCCCTATACTCACATGCTTTTTTCACATCATCATCACTGGCCCGATAACGAAGGTGGGCCAGTCCCAAGACAGCGTAGTGATCTTGCTCCTGAACAAGGGTGGCACATGAACATAATGGAATAGCAGAACACGCACAAAAAACGAGCATATCAAACAATAAGAACAGATTGCATAAGAATGTTGGAGGAAAGAGCAGAGTTTGGCAAGGATAAAGTCACCTAGGTTGGGATTCTGGCTATGGCAGCATTGAACAATGGTACAGTGATGCTGCATGTCTCCATGTGGCAATACAGTGATAACTATTAGAAAAGACGTCTCTTTTCTCAGCCCTGTGTTGGTCGCAATCCCAAAACTATTTTCATTACCCGAACGCTGAATGATACAAACCATAGAAACTCCACTATGTGCAGCCTCTCCACTACTGGGGGGGGGGGGGGGGGATCGTTTCGTTCCAATCCAAATTAGCAACAGCAACCATCATGTATAGCCGGTTGTAACGCGGACGTGCAAATTTTACTCTTTTTTTTAACCATCAAAAGGAAGGTGTAAATAGGGATCTCAGCGCGTGAACTGCGCAGCCAGTCTGCGCAGGTGAGATTTTCGATCCCAAACGCGTCCAGTGCAGAAATCGTGGAAAAGAACATTTTTTCGAAATAAATCAAGTTGAAGAAGACAGTAGAAATGGCTGAATATTGCGTCCAGGAAAGCACGTTCTACGGCCATCTCCAAGCTACCTATCTCCCAGACACTCTCTCAGAGGAACTATGGAGGGTCAAAGAGCACAATCTTTCACTCTTGGACGCAGCGTGAACACCTCTTCTACTGAGCGCGATGTCTTCTCTCCGAGTGATAATGGCGGCGATGTTCGCGATGGCTGATGCACTGAAAATCGAAGTTAGGACAATCTAACCGGAGAAAACGTCTGAATTTTTGACTGAATCCTCTCTGAAGTGGGTTCTTGCCGCATGGAAAATTATAGGAAAATCGACCGGGGCAATATCGCCTTGGCCACGCTGTCCTTCGGCGGGAATTACAAAGTATGTTCGAACGACGATGAAGATGACGATTCCGCTAGTGTCCACCGCGTCCCCTAGCCTAGTGTCGAAAATCGACCGTCGCCATTTTTCTGCTGTGTCCGCGAGCTGCACTCAAAACTCGATGACGCAATGTATGCGCAAACACCCTGCGCACTGCACGCGCTGAGATCCCTAGTGTAAAGCAACCCACTAAGGAACTTACCTTCTTATCTTTGGGATCTAGTGACATAAGATCAAAGTCGCTCTGTATTTTCAGCAATCCGCTTGTAGTGTCCCCAGCAGTGGCTGTGGCGCCATCCGTGCTGTCGACACCCTCCTCTCCATCATCGACACTGCAGCTATTATGCGCACTGGACATGGAGACGTCGCGTTGCCGCCGACTTCTCAGACCATACCAGCGGCCAGCACGCTCCACGGAGCAGCAGGTAAACGCTAAAGCGAGTTGTGAAGACAGACAGTGGAAAGATAGATTTCACAAGTGAACATGGGTGCTAGGTTTACGTCGTTCTCGTACTGAATATCTCGCGCTGCATTAGTGTCAATGAGCAAAAACCTACTACAACTGCAGTAGGTCCCAGTACCCTAACCTATTACCGTCAAAGTGGCATCTTTGAGTGGCTCAGCCATTGGAAAGCCATCTTACTCTACATGCTGTTTTCCTCCTTCGTCGTGTGTGCATTTGGTCGCTGGTTGGGCTTGAAAGTGCTGCCCTATTCCATCATCGACAGGGTTTTAATCAACGGTATTACACCACCAGAAAGCAGGATCCACTCAACGCAAAGCAACCGCCTTTTTGGATTGCTGCCCAGGGTACTGCTGGCACAGGCACTCAAAGTATACCCACAGGCAGCAATGCTTCAGGCTTGGAAACATTCCTCAGAAGCCAACACATGCTACTTCTCTCTGCCTAGAATCCTACAGACAGCCACCCATGCAACTATAAGCACGGATGTTCAGCCTTGCAAAGCGTATCCCAGTCCACCTGCAGTACCCACATAAGAACAGGTACTGCAACAACGAAACAAACCGATTTCATGTGACAGATGTTCTGAAAAATCAGCCAGAAGATTGCCTTGTGGATTATAACCAAAAAAACATCACATGCATTTCAGTACAAATACTGTATTATCTCTAATATAAGCACAGTCTCCAATAATAGAACACCTTGGGGCGGCATTCAAAAAATAAAGTGCTCAGTCTCCATTATAAGCACACTGTGTAAATTCATTATCTGTACCGGCGAAAAAAAACCCTGAAATGTGTGCGTCATACATGAATTTGGCATGGCAACATGCCTCTGAAATGAGGTTGAAATAATAATGGAACAGTCTCCAATAAAGGAATGTCTCAATTAATAGCACGGGGCGGAGGTACATTGAAAAAATAAAGGACCGTGCTTATATTAGAGATAATACGGTAGTATGCTGAAAACTGACATTTGACTTTCGGTCTCCAAAAGGGGGTACAGCGTTCGCCTTATATCACGGGAAATGTCAAGAACGGTCGATTACTGGGAAATTGTGTTCGTGTTCACTTTTTGTTGCCTTCAATTGTTTTTACTTTTTAAGCAGAGTGATGCGTCCTACAAGATTCTAGAAATTCAATTGTATTATTTAAAAAAATATTAGTCAATAGACTTCACTACAAGAACACGCACGCTATTTCTTGGACGAGGAAAGGGATATTGAAACCTGTGAATCCTCATACGAGGGTAACTAAGCATGTAATTATCATTTTTGTGATACCATTCATTGTCGAGTGCAGTGTACCGTATTTCCCCGATTGTAAGTCGCACCTTTTTACACCAAACATCAAGGGCAAAGAAGGGGGTGCTTACAATCGAGTGTGACTTTCTACTTTATGTGAATGCATTGAGACGATTTGGTTCGGACGTGAGAATGGGCTGCGACTTATAATCAAGTGCGACTTATAATCGGGGATTTTTCTTACTATGCTTGTATCCTCGCTGTTCCACTCCAAGTGTATAAATCCTATTGTAGTTTCATCATTCTCTTTAGTCACGAATTCCATTGATAATTGTGACAAGAAAACGTTCTGGAATACATGTACATGATTCGTCCCCATGGTTGTGATATGAGTGCGCATTTAGTTATATTCATTGCATTATTAAGATTATTGTCTCCACGTCGCCTTTTTATATAATCGGGGAAATACGGTATTCAATCAAAAATGACACACGCTCGCACTTCCTTACCCGATAGGGGTGCCAAAGCCATTGTCTGACAGTCTGCATCACCTGCTGGAGGCAAGTACACTGCACAGGCCATCTTTGCGTTTGGACAATGAATCTCCACTCACAAAATACTCTTCACTGTATGGCACAACAAAGTAATCAAGTAAAAAGCCCTTCTTCTACTGAACACGGCTAATAATATGCAGTCAGTCACCCAGGCACAAGGTAATGGGATTGCCGTGAGAGAGGTTTGCTTGAGGAGTAGATCTACGCAGAAAGAGAGAGAAGGAATCTCTGTCAACAAGAGTTGCTCAAACTCAACGCTCTCAAACAAACAATAATAATTATTATTAATTTTTTGTTTACATGCTTTTTTTATTTGGAGTTTTCGAACACCTAGTAGTACTAGTACTAGTACTAGTAGTACTAGTACTAGTACTAGTACTAGTAGTACTAGTACTAGTAGTAGTACCTGCATGATTGTGTACATGTGTACGTGTACGAGCTGGTGCGTGCACGCGTGCACGCGTGGTGTACAGACTCGGCGCATATGCGCGCATGTACAGTGCGTGCACGCGTGGAAGGTCGCCATTTCGTTGCCATGGAAATTTGCCTTTATACCCGTATGTGCTAGGGATTTCCCCAAGTACCACTGCCGGGATTTCCCCAAGTACCCAATGTCGGGATTTCCCCACGCACATAATAACTCCCTCCTACACACACACAGGCTCCGTGATACCAGCCTCCACTCCAATCTCAACCGTCATCATGACCATACCAGCCTCCGCTCCACTGAATCTCAACCATCATGACCATACTCCAGACCATAGCCGGCTAGCTAATAATAATATTATAATATTCGCGGGATCCGCGTTAGCATCACTTGAATGTTCAGAAACACACAAGCTATAGCCTTCCCTTCCGCAGGCCACCACTATGCCTTTACACCTTAGTGGCGAATGCAGACCTCACAAGTGAGTCAGGGGAGAGGAGGTGAGTCTCTCAACCAATCGGGCGTGTAACGGCCCATAACCCTGTAAACTGCATCCTACCGTAGGAAATACCAACACGGTACGAGAAACTTCGAGAAAGAAAATGCTTTAGTTTAGGTCAACAGCTTGGTGCAGAGCAGGGACCGTGAGTCGTAAAATACCCGGCGACTCCCCGGCGCAGAGGAATTCCAAACTAGCTTGGCACAGGGCAACCCCAGCACACTAACGTTACTCACGGTAGCAACACATGGAATGGACGACTACAGTTAAAAAATGAAAGTACTGTGCATGGCAAATTGCCAATTAGTGCTGGGGCCAAGTCCGAAAAAGTCGCTTTATTGAGGAGTTGCATTTGACACCTCGTCCAGGAAAGATTTGACTTCAAATTCGGAGAGGCGGACCAACTATAGGAATTTTGGAGAAAACTAGAAGTTCCCAATGTTGTCCGTTTGGAAGTTATGAGCTATTTCCAAATTGCTTAGGTTACTATGGTAACCTGTGTGCAATTAGCCGTTTCTGAGGCAAAGCCGATACAATTTTGGAGAAAAAAGTTACCTTGTTGGAAGGCGAGCTCTTTCCAAGACTGTTAATGAAAACCAGAAGTTTATAGGACTGTCGGCTTCCTTGTCACAGGAATTTCTCGAATTTCTACGGTTACCGTGGTAACGTGTATGCAATTAGCCACTTCTAAGCCCAAATCAGTGCGCAGGTGGAAAGCAGAGAATAGTTATAATAATGTGGCTCAGAGGTCTATTGGGCTGTTGCAAGCCTGGTTTGTAGAGACTGGACCCCTCTCTCCTGATTTAGTGCCGGGATCCACACAAAAGGATCAAGAGGATTTAGGCAGGACTGACATCCAAGAACGAGCAAGGAAACACAACTGATAGCAAAAACAAAAACAAGAAGACTCAAACCGTTTGAGTCTTCTTGTTTTTGAATTGAATTCCCTAGCATATATTAGAACTGGGGCTAGCCCCCATTATAGCTCAAGTGGTCGCAAGACCAGGGCTATGCCAACCGTGGAGGTTGTAGTAAGGTCATAAGGAGCACTGTTTTCGAACACAGACTCAGTGCATCCTCCGCCTACACGTAGCTTGTAACATGCTGGCAACCAAACTACATTGTATGTTTTGTCATGTACATGTACATGTACATGACTACACGTATTTTTTCACATCCAAAGAATCATCTTGCCCGTATAGCATAGGCCAGTACTGTAAGGTGTACATGTACATTGTACAATGTACTGAACTCAGTGAAGTGCATGTCCAGGACACTGTTGTGGTATTCATTATAGTTATTGTTGTTGTTACTGGTGTGCTTTTAAAATTACATGTATACATGTACTTCATGCACATGTATAGTCGTTCAACCAAACACACCAAGTTCCCTTCTCATATCACACGGATATGCCAGGACTTAGAAGACGAGAGAGATCGGAGTATGCAAACTGCTCCATGGCAGGGCAGAAACCTCACTATTGTCACTAAGAACTCCACAACCTGCCGATCAACAATTTTCTCCAATACGTTGACAATTGGCAAGAGATATGGCTTGTAGGAGTTCAAGTGAGAGTCAGTATTATTATGGCCATAACTGTCTCCACATTTACATGATTGTATACAGCCTAGCAGGTGAAACCATCCAGGGTGTTCGATGTACATGGAATAATCTGTGGCATCAGGTACTGTACTGTACTTGCATCACTTGTACTTGTAGCCGAGTTGGATGGTGAACAACTGCTGCACACGTACATGTACATGTACAATGTATCTGTGAGTGCTGGAAATGATGCCACATGCACCCGTACAGGTACTAGCAAGAGTTATGACCCCCCGGTTATACACTCTTGGTACTAGGTGTAGAATTCATAGTGGCTCGGCTAGATAGCAGGAGAGGTCACTGCCCCAGGGGCCATGGGGTCAGTCCGGGACTGTTTTGAAACTGTTGCTTGATCAGAGGGATGTGACCAGACCTTCCTGTGTAAATGCTTTGCTGTGAGTTGCTGAAGGATGACACATGAGCACGGAATATGTGGCGGAGTTTGTTCGGCATGTTGCGGTTAGGGCAGTTGTTTGTCTATTAGCCATCTCGTTGATAAAAATTGTCCTTCCAGGTCTTGGCGTAGGCCCCCGCCCCGGTCTACATGTACATGTACATGTACATGACTGTATTTCATGGGCAATGTGCTTCCTAAACATGTACAGTGTACATGTACATGTACATGTCCATCATTGGACAGCCTGCATGACATTGTTCCATAAAAAGAAAATGTGAATTGGGTGGAAAGTACTAGTAGTAGTGGATCATGGTGACCAATCCTGTCAACATAGCACACCGCTGTCTGGGTACTACATGTACATGTACATTGTATTATGTGAAGGAAGGGAGGAAACAAGTGCCAGGTCAATGCAATCCCGGTAGTGTTAGAGGGGAGAGGAGCCCAGTCTCTACAAACCAGGCTTGCAACAGCCCAATAGACAAGAAGAGGTGAGGAACGATGGAGGTCCACCCGGTTGCTTGGTTCACTGTACGGAGTCACAGAAGACCTCAAGCGCCGGCGCCAGCAAGCCGCAGCTGCCTTCAACACACTTGTCAACCTGTGGATGCGGAGACAAGTTATCTCTGAAGCAACCCGCCTGAGGTTGTTTGATGCATTTGTGCTATCTATTTTGACCTACAACTGCGGCGTGTGGGTGCTTTCATCCCGGGATGCTACAGCAATGGATGCGTTCCACAGAAAGCAGCTCCGCCGTCTATTAGGGATATCTTACCCGGAAATTATCTCCAACACAGACCTATATGCCCGCTGCAATGCCGAGCCAATATCCGTACTAAGCAGAAGAGCACGGTGGAAACTGTTTGGTCATATTCTACGCCTCCCTGAAGCAACTCCAGCACAGGTGAGCATGACAGCGTATTTCCAGCGACAGAATCGGGGCTGGCTCGGACGCCCGCGCATCACCCTACCAGTGGTGATAGACAACGAATTAGCTAAGGCAACGTCCATGCGTCTCCGGAGTCTGAAGGACCTGGAGACACTGCGTTTGGTGGCTCGGAACAGGCAATCATTCAACGATATAATCGCACAGGTCACATTGTAGAGTGCAGATCACCTAGTGCTTTCAACAATAATAACGTACTTCCACATTATGGGAATTTGGTATAACCACACACCCGTCATTGTTGAATATTCGATAATAGCGTGGATTTCCCCAACAATAATTATATTTTCATTTTTTGTTATCCTCTCCCATGCCGTTGTACATAAGCGGCTTGCCGCGGATATGTCAATACTACTACTACTACTACAATAGACCTCTGAGCCACAATATTATAACTATTCTCTGCTTTCCACCTGCCTACAGGGGAGAAAATGCACTGATTTTGGCTTAGAAGTAGCTAATTGCATACACGTTACCACGGTAACCGTAGAAATTCGAGAAATTCCTGTGACAAGGAAGCCGACAGTCCTATAAACTTCTGGTTTTCAATAACAGTATTGGAAAGAGCTCGCCTTCTAACAAGGTAACTTTTTTCTCCAAAATTGTACCGGCTTTGCCTCAGGAACGGCTAATTGCACACAAGTTACCATAGTAACCTAAGCAATTTGGAAATAGCTCATAACTTCCAAACGGACAACATTGGGAACTTTTAGTTTTCTCCAAAATTCCTATAGTTGGTCCGCCTCTCCGAATTTGAAGTCAAATCTTTCCTGGACGAGGTGTCAAATGACACTGTCAGATTTCTGGACCTGGCTCCAGGACTAAATCATTCATTGCTCTTTCCCCCAACACTGCACTCAATCACTACTACGTACATGAACTTAAAAACACCAGTTTGAACATAGATCAGCGGCTCCAACTAATAATGGTTCGGGTTAGTAATACAAGGCGCGCTGGCAGACCACTGAGTCAGATCACTGAGTCAAGTCTCTGTGGGTTATGATGGTGTAGGTTACGTGTGATGGTCAGCATGCAGCTTCAACGGGGACTGTACAACCGTCCGTAGACTACCTAAAGTTATATAGAGATGATTACAGGCAGCACCAGTGCATAGAGTGTACTTGATAGAAAAGATACTTGCCTGGAATGACCTAGGCTAGGTCTGGCAAACTTTTTTTTAAATGATTTCAACACTGCACGGCTATTAGCCATGCAGCTGGCACAGCAGACAGCATGATAATCGAATAGATCTTTCAATAATGATTGCACATAGCCTCACTGTCTGAGTGTGCTGACATGATAGGCTAGACTATGCCCCTCAGAGTACTACTTCGGTGATATTTCAGTTGCCATGGTCACTTTGGTACACGTCTGGAGTTATTGTTATGGTAACACAGCTAGTTATCATCATCAGACATGACATGACAGGCAAGGGTGTTAACGCCCCGTTTCCACCGGCACAGGATAGCGGCACGGTTCTGGGCAGCGGCAGCTTTCTCCGCGTCGAGGAGGCGCTCTTCGAACAGCATTATGTTGAGGCACTCCTCATAGATCTTGGCTTCAGGAAAGTCAATCTTGATGTGCTTGTTGTCTGTGGCGTAGACAATGGCGTCGCATGAGATTTCAGCCTGGCGTTTCCCATGTCCATAGAACAACCAAGTGCAGATATCTGAACCACCCACAATGTCCTTGACAAAGACAACACGGTCCATGAATCGGGTTGCCAGTCGATCGAACAGCTCCAGGTTTTTCAGCAGGTTGTCGTCCGACGTCCTGTGCGGGCAATAAGACGGTCGAAAGCAGTGTTATTCTTGCATAGTCAGTCTATACTATCACTGCCGGCTGCAGATTCTGTATACATTGAAGTTGTCACAGCCCCTTGCTTCCTTCCACACTCAATCAACAACAAACGAAATCAAGACATTGGGTTCTACATGCACATGTATTTGCAAAACCAACCTATTAAACCATTATTAACCAGTTAATATTAAACGTCCAGTCGGAATTTAGCCAGCCCATTGACTTACCCTGTATAGGAATACTTGTTATTGAAGCGATTGAAAATCAAGCGAATGATTGGCTGTAGAGATCAACACAGGATGATCAAACGGCAAATGATTATACTAGTGAAGGGATCAACACAGGACCAACCGTAACTGATTGGCTGTACAGATCAGCACAGGAAAGTCTACAAATCATGGCATTGAATGAGTGGCGGTGGACTGCCGCCAGCGCTTATTTCAAGTGCATAGCACACATCGTCGGCTGCCGGACCACAAGCAATCTGCGTTGAGCAAACAAGTTTAGTCACGACAGGTGCTCTGTCACAATCGATGTTGACGCATCGCCCTCTAAACTTAAACCGTTTTTTTTCGATAGTGTCTAAAAGTCACTGGCACCTTTTCCTGAAATCGATTTGTACATGCCGCGGTGATGAACTTCGGATATCATTCTAAAGGCGTTGCAACATGAAGCCATGACCGCCTGATGTATATTGTAATGATTGCATCATGCTGGCCACGCCATGAGCGCATGTACAACCATGTGTAATAGAGTTGAACTACTACGACGAGTTGTACTTGTCAAGTAACGTTACCTTGAAAACTTCCGGGAAGAAAAAAACTTGGCGACTTTTTCTATTCACACTCGAAGAGGAGTTATTAAATGGCCTCCAGAAATGTGGTTCAGTGTAACAAGAATGCTTCAAGACAATGAGTGGATTCAGTACAGTACTTGCTTGATATAAGCTATGCACAATAACATACAAAAGAAATCGGCACCGTTTTGAGTCTCACTTAGAGTCACCATTGCTCGAATCCTCAGAACTCAATTCACAAGAAGTAACAGGTCGATTGATGAAGTCACACAGTCTTTGTTTTGTTCTCGGAGGAATTCACATACGTGGTTACATGACAGGAAATAAGTAGCCTTTCTCAGACCCTGTGATTTGAGGTGAGCGATCGCTCTCGCGCGCCATCGCGCGCCTTATTTTCTTGGAAGGTGTACTTTTTGTCGCGCGCCTGAAACTATTTTTGGCTTGCATGCATGCGCATGTACGCTTTTCGGAGTGCAGCGCAACTCTACTATGAGTCTATGGCGTCAAGTGCACTCATCGATCCATGCGCAGGAACTGTGCCCGCGGTGGAAATTCAGAAAGCAAACGGGGTGAAGCTCATCAAGGGCTGTGACTCCTCGCATAAGGCAAGAGAATTCGTCCGTTTGTTGTCTGCCACTATGCAGAAGAAGATCGCAAGTATCATCTCTTCATCAACTGCATTTTCTGTGTTGAGCGATGGATTGCAGGCCCGCAAAACCAGAAGCGAGAAGGAACTCGTGCTTGTTCGTCTTGTAAAGGAAGGCGAGCCGGTTTTCTTCACCCTAGCCCTGATGAATGTAGACGATTACGGCGATGCGACTGCGAACAATTTGAAGACAGTCATCGACGATTCTTTTCGAGGTGAGGTGCACTAGTCACTGGTGCATCCAGAATTTTTCTCGAAAAAACCGATATCAATAATGTGCTGTGTTGTTGGAGTGAGAATTTTTGGATCACTCTCGTACAGCTCACCTGACACAGGCGAGGAGAGCGATAGATCACTCGCCACCTATTTTCAAATCACAGGGTCTGCTTTCTACACCATTACCTAGAACGGGATACACTTGATAACTCCTGTTTGGATGAGGGAGTGGGGTTGAATAACTTACTGCCGTTCTATTCACTTTGTCATCAGGCTCAACCACTCCTGCCATGACTTCCGGGTTAGCTGGTCATTTCACATATACAGGCACGACAGAACCAGTCTGGTTAGTCAGGCCATGGCCTGACCAACTTTTTGGCCACCAACGTGTGTATACTGCTGAGAGGTCACTGGGTGTAAGTATGCCCTCCATATCATACACAGCATATGAAAGGCTAGGGTATGGCCGAACCAATCTAAAACTTCTTCCGCCAGTCCAGATATATGCCGGTGCGTGTGTTGACTGGATAATTAATGTCTATACACGACGTGTATAGACATGGGTCACATTACATGTACATGTACCATAAATAATTACCTTTCTGGTACCCGTCAGCACGCGCTGGAACTCTTCGACTGACGTCACCATGGGCATACGACACACCGTCAGATTGTCTTTCCTGATCTGCTCAATGTGCACCTCCAGCTGTGCGGCAAGCTCCTCAAGCAGGTAGTATTTGGCTTCCACGAGCAGCTCAGAGCTCTCTTCGAGACTGTCTGGAAGCGGCACAGCACCGTCACGAAGGAAGTTCAGTAGCTTTGCAAAGTGCTTGCCAGACCGGTCTATGAGGATGAATCCTGCACAAGAAAGGAACGAGTGAGACAAACAAGCAGACACATGAATCTGCCCCGATCAGAATGCAACCACTAGAGCAAGTTGCTCGTATCACATCCTGGAACATCTGCCATGATAAATTGTGATATTATCGATCGTGACTAGCTACGTCATGTTCTACTTCGAAGTACTATGAAACAGAGTGTACCCGCTCGACAATTCAAACCATCAACTTGATGCTTGCATGGCCTGAAGCTACCTGTACAGTATATACCGTATTATCTCTAATATAAGCACGGTCCTTTATTTTTTCAATGTACCTCCGCCCGTGCTATTATTGGAGACGTTCCTTTATTGGAGACTGCTCCATTATTATTTCAACCTCATTTCAGAGGCTTGTTGCCATGCCAAATTCATGTATGACGCACACATTTCAGGGTTTTTTCGCCGGTACAGATAATAAATTTACACAGTGTGACTGTGCTTATAATGGAGACTGAGCACTTTATTTTTTGAATGCCGCCCAAAGGTGTTCTATTATTGGAGACGTGCTATTATTGGAGACTGTGCTTATATTAGAGATAATACGGTACACGGCAACCGGCGGCTAGTGGAATTTTAGGCTTTAGCCGTTACAAAACGGCCTTTCACATCTGCTGAAGGAGAATCGCAGGCGAATAATCATCGTGACACTGAATTCACTGCCAGGAAACACAGCTCCCTGGACCCTGCTACGTGGAAGGCTGTTCTGGACAGTGATCATCCCACTCGATGCCAGGAATGGACGAAGGAGCGCATGCAGCAGCATAGTAGTGCTAAACGACTGCCAAGGTCTGCCGTGAGTGGACTTTAATTCAGTATTCCTGCAGAGTATTTAATAATTAATAACTTTGTAAAGGTTTCTATGTGCACATCCACACGATATATTTGTATAGGGCCTTTTGGACACGCACAGGCATTTTGCTTTGTTAGGACCGGCGAAGCATGTGTGATCTGTATTCGTACTCACCGCGTGATTTCCCCACTACATGTACAAGGCATATGCATATATAGCATGGTCTGCATTCTCCTTGTTACAAGCCAAGATTTAGTTAGCGCTCAGCTTGCCCTTGCCTGCTATTGGTCCTTTTCGACTTTCCAAACAAGCTAGTTTGCTCAAATTCAGTGCCATGGGTGAAGGTCTGTGAACGAAGGAGTGATTTTCGATACACACACACATTGAGCAAGATACGGAAGTTCGGGAGCACTGGATGTCTGGCGTTCAAGTGTGCTGAATGATGTTCCTTGCAGACATTGTACCCAGGACTAGTAGGAATATGCAAAAATGAATGGTAAACTCTGAAGAAAAATTCTTGCTGTGCACGCTGCCACATAATCATGATAATTGACTCAATAAAAATAATAATAATGTTAGGTGACAGCTGCTTACACACACTGCTGCTTACCATCACTATCGACTTGCACAGCCAATTCTCCAGTAAACATGGCTCGCAACATTGTATCTCTCTTGCACACGGTGGCAATAGTTGTAGAGAACAGGCTGCCACCAACGTTGAAGCGCACGTAACGTCCCACGGACGACGGATGTACGTGCGTATGACCATCCGCCAAGGTCGAGTCCAGCGATTTCACCGTCGTTACAGACTGACCAGAGCGCTGGCTACCAGAGAAAGAGCTGGATACCTTCAACGTGGATTCTCTGAGCCGTTGCGGACTGGGACAATTGCCAGCAACAGCCATGGGAGAAGGCTTAGCTGCATGGCTCTCAACAAGGTGAAAACTCCCGGTTCGTCGCACCTCCATCCCTGAAGACTCTGCATTGGAACCGACGCTCTCCGAACTGCTATCGCGTCGGTGTCGAACAGTGAAAGATCCGCAAGCCTGAGAATCAGCAGCAGCAGCAGCAGCCATGGGCACGTGAAGAGCGCTAGCAGCAGTTGCGGACTGCGCCGCAGTACCTCGTAAATCGTCTGCCATTTCCCTAACCCAACCAGGTTACATGCAATTCACAACTGCGCAAGCACTTGGTGCACGCCACAATAATTATTACTTTCTTCTTCACTCCTGCGCCCATTGAAACGGTAAACCTGCACACTACACACAACTCACCGTCAACGACTGACGACGAGTGACGTGGCCGGCTACTGACTACTGTACTTGCGGGCGAGTTGTATAAATAAGTCATCGCTTTCTATTTCAAGACCTGTTGTGCATGCACCCACTGACCTGCTAGCTGCTGACTAGCGACAGTGGGTGTCGCCCACCAGGCATAGTTCTACGCTCATTTTAACCTGCTGTCAAAATAAATCAAAATATTATGCATAGCGATGCACTCACGAATCAGTCATATCAGTCACGATCCACGATCACGTCGACGCCGCGTCATTCGTCAACAACAATACATGACTGTGCCATCGGCTAGAGGGCTTGAAAGTGCTACGTCACTCCATAGCAATGGCATAGCAACAATTTGAAAAATTCGAAAACTGGATCCACCTGGATCCAGTTTTTGTATGGATCCAAGCACATTTCAAGCGGTCTCACTCACAGCAAGGTGATGTTGCCAGTGAAACTGACTGATTTGGCTAGTGGGGGCGGGGTGACAACTGGTGGCGAAGTAAAAGTTGCACCTGCATACGACATGAGTGGGTTGCTATGCACCCACATACTGAGGCAATAGCAAAGTCACACCTTAGTGGATCCAAAATAGAAATCTGATGTCAATTTACTACTCCCAGGCCGTTTTTGACGTCATCACTTTCAAGCCCTAAATAGTATCACTATTAGTATTACAGTATAGCCAGGCTATAGCGCCTACGTGCTGTCGCGGACATGGAAATCCAGTCGATTGACCGGGGCCGGCGCCCTCACTGAGCTTGAGCCTCAGCGCGGATAGAATATAACTAAATTTTACTTACTAAATTATTTACAATAACATGCACAGGGGATAATTATTTTAACCAGTATCGCATCGCAGTTTGCTACGCAATTCTTCGGAGGTGCGACGCAACTAGTTACTTCAGAAACGCGCTCAGAAAAGTGCGATGCACGTAACGTCGTTGACTTTTCACTGTACCCAATGATGCACAGTGTGCATGACATGTGTGTCTTAGTCTTAGTCTTAGGAGGGATGAAATAGATGCACGAAACTTCGAAGGTGCTGAGCTATGCATCGTGGCACCAAGCTAGGTTTGCAACTAAGGTGTTACAGTGTACTTGTGGTCTGAGTTTGCACTCTGATCAGCTCTGCAGAAGGACAAAGTTAGTTGTCAAGTGTTGAAGAATATTGCTACGAAACATTTTTGAATTGCTATTCAAGTTTGAGGAGAAGTTGGGAGGCTTCCTGCAGTTTCATAGTAAGTCCAATTGGGTGAACCCACCCATTCCAAAATACTCTGCCAATGTCCGAATCATTCCGTTATACAACGTTTCGGCCAATGGCCTTCTTCAGGTAGTCAAATGACTCATTTGACTACCTGAAGAAGGCCATTGGCCGAAACATTGTATAATGGAATGGTTCGGAAATTTGCAGAGTATTTTGGAATGGGTGGGTTCACCCAATTGGACTTACTATTCAAGTTTAATTTTGAATAACAAAATGGCTATGCAAGAAATTAAAAGTAAATTATTCCCTGATGCATGATACCGAACAATACTACCAGGGAGTTGCTGGCCAAAGAAATCCAACCTATAAATGGTTGAATTCCAGTATATTCCCAGCTGCAGTACAGAACTGTCAGGCGGCGAAGAACAAACAGGCTAGCTGTACAGGTAGTTCTGCATGACATTATAAGACCAGCTACACACCACCGAACCCCCAGTTCTTCAGCACCAGACAGTACATGTGCACCATAACTGCCTATGCTCCCGGATTATAAGCTTCTCAGGTTAATTCTGACACACTTGCTTCAGTACGGAGGATTAGCAAGACGAAATTCGCGTTCGTGGTCGCTCTCCAAGGAAAGTCGAACTCAGTGACGGAATTCGCGTTATGAGAAGGATTAGCAAACAGAATTCGCACATGCATGACGTTGACACGACGTACAGACAGTACAGCGTGGTAAATTTATGACTGCCCTCACACGAATCCGCGATTCGTGTTCCGACTACTTTTCCGAACGAAAAATGCGAAAGTTTGCAATCCAGTTCGCGAACTGAAAAATGTTTGTGAACGCGAACGTGAATTTCGTCTTGCTAATCCTCCGTAATAAAGCACTGGCAACACTCCACTCAGTGGACTGAAATAATCGATCTCCTGCGGTTTGATGATAATAGAGCAGAAGGCCAAACAAGAAGAGCGAGAGAGCAGCACAACCAGCGTGTGCTAGTGAGAAACTCTGTGATCACTAGCAGGTCAGCAACAGCCCATTCCAAGCCGAAGCCTCAGCAGCTGCAACTTTCGCCTGCTTCGCAAGACAACCAAGGCGCCGCAGTGCCATGAAAGCACACAGTTCGCATACACTGTGACACATGACCGTGTAGATAGCAAGCCAGAAACAGCAGGCTAGGCAGGCAGCCATACACCTGTACAGACTACCTCAGCCATACAATTTCAGGCATTGCAGGCTTAGGAAAGATAAGAAATAAATACTATAAAAAGAAGAGAGCAGCAGCTAGAATAAGGTACTGTACCTGTTGTTTCGTGTTGTCCCTTTCATGAAGGAAAGTCCAGATGAAAGTTTTTAAATACACTTGATGACATTTTATAAAGAAGATCACTGCAAACTAAACCACTAATCATTTCGGTCATATGATACGGAGGTGTTGAGACGGCTCCACTGGCGATTATGGCACATGGTTCTCACTCCCAACTGATGGTAATATGATGCGGGGCTGGGGCGTCTTGTGTTCTGTAGCTGGATCTTATGTTTGGAAGCATACCCTCCGGGAAAGAAAGAGAGTTGGCCCTGCATGGCTTACTTCTTCTTCTTCTTGAGGTTTGGGTTCCTCTCAGCCTCTGCTGCTGCGAAGATGTCAGCCTGGACACCGGAAGGAGCCAGCTCATAACGTGCAAACTCCATAGCAAATTCACCTTTGCCCTGCACAAACATAAAAATATCATCAAAAATGAAAAGAATATTTAAAACGGAAAAGTAATGGCACGCCTGCTTGTGGTATACCCGTGTACATAGTACATATTCGCACTCTCATGTTTCCTATTATGGTACTGCATCTCCTTGCATGGACGAGGGTAGATCTACGACCTTACAGCATACTACAGGTCGTCCCCCGTTAATACGAGTCCGGTTAGTACATAAACCCCGTTAGTACATAAGAAATCTCAAGTCCCGGACGAAACGTGGTCACTTCCATACAAATTTGGTCGGTTAGTACATAATTCGTTAGTACATAAACCCCGTTAATACATAACATTTCTCCGTACCCGCATGTCACCTACCTCAATAGTATATAATTTATTGGTCTTTTGGCCTTCCAGTGGAGGAACATCGTGTTCTAGTTTCTACTTGTGGACGCAATTGGCTCAGAAATCAGACCGCACATTACAACCTACAAAGCTCTGTTTTTTCCGAGTGACTGTACAGGCGCGGCTGGGCATGTATCATGTAAACTGTAGAATCTTCGCTAACTCTGACCGTTATAACATAATTTTTATGTTATATCGAGGGAATCAAGAATATCTCGGTGCCTATTCATGGTAGCAAGAAACACTCAGAAAAGTTGAAAAAAGTGAAAAATTCTGGTACACAAGCAAGTTATGTACACTTTCGTTTAGTACATAAACCCCGTTAATACATAACATTTGTCAAGTCCCAGAGATTATGTATTAACAAGAGTACATAACCCCCCAGAGTGTGCAACTCCACTATGGGTGCTGTCCCGACAGAATTTCAAGTTGACGTCATTTTGATGATGCAATGCGCACAGTACACGGATTATCAGACGAATCCGGAACCTGTGGTTGACCGAAGCCGATCGATCCTGTACAAATTATTGGAAAGAAAAACGTGTGATGCGTTGACACCCGTACACCAGTTGTAAATCACTGGGGCAAGGAGCATTGCGTCATAAATAATGACGTCAACTTGAAATTCTGACGGGACAGCAGGGTATGTGGGAGTTGCACACTCTGGGGGGTTATGTACTCTTGGTATTAACGAGGGACGACCTGTACCAAGAGTACATAACCCCCAAGAGTGTGCAACTCCAGCTATGGGGTCTGCGACGGCAGAACTTCACATCACGTGATGAACCCGTACACATTATTTGCACTCTGTGCATGATTGATACAGGGTTGTACGAAACCCAGCTTTGGGTACAACTCTCTTGTGATCACTTTGCACTGTTTGCCAGTGTAACCTTTTGAACCATGTCACGTGATGTGAAGTTCTGCCGTCGCAGCACTGCATAGAGGTTGTGCAGGCAGTTGCACACTCTTGGGGTTATGTACTCTTGATACTACTCATACTATGCGTGCATGTGTGTACTCCGTGCCCATAATTGACAGTGCTCGTTCTTGTTGCTGTTAATTCGTCCTGACAAGTCTTCTTCTTAGGTCTTCGTTGAATCATTCAATATACCTTAATCTCGTGCATATAAGACCATGGTCTAAAAATCGAAAAGTCTCTGTTTTCAGTCCTTTCACAAGTGCATTTTCGCTCGATTATAAGACCATGGTCTTATACAGGCGCGTGCTCGGCGATGGGCAAGTGCACCCCCCAAAAATTTTCAATCTGGGTAATTGCAATTGTAATGTATGCAAATATGCTCTAAAATTCAAGAAAGGTTGCAAACAAATTGCAGAAAACTGCCGGGGGGGGGGGGGGGCTCCCCTCGGCTCCCGTGCACCCCCCCCCCCCCTATTTGGGGGGCCGAGCACGCCCCTGTTATATGCGAGAGACAAACATCGCATCGACATGTACATGTGCAAGGACGCATATTATTGATTAATGCCAGTACAATGGAACCATGATAAACCTCGTGTGGTTTTGTGAGTTTCATTCACTTATAAGTGAGAGTCACATAGACTTGATGATAATACAGCGCTTCCTTTGCCACTAAATGTGTATGAGTTAACCCTTTGGAGGGCGTGCATTCAAATACAGACGGCATTCTGTTGATGGACTAAAACGTTTGTAACTCACTCATTTTTTGACGGATTTCCACGATCGAAATATCAAGGATGACACGAGCGCTTCCTTTGCCACTAGACGCGCAAGAGTTAATATGGCGATACAGTCAAAAAGCCACGCGGGAGTCACCCATCACCCCAAAAGACTTCATATTAACCCTTTATGTACGGTGTGTACACGAATCGATCACATATGATCGATTCATGATCGATCCGTAAAACCTTCGTAACTCCATCATGTCTTGTCCGAATTCAACAATCGAAGGGTCTATTCAGTAGCGGAAACTCTAAGCTTTCCAATGCAACAATCGCCGAAGAGCTACGATGTACGAATCCAGAGATATCGCGCGCCGTATCTTGTATCGGCAAATTCAAATTTTTTATCGATCTCTTCGCCATTTTAGGGGGAAATCCCTTTTCGTGTGCTCTTTGACCAACTCAGCACATGATAATGACGTAGTTGGCTGAAGTTTGAATCGCCTCGAAAAGATTTGAGCGTTCTGCGATAGAGGAGAGTGGAATGGCGTTGATCTGGAAATTTGCTCGCATATTGGGCTTGGATACGACTTTGATGTGTTCCTGTGCCTGATTTGTGGCAGCTAGTTGATGGACCCTGGTATCCTCGCGTTGCTCTCGCCAGGAGCTTTCCAAAGAGCCCAAGATTGTGGAATTGGAGCGAAGGAGGCCAAAGTTATAGCCTGTTGAAGGTGAAAATTGTGCTGAAAATTCAAATTCTGCTTCATTCTGTGCTGGAAATCAGTACATAAAGGGTTAACACCATGCAGAATTCTTACCTGTGTGCAGGCACGGAGGTCAGTTGAGCAGCCAAACATGGCATCGAGAGGTACCTATACGATGGGGAACAAAGAGGAAAGTCAGAACAGACAAATACCATGTCAGAGAGAGGTAACACACACACACACACACACACACACACTCTCGGTCCCGCACTTTCCTTCATAAGCATGAGCACATAATTATACATCTTCACGACACTCTCCAAACGGTCTCTGGGCTACACCAATCACTAAAGAAAAAAAGAGATAATTGAATAATGGACTCGGATGGAGAGCCAAGGATAAATTTATAGAAAAGAAAAAGGACCAAGGAACTACAACTCATTACGCTATAATGGCCACTAACACCACCAGTTACTAAACAATCAGCTCATGCGATAACATTGCACGACACTGACCGACGGTACTGACGTTCTACAACTAAATGGCTGACAGCTCTAGCACATCTTTTGCTCAACTCTCGCTGCACCAACTCACAGTAACAGCCACTACATGCATACATACATGTACAATGAACACATACATACATACATGTACAATGAACCATGTTCATATGGACTTACATCAGCGTCGACTACCATGTAATCGTCCTGGAGTTCCGAGGTGTTGAGGACACCACGTCGCTTACTGATCAGTGCCAGTACATTCTTGTTGAACTCCTTGGGGTAGGAGAACTCGCAGCTCATGATAGGCTCCATGAGAACAGTGCTACCCTTGCGGAATGCTACGGACACGCATACCCATGGACACACAGACATGCAGAAACACAACAACTTTATGAGGCACAGCCCAGGCTTTAGGGATGGAACTGACGTTGCTTTTGTCCTAATAAAGCCAAAGCCAGTTCCGTAAAAGTATGTCATGTAGATTAGACTCAGGTCTTCGGCACACATTAGTACAATGGGCACCGTAGCTGTGTGGCAGGGGTCTAGACCTCGGCGACAGCTGTATGCCTTGATCTTACGCTCGTCTCTTGAATACTGGCCGTTTCCCAGAAGCTTTTCTTCTGATGACTTACCACAACTCAGTCATGCTTGAAGCAGACTAGGAGCTTGTAATCTGGCACAAGGGTGACACAGGACGCAAGTGGGACTTCCAGCTGTGTTCATATCTGATCAATGTGATCATATCTGTTTCCGGGCAAACGTCTTTCAAAACATGAGCGTATACACAAAAGCGTATTCCTCGCATACATGCATAAGTAAAGATTTCTACCATGCATATATCAACATGGATAGAGACGCTTCACACAGACCCCTCGTACCTTGCTTTACAGCGCTCTTGGAGGCGATGCTGAATGCAGCATCACTGCTGTCAACTTCGTGCTGAACACCTGTAAATCAAGTCAAGTCCAACAGGCAAAGCACACACACACACACGCGCGCGCGCGATAAGTAATTTCAAAAGCAACAACATAATAAACAGCTCGTAATGTACATTTTTACAATCCACACACCATGGGTGTAGGAGAGTCCGTTTGCGTACGCAAACTGACACCATGAAGTCAAGGAGAAACCGCATGACCGGCGGAAGCAGTTTTCGATTAGTCCGGCCATACCGTCGCCACCTTTCATACTTTGTGTATGATACTGCGGCAGGTACACAGCAGTTAACATGCTGTTGGTGGCCAGGCAGTTGGTGCGGCCATGACCTGACCAACCAGACTGGTTCCGCTGCCCCTGCGTCGGCACGGAAAAAGGCTGTCTGAAAGAGCACAGCAGAAGAGAACAGGGCGCAGTTCGGAGAGTGACGTGCTTACCATCTGTTAGGACCATTCTCACTCCACCAATCTGGTAGGTAGTCATGACACCCTCACGGGCAGCCTCACGCAGGCCCTTCTCGATGGCTGGCATGTAGGACTTGGGAATGACGGCACCAACTGTCTTGTCAAGAAACTCCACCTTGTTGAGAAGCTCCTTGGGTAGAGGCTGTACGGACGCATTAGCAAAACAGGCAGTCGAGTATAGAACACAGATCAACGCCAAATGTTCAAAACAAGAAAGCTAGCGCAGTGAACACACCCAAACCTAAACACGCCCACCCACCCACACCTAACATACAAATACATGTACCAATACAGATGAATACGCCCGTGCTCAGCCAAGCCCAGTTCTGATTCGTGATAAAGAAAACAGTGACAAGATCCCAGACCTCCCCCCCCCCCATATATTAAAGTGACGAAGAAATGCAGCCGCAGAGTACTATTACCACCCCGCATCTACATCTACATGCATGTACACTGTCTTACCTCGAAGTGACCAATGACACGACCAAACTGGCCATGACCGCCTGTCTGCTTCTTGTGCATGTAGTCATAACTGAAAATACGGAAGAGTGAGAGAGAGAGAGAGAGAGAGAGAGAGAGAGAGAGAGAGAGAGAGAGCAGACAGTTGTTACTTTGAAGTACATTCAATACAGACTCTATGGTGCATTCCAAAACAGGTGTGCTCACCTGAGTAAGAAGACACACTCAATTTTCAAGTCACATTCCCTTCCTTGACCTTGGGGTGACTTATATTCGGGGAAATGCGACACATACTTCGAAGCACCGGTACACGCAAACTCTACTAAAACTGTCGTCTTCGAGACACCTGCCTATACACAATGTGCTAACCGTAAATAAACACATATTCGGCGCCTTCTTCAAAACCAGACATAACCAAACGAAGGCCCACTCCAGTGCAACTTGACGTGGTCCTCTGGTGCCGAATGCATTGCTAAATGACTGCGACTACCAGTCACAACACTTGAACACACATGGACCCTGCTCTAAACATCTAGCTGTGCTCGATTAATTAAATATGTGAATCCAACCTTTCAAGCCCTAGAAATACTGGGCACACACGCTTTATGATGTGAGCACAAGTAGCAAGAATAGAAGCAAGGCCAGAAGGCAACAACAAGACAGCAAAGCCACGACAGGACTTACGAGACTTCACCTGACAACGTCTCCCGGTACGCAACACGTGGTCGACCAGCCACACACGGGCAATCATATTCTCTCTTCAGACGCTGGGCAACGGACAAGAAGGTGTAAACGAAGTCGATGTGCTAATTAATTGCTAACGCCGTAGTAATGTGGATGCCAAAGTTAAGTAGACCAACAGAGGCAATAACATTTGGAATAAGCAAACTCAACATGATTAGGCTCCCTTTCCAGACAGCTGCAGGAACATTATAGCAAGTACAATGTCATGTTTGTGGTAACGCCTATGGTGCCTCTTAGCAGTAGGCTACACCTCATCCACATAAACCCAACTACATATAACCAGGATGGCTAGTATCGGCTTACCTCGACATAGATATCCAAATGCAGCTCACCCATACCGGAGAAAATAGTCTACACAACATGGCAGAGATACAGTACAATAAAATACAGTCATACTAAGAGCAGGCAGCTAAATCTCATGCCAACACGCAAAGGAATACAAGCAAAACAGATCACGGAAAATTAATTCTGAGAGAGAAAGAGGATAATGGGTCTATTGATAACCAAAGCACATGGTGAAGTGATCACTGCAGTACACTGCAAGGCCACAACGACAAGATATCATGCTTCTATGTTGTATGTTACCTTTAACTTCAACAGTATGGATGGGTGAAGAACCCAATCACATTGCTCTCACTCAATCTTCAATTCTTCAAAAATTAGACTCGAATGGAGAGCCAAGGATTACATTTAAAAGAAAAGACCAAAATGTTACAAGCTATCCGTAGTTTGTGTCCAACACTGACTACACAACATCTTGCATACTAACTGTTAGCGTTGGGCACAAACTACGGATAGCATGGAACATGTTGGTCCTTTCTTCAACAAATATTTACAATAACTCAACTCAATCTGCGCTCAACTTATACGTTTCAGTTCAACAACCCTCTTCAGCAACTTCCTGCTGTAAAGTAGATGCTATTAAAGGTGAGCATCTTCATGCCTTGGAAGAATACAACATCATTACATGTTCACAGCACTGACCTCCTTTGACTCTTCATCCAAGTGAACCTTGAATGTCGGGTCCTCCTTTGTAAAGCGACCGACGGCCTTTGCAAATTTGTCGTTGTCACTCTGCAACATAACACAGGCGACAGCATTAAAATAATCTGACCTATAATTATTGTCAGTAGTCTGCATAAAAAATCATGCACTAGCCGTACCAGAAACAATTATCACCAGGGAAGTTTAAAAAAACACATAGAAAATGGAGTACATGTAAATATAATCACTAGTATGCCTTGGTGAGATCCTTCAATGTGTGAGCAGCATACGGCTGAGGTTGCTCAACGTACAGGTCTATCAGGCTTGACAGCCAAGGAGATGACCGGATTGGGAACAAACATGGATTCCTATAAGGCACAACAATAGCGGCATACGGCAGACACAGACATGAACACACACATGAACAGTGAACACAGACATGAACACACACACACACACACATAAGCACAGAACATGAAAAACAGAACATGAAAAACAGACAAACAGCGCACAGACTACAGAGATGATGAATCCACTATGTGGAACATACCAAATGGCAGTGGTACATAAGTCAAGCCGCGTGTAGCCAGCAAATAAGCACCATTAGCAGATACTAAATCTACAGTAAGTAGAACAGAGGAAACACCAGGACACATCTTATGAGCTGCAGCTCTGCCAATGTAACCAGATCAGATTAACACTGCAATATGGAGGTCCTACTTCACATAGAATTCTAAAGCAGCTTACCATAGTTAACTGCTTATGGGGAGGGTCGAGCTTCTGTGGCATGAAGGTATCACCAGAGTTGCACTCCACTCCAAAGAAAGCAGCAATGTCACCGGCCCGTACGGATGCGATGTCCTGTACACACACACACACACACACACACACACACACACACACACACACACACACACACACACACACACACACACACACACACACACTTGTACTTGCTCACTGCCAGAAGCTGGCCAAGTGGGTCGTCCCTTGGGGGAGAGAGAGATTCAGAAGAAATCTTGGGAGATGGCTCGATTGTCCATTGAACCGCCCAACGGCTCACCATCCAGAACTCCCCGACCTACGGGCGGACTTTAAAGATATGACCTCACTTATGAGCTCACCACACCGCAGTGAGTGGGTGAGGACAAGGTGCAGAAACAGGATTGACGGCATCAGGGTACCCATCCCGGGATCCAACTGCATTTACCCCTGCCCCCAGTGAAGACAATACATACTACTAGTGTGGGTAGCCAAATCAGAGTGGATCTGATGTAGGCTCCACTAGCAACATTGATTACACAGGACTATGACAAGAGTTTTAATCTTGCCAGAAGTAGCTCATTGGTCAATAGGTGTATACGCACACGCGCTCGCACGCACACCAGCACGTGCTCAATCATTCAAATGCAACGATGTACATCGAGTGATTAAATTCTTAGTGACCTCCACTCTGGAGCCAAGTTAGGCGCGCCAATGAAAAGTTGGCACTTGCAGCGTTGACTGCCATTTCTCAAGAATACACATTGCAGATTACATTACAGTCAACTTGGCTCATAACGACTGCTGCGGATATAACGACAATTCGCGAATAACGACTGCGGATATAACGACAATTCGCGAATAACGACAGAATTTCCATGCCCAGTTCAAAGTCCAATCCAACTGTAATACATATAATGAGACTTCGGGTATAACGACACTTCGCGAAAAAGGACACTTTTTCATGCCCTGCCGAGTGTGGTTATAAGCGAAGTTGACTGTATTATAGAGAAACTAGCAAAATACCCGGGGCTGTATTATCCATAGCAACACATTACCTCCATGTTGTTGCTGTGCATGCGCACAATTCGCGGTACACGAAGCTTCTTGCCAGTACGCGTGTTAATCAGGGTAGTGCCCTTCTCCAACATGCCTTGGTAGATACGCATGTAAGTCAGCTGGCCATACTTCACGTTCTGCAAAGGCCCATCGACACATAGACCCATAGACACACACACACGCACGCAAAGAGAGCAAGGATAACTCAGTACATAAATGCAGCTAAGTACTTGTACAGAACATGAAATATGCTTACAAGTAATATAGAGTTGGTCAATGAAATCCGTTTGAGTAGGTCACGTACGCACCGGGCACTGCGAAGCCCTAAACCTGCCAATACTCGGATTTTCACAGATACAGGGCGCAAAGCTCACTCACTCGATTGGATGTCATTGAGCAGCACTGAAGTACTTTCAAAGAAACTGGTGAGCTGTTTTATGCGATAGGACATAATTATCGTAATCGCTCGATTAGAACTGATCTCCAACAAAACACCTCTTGAACAATAGCCCCCATGAAACAACTGCTTGAAATAATACCAGCCCCTCTTGGATAGAAGCTAGGCCTACTATTCGCACAGCATGGGGTAACCAAGCAGTGCCATGTTCAGTAACGTCAAGTGCGTACAAAACATCACGTGCATGTACATGTACATGTACATATCCAGGTTGACACAGTGTGTGTGAACTAACCAGAGGCCGAGTTGCTTTGAATATTAAAATTTCAGTGATTTGATTGGAATACCACGATGCCTTGAAACAATAGAAGCCAGTCTTGACTCTTGAACAGAAGCCTCCTCCAAATTGGCATCGTTAAAATAGAAGCCCCCACTTCTAATCGAGTGAGCACGGAAACTAAAATACACTTCAAAGTCGAATGGTGGGCACAAGGTCATGCACATTTGTCAGGCATACCTCAAGCTTGAATGCCAAACCCAGGAAGGGCTTGGTAATATCCTCTCTCTTGGGATCCAGGGAGACTTTCTTGGCCTCTTCCCCAACAACAAGAGCAGTGTTGTTGACTTCTGCAGGATGTGGTAAGTAGTCAAGCACTCCATCCAACAACGGCTGGTGGTGGACAGCAAAGAACAAAAAGGCAAAAGAAAGAAACAACACATAACAAAGTATCTACATGTAGAGCAAGGGATGTGTGGTGTGGTGTGGTGGTGTGTGTGTGTGTGTGTGTGTGTGTGTCCCCCATATGGTGCAGTGGTATGTGCAGCGATTTCCAATCGATAGGTTGCGGGTTAGATTCCCGACGATTATGGTCACACACGTCTTTCTTCTCTTTCTCAGACTCTTCCGGACTTTTCTTTCATTCTCATGGGTGGTTCCCAACAGCCAGAGCATGCCGGAGTATGTGGTGTGATGTGTGTGCGGGAAAAAAATGAAAAGACCAAAAATAGGGATTCACAGCCACACTAGCTCATTTTTACTACTTCGAAGTACTTATTATTTGCCATGGCGACCCCCGTAAGTCCAAATAGCTGGCCGGGCAGGGTTGGGCCTTTTTTTCTTTTTCTTTCAAAAAAAAAATAGGGATTCACTGGCCAGAAAAAGTCACTTCAAATAGCTACATGGTGTAGACCAGGCTGAATAGTGACGGTCAATTCTTCAGCCTTGCAAGCTGTTGAATGGTGCAATCCCAGCACAAGTTGCTATGGCTTCTGCCGTAGCATTGCTATCATCGCCTCCGGCGATGGGCGTCAAAGGTCAAAGGTGTGTGTGTGTGTGTGTGTATGTGTGGTGTGTATGTGTGGTGTGTGTGTGTATGTGGTGTGTGTGTGTGTGTGTGTGTGTGTGTGTGTGTGTGTGTGGTGTGTGGTGTGTGTGTGTGTGTGTGTGTGTGGTGCGTGTGTGTGTGTGTGTGTGTGTGTGTGTGTGTGTGTGTGGTGTGCGCGTGTGTGTGTGGCATGTGTGTGGCGTGTGCGTGTGTGTGTGTGGTGTGTGTGTGGTGTGTGTGGCATGTGTGTGGCGTGTGTGTGTGTGTGCGTGTGTGTGTGTGGTGTGTGTGTGGTGTGTGTGTGTGTGTGGTGTGTGGTGTGTGGTGTGTGTGTGCGCGTGCACATCCCATAATGGTGCTGATGCCTGAAAGCATGGACAGGGTAGATTTTGATCGCTTCGGCCTGCACACTTGACACCCTCAGCAAAACACGATAATCCCAAACAGTATTATGGGATACGAGTTTGATGATTAGCAAGCTGTAGAGCTGCTTGACGATATTTCTGCACTGTGCAGCACAGCATACGCACTACTTGTACACAGTAGAGTTGCTCATCTGTCCACACAGTGCTCAATATCACAATGGGCAGGGCTTCCGTACAAAGGCAGAACAGGTTTTGCTTGCAACTTGAGTTTCACGCCATGCAATCCCCAAGCAAAATGATTCTTGAGAGCAGTGTCATACAAGTACAACATTGCCAACCAAATCACATGACATGAACAAAGTTCAAAACTTACAAAGAAAGAAAAAGAGTACTTCCTCCGCGTCATTAAAATTGTCGCTTCCCAGAGCGATTTTTCGAAAATTATTTTGTCCACTCGAAGGGCACAGAAATCAGCTAGAAATTGAGGCAGAGCATTGTCGACGGGCCAAGCTTTAGTTTGTGACCCCCCGCTTCGCTGCACTTGCAGCTAAGGTCGACGTCTTCATCAGAGTTTGAGGCAGACCCTTCAGCACTCAACAAGACGCTGAACAAGACGCGCGTTCAAATTCAGGTCAAGAAACTTCGTTTTCAGGCGATCCATGCCTCCAGGTGCCAGGCGATGAAGGCAAGCTAGCATTTTTCAAGTACACTGTAACGACCTTCCAGCGGGACAGGGTAAGCAGTTCCGCACCTTCTTTCCTTGGCAAGCGCTTCGCTGATTTTGTTGGTGTTTTCAGACCTGCTACCTTCGCAGCAACATGCGCCACAAGTAGCGCATTTTAGGAATTTGAGACCACTTTGTTCTTGCCATCGCCAACTTCAGCAGTTTGTATTCAGGAGAGATACCAGGATTCTTATACCCAAGCTTGCAGTCTTGACAAATGCCCACGCGAACGATGTGGGACGGCACGAACTCCAGAAAACGAAATGCGCTCTGGGGCGGAATAGTGCGGAGCGCGATGAATTTGCTTGGTGCGGAAGAGAGCTCCGACAAAGTTCGAGACCACCACGGCTTCAGTGACAAGTAGACATTGTGCAGGAAGGGTCACACCAGTGTTCGAACACAGAAAACAGCGATTCCGATAGTCTGACTAAGACGAGCCAAGTCACAAATATTGCGATGTGCGAAGCGACAATTTTAATGACGCGGAGGAAGTATATTATAGATGCGTACCTGTACACCCTTGTTCTTCAATGCGGATCCCACAAAGACTGGAGTAAATTTACGAGCAATGGTATTCCTACGAACCGCAGCCTGCACACAAGAACAAGGAACACCAAATTACACAAGATAAAGAGCTCTGCGAGGCAAGGCATGTTGGTGAAACATAATGGAACGTGAGCGAGCGAGCGAGCGAGAGAGAGAGAGAGAGAGAGAGAGAGAGAGAGAGAGAGAGAGAGAGAGAGAGAGAGAGAGAGAGAGCCACACCAAAAAGCCTGGTAATGAGGGGTGCAGGGAGTATTAAATTGAAAAAATATACGAAACCCCTGCTTGAATGCATGAAAACCCCCGACTTACATCTGTCGTAAAAAGACCAGGACAGATACAAGGAGTTGCAACAAAAAAATCGACTTTCAGTTACTGTCCCATTGGCTGACTAACCTTGAGCTGCTCCTTTGTTGGTTCCTTCTCCTCGAGGAAAAGCTCTCCAATCTCCTCATCGACGTTAGCAAGACACTCTGCAAGACACAATACCAAACAGTTTTTATGGCAATCAAGAGTACTAACTGTGCGGTAACCATGCTTTACTACTATAGTAACGAACACGGGAGAAAAATGTGAATGTGAAATGTACATACCGGCATAAAAGAAGAAGAAGTGTTCAGAACCGTTTTCGCGTAACGATCATCATATATGTAACTATGGATGGAATCCCATGTTCGTTCCTATTGTAATAAAGCATGGTTACCGCACAGTTAGTACTCTTGATTGCCACATTAAAGTTGCTGTCTCCAAAACGCTACTTTACATATTTTATTTGTTATGCTATTTTCTTATTCAACTCAATCTCATGGCACATGCATGCAACACTAATACGGGGAGCAACCCCAGAGATGAGGGCAGTACCCAACCATGACAAAACAACATTAACATTCTGACTCATAAGGGGAATAAAATGCCACTGCGATGCAACGTGAGATGGTCAATAGACCCACAGATAGCGGCAAGGTGGCACTAACTTCAAGTCACACCGGTATACGCTTGCACGGCAGACAGAAGAAGCAAGCAAACACCAGATTCGTATCATTACTTTGGGCCAAGAGCGGTGAAAAGGGAAAAACCTCTCATCACAATCCTTTTCATGATCAGCAACACTGGTGGACTACATCTTGTTCCTGTAAAGCAAAAACAACGCTTCAAAGAAGCAGGTCTCCCAGCTCTACCGCTTTGACTTGTATGCGGATAGAAAGTTTGGTTCAGCAATCAAATCCAAACACGAAAATTAGGCCTGGACATACCTAGAAGGTCCTGGCGCTTCTGCTTGACCTCATCAAGCATATCATCAGGGATAGGCCCCTTTCTGATTTGCATGCTACACAAAACAGAAGAACAAACACAAGCACACATACACGTGAAAGCCGTGAAAGGTGTTTTCTTTTTTTCGGAGTCTATCCCAGCCATGCGTGCCAAGCATCGCAAGCTACTGCAGCACAGCTGCGAGCAACACAACCAAGTTTGTTCCAACCCGCAACATGATGATACATTGTGCTTTGGAAACAAAGGACTATCCCCCCCCCCCCCCCCCCACGCTCTTCAGCTGTGATGAAAGAAGCGGGCCAACGTCCCCCAGAGAGCTATACATGCGGAACACGAGAAAAGATAGAAGTCGTAGACTGACCGGCACAGTTACGGAATGAGATAATGTCTACAGTAGGCCTAGTCTACAGACATTGTCACCGATACACTCACCCATGGTCACCTTCAAAGTACAGCGTCTCCTCTTCAACGATGTCCATGATGGCTGAAAAGTCGGATTCAAGGCCAATAGGAAGCTGAACAAAGGCAGCATTGTGACCCAGCTTATTCCTGAAGGGAAGATCGGAAAGAAAAAATCATCTAAAAAAAGTGAGCGATTACACCGATTACTTGGAACTTACTCGTTATCTCTATGATCGCTACTCGTTATGCTGTTATCGAGTATGCACGACTTGTACATGTGCAGTGTACATGTGCATAGTACTAGCTTAGTCACACTGTCTGCACTGCACTGTCAACCCCAGCACTGCGCGTCAGCCAAGGTGACAAAATAATTCACACCTTTTTCTAGTCACCTTCGCACTTTTGGGATCCGGTGTGTAGATCTACCACGCTGCAGCAAAACCAACTGGCTGTGGAGGATTTGATTGTCACTGGGAGTCGAGCAAGGCGCCTGTTTGTAGGCATCCGCATTCGTGACATACAAGTACATGTAGGAGCGTATACTAGTACATGTACTGTATTTAACTGTATGCACAAGTCCTTCAGGCACTTATCATGTTCCGGAGACCAGTATCATTTTGATACGCCATACATATCCACAAGAGAACATAAACCAGAGTGTGCAACTCGGGATGGTTCCTGTGGGAGCGTAATTCGTGCAGTACGTCATTTCTGACGGCATGGTAAGCCACAGGTACGGTGAAAAGTTGCGTAACCAGTCGCGGTGGTGCAGGTCACTGAGTTTGTCCTGATTTCGGTTTTTTGATATGGATAGCCTGGTGACTTTACTTGTCAGTGGATGTACGCAGCGTACACAGTCACACAAAACACCGAAATCCTTAAACTGGACGTCTAAAATCAAGCAAACTTGGCTGATTTCCGGGCTATGAAACTTGAAAATTTGAGCTGTACGCAAGTCGCGGCTTGGCTGACCTCATCAGGGTGACGTAGTGCACGAACTGCGCTGTTTCAGATCTGATATGCACAGTTGCACACTCTGGTTTATGTACTCTTGATATCCAGCATACTCGTTTTATGATAACTCGATCGTTTATAATAAACGGTACTCGATAAGAAGAAATGGATGATCATTTCATCCCTAAAAAAAAAGATGCAATACGTAAAAGAGGTAAGCACAACCAGCCGGGACCTATACATGTACTCAAATGGGCGTACCACTAATAGAGAGTTGAGGTTGGATATAACGGTAATGACACTCCTCCAGGAGATCAAAAAAGGAACAATAACTCATCTTTGGAAAGGAATTGCTACGCGTCAGACGGGAAACAAGATCTAGATTTGCAACAAAGTCAACCTGACGCTACAAGTACTTGGTACATGCAAGGTGTTTTAAAAGTATATGCAGGGTGTTTATAATGATCCAATCTCCACGGTAGTGAGGGCATCTGTATAGAAGCCGGAAAAGACATGCAGAATACTTCGATAGCCTGGCACATACCTCATGGCTCGTATTGTACGAGTATGACTAGCATTCCATCTGCAAACAACATGCGACATAAACCACGCTTGAGCACACAAATACAAAAGGAGAGCGACTACAGTCCTGCTCAATGAAAATCTTATCACACGAGCCGAGTATGCGATGATGGGCGCTGTGCAGCCCTAGACCTGTGAACACTGGGAGGTGACCAGGTAGAAGGCGCACAAACGACACACCTCTGCAGTGCCAGTAACTGCACGGTCAACAACAGTGGCAATACAACAGGATAGACAGTTCACGAGTCCTCAGGACATATTGTACTACACACTACTGATAATGGAAGTTGTGGGTGAGAGGTGCTTAAACACCAGAAAAACCTACTGCGTGAGATGAACATTTCACATGCGGGAATCATCATGATAATAATACCGAATGCCTATGGAGATGAATTCTTTACCTGTCTAACTTGTTGATGAATGCTACACATGGTACACTGTAGCGCTTCATCTGTCGGTTTACAGTAAGAGTCTGACTCTGAAACAGCAAATCAAAAGAGAACAGCCATACCACAGTGCGTTTTCCTGGATGTGGACGGTGAATAGGAGAAAGAAAACAATCAGACACAACTGCTGAGCATGTACTCGTACTTGACAAGAGTGAGCGATGGACCTTGTAAATGACTAGACTCAAGACAGGATGGCGTCCGGGATAGCCAGAGAACAGAAGATAGTCTCCCGTGTATAAGCATTCCCACTAACCTGTACACCGCCCACAGCGCACAGGACGAGGATTGCACCATCCAGAACACGCAGTGAACGCTCTACTTCTACAGTGAAGTCAACGTGACCTAATGCAGAGAAATGCAGGTAAACAAACATGCACACATGCATGCAGACAGCACAGAGCACAGGCAATGATTCAAGACTGCAACACAGGGAACCGAATACCGAATTACAGCCACACTTCTTCAAGTACTTCAAGTACATGTATAGTCCTATCTTCAGAAAAGAAAAGAAAAATTGACGATTCGCTTGAGACTCGGTTAGGCTGAGTCCTCAGCATATGTATGAACGCCACCATCCTGCAAAGATCTATCTTCAGAAACCAAGATGATATTCTCAAATGTTCAAACTGAGCTAACCCGGTGTGTCAATGATGTTGATGTTGACATCCTTCCAAGTTGAGTAAGTAGCCGCAGACTGGACACAACGACAAACAAAGAGCAGGAACTTGAGCAACAAGAGATGAACAGAACGAATTACAGTCATGGGCAACACAAAAACAAACATAATCAACCGACGTTGTACAACAGCACCAAAAGAACAGTTAAATTCAGAATACATGTTACTACAGTACACATTGTTTTCTTTCTGGGTCATCAAGAGGGGAAAATCATGAAGTTGAAGAGCAAGGTTTCTGTTCGAAATGTAGCCAGAAGAAAGCAGGAGAATGGACCTTCATCGGTGACAAGACTTTACTGGAATAGAAACCATTCCGTGTACAGTCAAGTATCGCGGGACCACCCCGGCACAGTACGTGGTCATGTTTTGTATGCGGAGCGGATGAGTGAGTCCTGTCTGTAGGTTGTATGGCACGCAAATTGCCATTGAAATTGGACAAACAATCCGTACTCATTTTACCTTGCAGCGGAAGCAAGCACCACGCAAACAGCGTGTGGGCTGGTATAGGGCCACGTATGACCCGAATACACTCAGGTTCTCAAACCGTATGAACTTACAAATGCACTCGTCCGTACAATTTCTAATCCCTGCCTGTAAATTAAGGTGGGGCGTTTACAGTACATGTACAGTAGAACCTGTCAAGGGGACTGCTCGGATAAGTTGACCACCTGTACCAGAAGACCACTGCAACTACGGGTACAAGTACTGTCGTGGACATGGAAATCCAGTTTCGGGGCCGGCGCCCTCAGCGTGTACAGAACGTTGAAAAATGTTATGTTGATCCGATGCGACCAGCAGCGCATAATACATGCATGTGTGTACTAGTACTGCTAACCTACGGCTGCATGGCCAGCGCCCTGGGGCCGCTAGACGTGCGACCGGATTTCCATGTCCACGACAGTAGGACAACGGCATGTTGTTTCTAGTCAAATGACCCTGGATAAGGAGACCACATTTCTTTTAAGTCCCTTGAGCGGTTGTGTTAGACAGGTTTCACAGGTTTAACAGGTTTCACAGTGCATGTACATGCAAACACAGCAATAGCATGGCATCTGCCAGATATACCGCAGCATCAGATTGGTGAGCGGGTTCTTACCTGGATTGTAATACCACGCTGACGTTCCAACTCCATAGAATCCATGACAGCGCCGACTTCATCCTTACCGCGCACCTGACACAAAACACACACATACACGCAGATGAAAGAGATGTCAGGCCATGAAGCTATTGTCGGCAAGCCGTGACAGCATCCACCCAACATGGCCGTATTGTCATCAAGTGCAACACAGTAAAAAAAATACATGTATAAGTAGTACAGTACAGCATCAGTCTACACACCTCGTGCATTTCATTGATTCGACCCGTGTAGAACAAGACACGCTCAGTTAGAGTGGTCTTGCCAGAATCAATATGGGCTGAGATTCCAACGTTGCGGATACGTTCATTAGGAAACTGCAAGAGCAAAACAAACAGCATAACAAGAATCAACAAGAAAGATAGTATCAGCGAGAGTACAATAGACTCGGATTCCTTTTAACAGCAGCAATCCTCGTCACTGCCGGTCAGGTCAGTAAAGAATGCTGTTCGACGTACTACCAAAGGGGATGTTGAAAAAAGTGAATTTACTGCAAGGAATAGCTTTATAGGGACAATAAGGGCACCGAAATACACAGCGCCAAATCATCAGGAATGCACACACACACACACACACACACACACACACACACACACACACACACACACACACACACACACACACACACACACCTGGTCCTGGTAAACACTGCCATTACGGTCACGTGTCCCCTTACGGGGCCGACAATATAGAACGACGAGCGGGACCATGTTCGAGAGAGCCATCTCCAGCAGCTATGGATCTGGCTTATCATCGGAAACGATTCCTCTCACGGCTGCCGCTAGAACTGGTCCATCACTCTCCACAACAGAGCGAACATTCCATGAGCCAACGCTCAGAGTCGTTCCAAGTCGTTGTCTTTGTGCGGTAGTTTGCTCCACTCGCGGGCTTGCAAAGCCTCGCGAAGGACTCCGAGGTGGGGGCGACGAGGAGAGTGTCGGCATCGTAACTATCCGACCAAGTCTCCTGTCGGTGAATACCCCACCTCAGGCACTGTTGGCTTGGACGGCTGGGGACACCCCAGGCCGTCCACAACGGCGAGAACAAGCACGGACGGAGGCCAGAAACAAGAGCCCGAAAAAGTACAACCGTCCTCCACCAGAGCAGAGAACACACACATTGTCAAGATGTTCAACTATTTGAAAGATTTTCTTATCGGAGGAAACGATTCCTCCCACGGCGGCCGTTCGAACTGGTCCATCACTCTCCACAACAGAGCAAACATTCCATGAGCCAATGCTCAGAGTCGTTCCAAGTTGTCGTCTTCGTGCGGTAGTTTGCTCCACTCGCGGGCTTGCAAGGCCTCGCGAAGGACTCTGAGGTGGGGGCGACGAGGACACACACACACACACACACACACACACACACACACACACACACACACACACACACACACACACACACACACACCATTGGACCATTGGACGCCCATCGCCAAAGGCGATGCTACAGCAGAAGCCATAGCAGCTTGTGCTGGGATTGCACCATGCAGCAACTTGCAAGGTTGAAGAATTGACCGCCACTATTCAGCCTGGTCTACACCACACAGCTATGAAGTGACTTTTTTCTGGCCAGTGAATCCCTACTTTTTGGCCTTTCACACACACACACACCATTGGACCATTGGACGCCCATCGCCGGAGGCGATGATAGCGATGCTCCAGCAGAAGCCATAGCAGCTTGTGCTGGGATTGCACCATTCAACAGCTTGCAAGGCTGAAGAATTGATCGCCACTATTCAGCCTGGTCTACACCACACAGCTATGAAGTGGCTTTTTCTGGCCAGTGAATCCCAACTTTTTGGTCTTTTTCATATTTTTCCGCACACACACATCACACCACATACTCCGGCATACACTGGCTGTTGGTAACCACCCAGGAGAATGAAAGAAAAGTCAGGAGGAGTCTGAGAAAGAGAAGAAAGACGTGTGTGACCATAATCGTCGGGAATCGAACCCGCAACCTATCGATTGGAAATCGCTGCACATACCACTGCACCATATGGGACACACACACACACCATGTACCATGTATACGCCCGTCGCAAGAGAAGCACGCAAATCTGCAAATGCACTGGATGTGCACCCACAGATTTTCTCTTTATAGCAACGATAGCGGATCTGATTCTGATTGAAACAGATCAAGACAAGCGCCACACACACACACACACACACACACACACACACACACACACCATGTATACGCCCGTTGCAAGAGAAGCACGGAAATCTGCTATAAATGCACTGAATAGAGAGGTTCCGGGGTACGATTTTCCGTGCCAAAATCCGTATGGGCGCTACGGATTTTTTCCAGGCGTGCTCCATATGATTTTCCGGCACGGAGAATCCGGGTGGACTGGCTTTCATACGAACCATGTTTCGTATGGAGATTTTGCGTCATCGGGTGCAGAAAGATTTTTCGCGTACAAATTTTGTACGTGAAACATCGATTTTCCGCGGGAAGTTTTGATTTCGATACAAATTTTCAAAATAAAAAGGCATAGCGCGGGAATGTGACGTGTTTGCGATCGTAACCCAGGCAATGACGGCAAACACATAAGTTCCGTACTCCGGAACATTTCACTGCTTGAAAACGACGTATAAAAAATCCGTAATGCCTCTACGGATTTTGGCACGAAAAATCATACTCCGGAACCTCCCTAATGTGAACCCACTGATTTTCATTCACTCCCCTCCCCCCCCCCCCCCCCCCCCCCCCACACACACAAACACGCACGTGTGCGCGCTTGGTATGAACCAGGGAAGTCAAGTGTAGAACCTGGCCACTGAATGTGCTGCGTACAGTATCGTAATGTTCATGGAGTCCTCATTGAAATGTGGTGACATGACATAGATAGCCAAGCACCACCATGTCACTACATGTAGTAAGTTATACAGACAATGGCATTGCTTCATAGGAACTTACATGGGACGAGTCAGACGAGCAGCGGAGACACCCATAACGCAGGAGATGTGCCGGCTGCATACAAAGAAGGCAAAAATAAAGGATTCTTACCCTAAGGATTGGCTGAATTGGCTGCAGTGGAGTTTGTGTCAGTGTTACACTTCTCTACCCATTCAACTCAACCCAGGTGGGAAACAAAGGAGCTTTCATATGGACGGGGATGGAGCTGCAGCAGAGTATTCAAACGGTACCAAATCACCATGGCTGTTTTGTATGTGGATACAGTGCAGCATGTTCAACTCTGGCTGAGGTTTTGCTCCCTGGGCCGAGTTAAAAGTCAATCCGTATCGAATACAAGCCAAGCAATGCGCCAAGGCTCCAGTCAATTTGCGTTCATGCTGGGTTGAAAGTCGATTCGCCCCAAATTTCAGAGGGTCACCCCGAACAACACGTTTCTTTACAGCGCTGGCCAGTGAAATTTGCCCCATCAATAACGTATCCTTGCGTTTGAGTGCACTACACAATGGGTGTACTGCTCATGCCATGCGGTGTACTGTATTATTCCCGTAGCTATGCAGAAGACGTTACTGGCGCTAGCCAGGGTCCACACAGCTTTAATTTGGTATTTGTTTGTGTCACGCCTGGCGCTATCCGTATCTGACGGCAAAAAAGCATAGGATGTTATAAATTTTTCAATTCTCCTATTTTTTTTTCAGGCATATCCTGGGATTCGAACCTGCACTATCGCCCTACATGCATTCCCCCATACACTTCGCATTCATACCCATTCTTCCAAGTTGCTTCACGTTATTATCTTGCGTTTGAAAGCCCTATTTGAATATTGCGGGCAGCTAGACGGTGTCGTATTACCCTCGATCGTACCTGTCCCGTACCTATCCCCTACCGTACCGTGCCATGAAAGACGGCTGGCCACAATGCATATTCAAATAGGGCTTTCAAATGCAAGATCACAATGTGAAACAACTTGGAAGAATTAGTATGTATGCAAAGTGTATCGGGGGATGCATGCAGGGCGCGCGATAGTGTGGGTTTGAATCCCAGGTTATGTCTTAAAAAAGAGAGGATTTTTTAAAGAATTTATAACATCCCTATGCTTTTTTTTTGTCTAGGTCATCAAGGCAAAAAAGCATAGCGTAGGGCCCTGAGCTTCGAAGCTCTCTCGTTATATTCTTTGGGATGAAAACCACACACCAGGACTTGACCAGGTATCACAAGTGCCGATACCCCGTTTCAGTTTTAGGGCGTGATCGATCAGGCGAATCAAGAGCAAGTGCACTCAGAGCGAGCGTAATCGTTTGGCCGAATTCGGAGTAATTGTACTTGGAGTGCAATCCACCAACACTGGCCCTCACACCGGGAGTGGCTGGTGTGAAAATGGACTTTGACTTTGTTTGACCGCTTTCACAATCTTTGTACGATATGCGTACTACACCTTTGCTTTGTTTGATTGGTTGAGCGTTGGCTGGACCACACCACCTGCTCGCACCCAATCCGGATTCGTCAATCGATGACACCCTTAAAGTGCATTGCAATACGTTGGCCAATGAAATTCAATTCACTCTATGAGTAAATACCAGCCAGGCACTCCACGGCCACAGTGGTACAAACATAAGGATGTGTACTCAAATGTGGTACAGCTTTAAGTGAGGCGGAGGGTGAATTTGTATTGGCCACCACTGTAGAATGTCGACGGCCCAACTAGACACAAGCAATCTCACGACTATAGCATTACTGCAAGGAAATTGTACATTGTGCAGTACTAGGATAGAGTGTGATCATATCCCTGATCTCTTGCTCCGAACATGATTCAAGGTTTTAATTTTTTTTTAAGGCAAAAAGGCAAAAATCAAAATTTCACCAGTTGTAGTCTTCGGGGTGCTGAGTCGAATGGTCTTGGTCCGAGAAAGCTGAGACGCTCCCTTCCTACTTGAATCCCAATCGAACTCGCGCACTTCCACCGAAACTGGGTGACTGCACCCTACTAGATGGGGATTTGTATGCAAAATGTCACTAAAAGCGCCATTTCGTTCTTATAAAAGCACGGATGACCGCGATTGGCCCATATGTTGTAGTCTCTTGGACGCTGAGTCAACTGGTTTTGGTCCGAAAAGGCTGCGATGCAGCGTTCCTCCTTTATTCCCAATCGAACATGGTTGAACAAGCGGTCACGTGCTCCTGGGTGCCCAAATCACCTGGTCAACACGCCAGCAGGCGACAACTTTCACACCAAGGTTCAACTCGAGTGACAGGACTGCACCCAAAAAAGGTCAAACAGGCTAGTAAGTTGTACCCTGTAGGCACAGTGACCAGGTGACTGGTGTACGCAGGAGCACGTGACCGCTTGTTCAACCATGTTCGATTGGGAATAAAGGAGGAACGCTGCATCGCAGCCGTTTCGGACCAAAACCAGTCGACTCAGCGTCCAAAAGACTACAACATATGAGCCAATCGCGGTCATCCGTGCTTTTATAAGAACGAAATGGCGCTTTTAGTGACATTTTGCATACAAATCCCCATCTCGTAGGGCGCAGTCACCCAGTTTCGGTGGAAGTGCGCGAGTTCGATTGGGATTCAAGTAGGAAGGGAGCGTCTCAGCTTTCTCGGACCAAGACCATTCGACTCAGCACCCCGAAGACTACAACTGGTGAAATTTTCATTTTTGCCCTAACTTCCCCTTTAATTATACAAATAATCTAGGTGGAGATAAAAGTTTAATAATAGCTATGAAAAGTATGAATGCCGCAGACATCACCACGCAACATGACAATTTGTTCAAGGTTTGGTTTTGTGTGTTTCCAAAATCGATTTTTACGCTCCGATCATCAGTGGAAATACGGAACTAAAGAGATCAAGGGAAAAACAAAGGTTAAAAATCCAAAGAAGAGTGATGGAGCTGATGAGGGTGAAATTCGTAAGAAGTCAGCTGTGTACTTGCATTTGTTATCTCGTCCCGATTGTTTGAGTGTGTATGATGATTCCCACTTCTCTGTACTGTGTCGTGCCCGTTATGTCCAGCAGTTGAGGGTCCTTGAAGCTGTTTGTATTCGTACGCATAAGCCCGATTTGTGTAAGCAAAAAGAACATGTTTTAGCACTTAGGTTATTTTCGTGAGTTTGCACCCCGTGTTCATGAGTTGTTTCTGCACTGTTCATGCCCGTTTGTCACACTTACTCTTTATTTTAGTTCTCACTTTTTGTAATACTTCCCACAAGTTACCCGTCATGTGTCACACTTCTTTGGATTTTTAACCTTTGTTTTTCCCTTGATCTCTTTAGTTCCGTATTTCCACTGATGATCAGAGCGTGAAAATCGATTTTGGAAACACACAAAACCAAACCTTGAACAAATTGTCATGTTGCGTGGTGATGTCTGCGGCATTCATACTTTTCATAGCTATTATTCGGATTTATTCCCCTTTAATTATTAATTTTATGACTGCTTGATCCATCATCTCATACTTCAAACGGTCTTGGTTAGAATACCTAAAAGGTCGAGAGACCGTTTGAAGTGTGAGATGATGCATAGACATACTGCAGTGGAGTCTTCACAGTTCGAGAAGACGACTGGTCCATCCTTGATTAGTTTAGAAGATTCGTGCATATGAACATGCTTGCACAACGCACTGCGACATTAGGCTACATTAAATTTTGTAGATCAGTACTAACTACTACGCAAGTACACCTTATTCTCCAAAGAGAGGTAGAGAATACTAGTATTCATTCATTCTCAAGGGCTGAAAAACACAACAAATTTTACAGAAGTCAAATACCTGGTTGCCGCTGAACTGACGCCCAAGCCGGAGCAAGCGTCCTCCTAGCGTCATCTTCAGCAAAGAAGAGTATTCTATTCTAGAAGAAACTAACTTGCTGAATGATAACTACCTTGGTGCTCCTTCGACACTACTGACTATTTCTTGTGAAAGTCATGATCATGATAACATTACGTGACCCAAAAATAATGACTGAAGTCACAAGTGTAACATTTCAGTTGATTTCAACGACGCCATAGCCAGTTACCATAGTTATGATACCATACATGTGATATTTGCGCATGCGCGAATCCTTTCTTTCTCTCTCCCTCTGTCGTCCTGAGCGTCGAGCACCATTGGCCGGTTAGTTGAATTTTAGAGGCCTGTTTTGTAGAACTAGACTTGGATGGAACCTGATCGCTGCTGAAGTGGAATCTTTTCGAGCAGGCTGACGTTTTTTTCTGTGTTTGATTCCTTCCACTAAAAATTGAAGGCGAAAATGTCTTCACATGCCGTAAAGTAAGTATTAGTTTTTTCGATATTGCACACATACAACACTACTCAGAGTCTCATGGGCATTCTACTTTGCCGAATCACTCGTGTAGATTGTACTCCAAGGGAGTTGTGCTCGGCTACAAACGTGGCCTTCGCAACCAGCATGAAAACACTTCCTTGATCCGTGTGCAAGGCGTGAACGAGAAGAAGGACACAGACTTCTACATGGGCAAGCGTGTCGCATACGTTTATCGTGCGAGCCACAAAAAGCCCGCTGTCATGAAGGTACGGTTGTTTATTCTGCTAAAGAGTATCTTGTTCCATCATTGTATGACAAAGAAGTTTCAAATTTTTCAACATACAACATTTGATTTATTTTACAGAAATTTACATTCAAAAATTTGTGAGGACTCGGCTGTACCCATCCATTTACTTTCCATCCTCACTATCCTCTACACGATTTCTGTGGTTCAAAACAAAATGTGATTACTGTTCAAATTTCGGGGCCAAGCCTATCCTGGACCTGTCCCCATGATTTGAACAATAATTGAATTTTAATTTGTAGCTCGGAACCGTTTAGGGTATGAAGGGCATATACCGTAAAGTACTGCCAGAGCGCCCCGTCTCGCGAGAGCCCCCCCCCCCCCCCCCACCTTTATTTTACAGCCAAGGGAAGAAAATCGTATGGCAGAATGCTACTAAGTTTGTACGATGTGAGAACCTTCGTGTACTAAGGTCACACTTGGTATGCTTTTATGTGGAGCTCGAAGGTAAACTGGGTACGGATTGACTGCACAATGTGCAATGTTTGTACAAGATCCGTGTCGTATGACCTACAGACAGGAATTCACCTCCACAAGGCGGCAACGAAAGGATGAGATGGTGGGGCGCTCTGGCGGTACTTTACGGTACTAGTATTAAAACGAGAATATTATGAGGGGGATGCACTGTCCAGTAGATTGCGACGCCTATCTACAGACAGTGCATTCCCCTCACATTTTTTAGAGTTCCTTTCCTTTCAGAAGTCACACACACATAAGACATACCTCAGCTCCTTAGAACTTAGAAACCACCTTGGTATGGTCTCTTGAGCGGTGGGCGTACAAATGCGTTTTACTGTAGCTGAGCCACCGTGTACAGTTGTGCTCGGTGAAATCAGAAACAGAGCAAAACTGAGGCCCTGAATCAGTTCTGATTCCATCAATGTGTTTGCGCATGTGTACATTCGGTCGCATTGGCATGGCATCCAGGGGCCGTGCAAATTGTTATAGCGTCAAATATGCACCTTGGTCGGATTTCACCAAGCGCAGCTGTACATGGGACATCATGTTAAAGCCTGGTAAAAGTCAAGCCTGTTCGTTCTTCAGTGCCTATCAGCACTGTCGTCGCTCCCCACACAGCATACCTGCATAGTGATTATAAACCCGAGGAAAATCAGGATGCAGCAGGATCATGCTGATTTGGAATATGGAGTTCTGCCCCTCCGGAGTCATTGACTTGACTTCCACGTATCATAGTTACTATTGGTTACCTGGTGCATTAGCACATGTAGTGCTTGTCCTCCAATAGTATTCAGTTCCAACTCAGTATCGTGATGGTCTTTACATCATTTACGTGACATGGTTGTCCACATACCGTAAAAGCCCATGTATACGCCCACCCTCCGTGTACACGCCCAGTCAGGGGAAGTCAACACTTTTGTTTCTAAATAGCGCCCATGCCCATGTATACGCCCAGGTATGCCGGCAGCGCCAGTACATGTACCGGTACTTGTACCCTATCTCTATTCCAAGTATACGCCCAGTTCCAAAATAACGCCCGTGTCCTTGTATACGCCCAGGAAATCGAGACTGCTATTCTATACGCCCGGGGCCTACTGTATAGCAGGAAATTTTCGGACGGAAATATTTTCGGACAAAGCCGAATTTCGACCTTTCGAACGTATTTAATTTTCGTACAGTGCTGCATGCTAAATGCACGTGTTCGCAATTTCGCATGCGATACGCATGTATAGTGTACATAACTTCACAGGAACAAATTTTAGTACAAAAGAGGCCGTGTACGAAATCGTAAGAAAATAAATTCCGTCCGAAAATTTCATACACGGGCTTTTACGGTATTTGGTCTCGGGTATGGAGCAATGACCCCTTCTGTGTCGCATTTCACTTGTAAACCAAGCCTTCATTACATCATGTGTGTCATCATGTAAAATTATGTCAGGAAGGCATTGTATTTGGCAATTCTAAACATTGGGTGGTTTGTACTGTTACCTTTATACGTATTGGCTTCATCTTCATCATCCAGTACCGTAAAGTACTGCGAGAGCGCCCCACCGTCTCGTTCTTTCGTGGTTGCGTTGTGGAGGTAGTGTCCAGTCCGTGCGTCACACAAAGCGTGCCTTGTACGCAGATAGCACGCCATGCAATCATTCCTTACTCGGTTTACCTTCGAGCGGTTGCGAGCTCCACACATGCCAAGTGTTACCGCATTACACAAGGTTCTCAAACAGTGCAAACTTAGTAGGACTCTGCCATATCATTTTCCTTCCCTTGGCTGTAAAATCAAGGTGGGCGCTCTAGCGGTACTTTCCCTTGCCTTTGCGATGGCTGTTTCTGATTCTCTGATCTCTCCCTATCTGTTGTGCATGCAGCGTGCTCGCAAGGCCAACAAGGTCCGCGTCATCTGGGGCAAGGTCACTCGCTCGCATGGAAACAGTGGTGTTGTCCGTGTTCAGTTCAGAAAGAACCTCCCCGGACAGGCCATTGGCGCATCAGTCAGAGTTGTAAGTCTATTGCTGCCAACTGTCACACCATTCATGCACTCTGTTGGAAAATACTGGCTTGCAGTCATAAGAGCAGTATCACACATCTCTTTATTTTGCATTATTTTCATTCGGCTCTTTGATATACCGCCGCGTCCCGTGGAAAACCCGCGCACCGAGGCTTTTGGGTATGAGCACTAGACCATGTTTACACGACCACTACTAGTGCCCTTTTTCAAGCTTTTGTGCTACGTGTAGTAAGTTAACGTGCTGGTTAGTTAACATTGTTTGCAGCATAGTCTGGGATAAGTATGGAAAATCCAAAATTTTAATTTCCAGACTAAAAAAATATGGAATTGTGTTTGGGAAACTAAATAACACTGTTTTTGTCGATCGGCGTTCCTGTGCCCACGCATATATTTCCAGACAATGGGCTATAGGAATCAGATAAGCTCACTGTACTATCAGCAAGATAATAGACACCCTTAGCTAAACACGTTATGTTGTAACAGTATTATCGTAAGGGGGAAAATACCGTGATTTGGGTTCGACCTTTAGCAAGATGCACGCTATTTTTAGTACGCTGTTGCCACGAGAATAGCTTTGATTTTGCGCAGTACAACCATTTGTGTCACCATGTACGCGATACAAGGTGAAATACGTACGGACTATGCAATATTTGGCCAAGACACGTTCCGTTGGTCACAACGATAAATCAGCCCCCATAACGTTTTTACGCTGCAGCTTCAACGCTATTTGGGTGATCAAGGTACAAGTACCGTAAAAAATAGCGTTACCGTTGTTTGCTAAGGGTGTCTAATACCCATATCCTGTACTGACCTTGACCTTGCTTTTACGCATGTGAGTGTAAGTCTTGTTCGTATTGTGGCTTTGTTTCTGTCTGTGCTCACATTATGTGTGTGGTTTTGTCTTCCGCTTTATCCTCCTACAGATGCTCTACCCATCAAGAGTCTGAGAGGTGCTCCTAATAAACGTTTTTGAAAAATGAACTACTGTGCTCGTTGTGAGTCTGTGTTGTTTGTGGTCGTGATCGCACCGTTGCATGCCCTGTGGATTATTGCTGAATTCCTTACCAGAAAACCCGCTGCTGAACTGAGATCCCACTTGCCATGCGTATGGTGGTGGTGAGAAGTACAGTTCTGTGCCGGTATGGAGCACGCCTTGAAAAAATCCGTAGCGCCCATACGGATTTTGGTACGGAAAATCGTACCCCGGAACCTCCCTATTATTGCTCCGCTGCTCGCTAAAAATGGGCTTGAAACGTGCAACCACAACACTGCACCACATGATGTGAGATTTCGCCGTTGGCGAACCCCATAGAAAGGGTATCACGAGTTGCACACTCTTGGAGGTTATACTCTTGGTAATAGGCAGGGAGTCGTGAAATTTACGACTCCCTGGTAGAGAGGTTCCGGGGTACGATTTTCCGTGCCAAAATCCGTATGGGCGCTACGGATTTTTTCCACGCGTGCTCTATACGATTTTTCAGCACGGAGAATCCGGCCGTGTGGACTGGCTTTCACACGAACCATGTTTCGTATGGAGATTTTGCGTCATCGGGTGCAGAACGATTATTTTGCGTACAAATTTGGTACGAGGAACATCGATTTTCCGCGGGAAGTTTTGGGGCATGATCGATTGGGCGAATCCCGAGTGAGCTTGATCGTTTGGTCGAACCCGATCGAATCCGGAGTAGGTGGACTTGGAGTGGAATCCGACCACACCGGGAGTGGCCGGAGTAGAAATTGACTTTGCCGTTTTTGGAAAGCTTTCACAGAATCTTTGTACGATATGCGTACATTTTGCGTACTACACCCTTGTTGTGTTCGATTGGGCCAGCGTTGTTCAGACCACACCGCCTGCTCGCACTCGATCCAAATTCGCCAATCGATGACACCCTTGATTTCTGTACAAGTTTTCAAAATAACAAGGCATAGCACGGAAATGTGACGTGTTTGTGATCGCAACCTTGGCAATGACGGCATACACATAAGTTCCGTACTCCGGAACATTTCACTGCTCGAAAACGACGTATAAAATCCGTAGCACCTCTACGGATTTTGGCACGAAAAATCGTACTCCGGAACCTCCCTAATTATTAAAAAAAGCGCTCTCTGTCGAAAACTCACTGCGGGTATGCAAATCTCCAGCATGATCATGATCAAGGCAGATATTCGGGTTGCACGCACGCCATCCTACGTTTGTATGTACATGTAGTACGAAACGTACCTGAGACACGTGATGTGAGTTTTCGCTGTCGGAGACAGAGTTGCACACTCTTGGGGGGTTATATACTTTTGGTATCAGGGAGGTTTAGTTCCCACGTAACGGAAACGCGTACGTGGGTGATCCACGTAAAGTGGATGAAGGGCACCCACGTTGCAATGTTGTGTTTAGTTACACGGAACAAACAAAAGCATAAAGCGAAAGGCCCAAACCTGGTCAAAGACGAAGCTACCCGGGCCTAAGAAGCTCATCCAATATTTTGATTTCGTGCTTCGGAAACTTCTTCAGCTGAGCACCCTCACAGCTCGCACAATGCGCTCCATTCTGATTTTCACCCACGTTCTGGCGGAACGTGGGTGAGCCTCCATACACGGTATGTCGTGAATCAGAAAACGCCTGTACGTGGGTCACTGAGTATCACGTGGTACACACACGTAAAGTACCCACGGATTACGTGGGACTAAACCTCTCTATCACCAAGAGTACATAACCCCAAGAGTGTGCAACTGCCTGCACAACCTCTATGCTGTGCTGCGACGGCAGAACTTCACATCACGTGACATGGTTAAAGGTTTTGCTGGCAAACAGTGCAAAGTGACCACAAGAGAACTTGTACCCAAAGCTGGGCTGGGTACAACCCTGTATCTATCATGCACAGAGTGCAAATAATGTGTACGGGTTCATCACGTGATGTGAAGTTCTGCCGTCGCAGACCCCATAGCTGGAGTTGCACACTCTTGGGTTATGTACTCTTGGTATTACGTGTAGAGAGCTCCTTGCCTGTACATATTGTGTGTATCGGAATAGGGACATGTAATTACATAATGCTGATTACCCGAACGTCAACTATCCGAAATGCTTCCTTGCGTTGAAACTGTGAAAAGGTTCAGAGTCAAAATGTAAAAAGATACGGTGTCATTTTGAGTAGCTGCAAAAGGAGGTCGCCAACAATTTCCTGTTGGACTGCCGAAGAGAATGGAAATGAGGAAAACATGCAGGGAGGCTACCGGTAGTATCAAGAGATCCCGGGAGCCGGGGGACTGTGGACTCTTGGTAGTATGTGTGTTTTAGATAGATATGTGACTGATTCTCCTTTTTCAGTCCCGGAACATTCTTCTCACCCAACCCCCTGGACTCGAACCCCGAGGCGTGCGGATAATCGGCACTCTCACTGTACTGCATGAAACCCATTTCATGTACAGTAGAACGCCGATGATCCGGACGTCAACAATCCGGATGATAGATTGCCCGGATCGCCTGATCAGGCTGGACAAAAATTAGCACTCACGGCTTTTTCATTGAGATTTTTGCTGATTTTTCCCACTCGGAGCACCATTCAAGCAATCCATGAGAAGAGTATACAACTCGTGGATGGGTTGGCCCACGGCGGAAATTATTGTTGACGTAATCTTTCTACGACGCACACGCTGCGAGTATGTTGGGAAGTTTTGCCTCATGCACTAGGCCAGGTTTTACATTACAAAGGCGATACCCAGCACGTGTTCTCACACTGCTCTGCAGCAAAATGCGCGTGATCTGTAAAAAGGTGACGTCAGCAATAATTTCCCTCGTGGGCCGGGCTACTAGTAAAGTAGTATCTGCGTCCAGCTAGGAAAGATGCGCGCTAGGTAGGCCTTTCCGGATTATGCGTTTTTTCCTGGTCTAAAATGGAAATGGAAAGTGTTTTGAAAAACCCCTATAAATCAAAAATATTCTTGAAGAAAATGCAAAATTTTACCCAAAAAGCACAAAAAATGCCACCGTTGCCATGGTAACAAAATGGCGACAGCTAGTCGCGTGACATTTGGCACCATGGTGACCATTCATGGTGACCGTGAAGTATTAATTTTTTTATCGCGTGGAAGGGAGTAGTAAAATACCGGTATTTTACGACTCCCTGGCCCAAAGTGGGTCAAAATGGACAAAATGCATTTTGACCCCCAAAATGCAAAAATATGCAAACGCATAATCCGGAAAGGCCTAATGCGCGCGGTGTTGCACACTCTTGTTTATCTACTCTTTTTTTTCTATTTTTTCTCACTGATTATTATTATGACGGCTAGCCCTTGATAAGACGTACATGTATTACAACAGGTTGGAGTCAAAATGTATAACGATAGTGTCATTTTGAGGAACTGGAGTGCGCCTACAATAATTATAGTTCGTTATAAATGCGATTAATAGTATAAGTGAAGCGGACATTACAAAATGATGAATGAGAATACATGTATCTAAAATGGTTGTTCCTAATCGATTTTCTCGTTGAGACTATCATCAGGGAAAAATCGTCTCACAATAGAGGCTATACGGAGAAACAAACTACTTTATAGGATAGTGGGAAGTATACAAGGTGAGGTGTGAAAAAAAAAACTAAAGTGGGAGAGAAGACGAAAGAAATTAGAAGAAAAGATGTGAGAGTGTTCCGACGGTGTGAGCTACTACAAAAGGTGAGTGAAATGAAGGCGTGGAAGCAGGTGAATGTGATAGAGTGAGGAACTGTGAAGTGTAGGTGTATGCGAATGAATACGTGTGTGAATGCTAGGTGAAGAGTCTCAGTTTTGTGACATTTTCTCACCTTGTATACTTCCCACTATCCTATAACCTATAAGTACTGAAGTAGTTTGTTTCTCCGTATAGCCTCTATTGTGAGACGATTTTTCCCTGATGATAGTCTCAAGAAAATCGATTAGGAACAACCATTTTAGATACATGTATTCTCATTCATCATTTTGTAATGTCCGCTTCACTTATACTATTAATCGCATTAATAAAGTTATTGTCTCCTCGTCGCCTTTTCAATATAGTTCGTGTTAGTCATGTACTGCCGAAGAGAATGAAACATATTTGCATAAAAATATGCTATCTGACGTGTGGCCGCTCCCTTATCCGAACATTCTTCTCATCTGAACCCCCTGGAGACAGCCCGCGCCCCGTGGGGTGCGGATAATCGGCAATATGTTGGCCTATTCCATATTCAAAGGCATGTTCTGCAGATTTGTAGGCATGCTTGGCAATTTTATTATCCTGCAATATTACCGGAGGGTGTACCCAGTGTGCTGACAGTGCTCAACGCCGCGGAGGCAGAGCGCAGTACAGAACAGAACGACAAGGATAATCTAGGCTTGTTTGCTGCGACTTGAAGTTTCATGCTCTCGCAATTATCAGGCAACTGTTGCCTGATGATTGCGAGAGCATGAAGCTTCAAGTCGCAGCAAACGACCCTTGATTGTCCTTGTTGTTCTGTTCTATATCCTGCAATATTAAATTATCAGGCAACTGTTGCCTGATGATTGCGAGAGCATGAAGCTTCACTTGAAGTCGCAGCAAACGACCCTTGATTGTCCTTGTTGTTCTGTTCTATATCCTGCAAGACCTTATGCCGGTTAGTACTAGTTGTACAGATCCACGCAATCCCGTAGAATCCCGTAGACCCGGTTGGGTGTTCATTGTGTGCTATGCATGCGCATTTGACCGCTTTAATAGCCTCATAATTTATTGGCAAGCAATCGCTTTTCCAGCTTCTTCACTTTGGTTAGAACTCAGTAGTAATGACTAGCTAGATCTTTGTCAGAAAAAGGATTTCGTATGAAATTCCTTCAGGGCCCATTTCTTCGGTAGTGGAAATAGCAGAAAACAAAACACAAAAGGGTCCTGCACATTCAACACCCAACCGGGTCTACGGGATTTCGTGGATCTGTACAACTAGCACTAACCGGCATCGTAAGCCTTATTAATTTTTACTCCGAATGGTTCTTTACAATCTGTGGCTCTAGCACAATTTGTGGGTTCAGCAATAAAAAGGATAATTTTGTGTAGGCACTCAACAAAACTGGCAACTGACAGTGATACATTTGAACCAGGGAGTAGTAAAATACAATATTTTACTACTCCCTGATTTGAACTGAGCTTGCATTTTATCAGGACAAGACAGTCACCAAAGTACATGTACAATGTACAATGACCCGGCTCTTCATGGTTTATGTATTTTGTATTTGCATTTATGCATGACATCAAGAGTACATTTATGTACTCTTGATGTATTGTTAATTTGTTATGGTGACTGCACGACTTCTACATGACTTTGTAGGCTACTTGAGTACTTAACTTACTTGTACACTGTACTCAATCATAATGACATATCTGACTTTGTACTAGTCTTGTAGGCTACATACGTTATACTGAGAAGGCGGAGAGCCCGAACGTGTGCAGTTTTATGTTTATTAATTATTTGCCATGGCGACCCCCGTAAGTCCAAAATTTTTTATTTAATAACTGGCATGGGTTGGGCCTTTTTCTTTCTTCTCGGATTTATTTTCATGACATGCTCACTGATTTTACTCAGAAGTGAAAAAAAAACAACAACAAAAAACATACATACATAGACATAGGCAAAGACAAAGTACAAGTACGACGTCGTACAGTCATCTGGTCATGTACGTAAAAAGGTCGTTACGTAGCTTGCTACCCTGACGCATGCATGGCCCGTCTTTCGACGTAACGTCGATCTGTAGCTGTTTCGATTTCGATTGTTTTTCCTTCATTTGAAATAAAGGTTATGTCAAAGAGATCAAGGAAACACTCCCAGCATTAGTATTTCCTTCAGGCCAGGGTGCAGGCGCAAGGAGCCAGTTCAGACTTTTGCGTCAAGTTTAGTTCATAGAAAATACGATCTTTAGTAGTACCAAACCCTTTTAGGCACGCAGAATTTGGAATACAATGGGTAAAATCCCTGACAGGTAAGTATTCCTCACACAGTTCATGTTCCTGCTTATTGTCAGGGAACTGTAAGCTGATGATTTGACGGTGTACTCATAGATGGAGGGATTACACGCCTTTCCACAAACTGCTGGAGGTTGGCGGTGAGCGTATGATTGCTGTGAAAACGCCACTCTGTGAGGTGAGACTCTCAGCTTGACTATCTCTATCATGTACACTGATTGTAATGAATGCCAACCTTTGCCATTTTCACGATGGGCGTGAAATCGCAAAAGTAAGCTGGCATGAATCGTAGACCTGAAATAGAAAAAAAAGTAATGAATGGACTCCAGTTGCAAACATTTCCAGGTGCAAATGTGCAGGTGCTCGCAAATGGCGAACTAATAGGCGATTCACACGACAGGCAACTCCATGTGCACCGGAACATTGCTATGGTATTTCACCTGTGAAAGAGAAAAGTGGCTGAACGTGCAAGCGAGCTGGGGGCCCACGTTCACGATAATCGTGGCAGGCACGAGTACATTTACACCAAAAAAGCGCGAAACAAGACTTGATTTTTGATGCGGCTCTTCACCATGATAATTATTGTATGCATGTTTTGAAAATTTGAAATACTCATGGCAACTGGTGGGTGAATCATTCAAAAATGCAAACGTGCCTGTCGTTGAGTGCAGCCGTGTGAATCCACGCAGTCACTTTTCTGGTGAATCACTCGTTGGAAAACGTGCAAGTGCCTGTCGTGTGAATCGCCTATAAAACCAGCATGTTTTACATGTGGCCTGTGAAATTATTACAGTTGCCAGCAACGCTGGCTGATACCCAACGGCCACATTTCACTCGAAGGAAATTTTCAGATAAATATTTCTGAATTTGTTCTTCACTGGTTTGAGGGAAAGACGCAAACAGGAAAAGTCTGAAGAAACAATTGACTGTCACCACCAGGACTCGAACCAGGGATCCTCGCTTAAGGCCAGCGATGCTCTAACCACTGAGCTATGGTGTAGTCGTTATCCCAGCAGAGACCGTTCAGCATTTTCTTCAGACTTCGTAACTAAACTCACACTTCCTGTGAATCCACACAGGTGGGTGGGACGCAGCCCTCACTGTAACCCACACACTTCACGTACAAACTAGCACGCGGGGAGCCCCAAATCATAAAATATTCACTGGTTTGAGGGAAAGACGCAAACAGGAAAAGTCTGAAGAAAAAATTGACTCACCACCAGGACTCGAACCAGTTGTTGTTGGCCTAATTTTTGCCATCAGGCAAACAACTCTCGTGCACCCAGCTATGGGCACTTGAAGACCCACTGTCTTGTCTCTTGAATGTGTCACATGGCAGCCATTGACATGGAAAACAGATTGAGAGCGTGCGAGTGGATCCGAAAGCCAGCATTGCCATGACTCCATCCTTGCTGTGACATAGCACTAAGTCTTGTACGTATACCTAGAGGGACAGCACAATCCTGAGCGACCATATGTGCAAACTCTCATCTTGAAAAGATGACCCAGTCACTTTGTGCTGGAGAACTACTGCATAAGCATGGTGTTTAAGGTGCATTGTTTTCCCCTTTGTGTCTATAGGTGTATAATAAAGGAACGCGCTTTGACAATGGCGCGGATGAAGATCTTCTTGAGGAGCACGAACAGTAAGTTGCTACCCCCTGCCACGCACCATGCAGGAAGCTTCTTAGTTTTTCACTCCTCAATGTGCAATGTAGTCCACTTGTCACAAGTTGTGTTGCTGATAAAGATGTTCATGGTGGCATTATGTTGGTCGTTTTCACTGTGTTTCAGGTTTACACCTGAAATGCTTGTCACCCAGGTCAGGGAGAAACTGGGTGCGAACGTCACGTGCGTGATTGATCTCACCTTCACAAACCGCTACTACACAAAGAGTGTAAGTAAATGAAATGTTCCTCTTTGCTGTCTTCTCTATTTACAAAGTCCATTTTCCCTTCTTTTTTCAATATCTCGTAAGCAAGCAAGTACCAGTACAGAACAATGTGGAGCTGTACTGGTGTGTATGTGTCTACATGCAGCTTGTTTTTTGAGCCACGCCAACCAGAAAAGTGACTGGCCCAGCAGCTTAGGCCTGGATCTCGTGTTTTTTCGTTTCACTATCCCATTGTTGTGTTGGTCCATGTTCTTCTGCCTGTGACTGTGTCCAGCATTTACCAGACGGTGTATACCACTACAAACTTAAAGTTCCTGGTCGGCAAACACCTGATCGTCGAATATGTGGACTGTGAGTTTATAACATCATCTGTTGAGAATCTTCTCCTTTTCCTTAGAAACGTATCTGACAATAATTGACGCTACATTGTATTTGTTGCCACGCTGTGGTTTTTACACCAGGGTTCGAACTGGGATAATGTGTGTGTGCGTTGGGGGGGGGGGGGGGGGGGTCAAGGCCAGAAAGAAGAGTATTGCAGCATACTTTGGGATGCAATGTTCTGTATTGAGTGCAGCCCTACAACATGCTATCCAAGTAAAGATTGATAAGGGCCTTTGGAGGCTTGTTGCACGGCCACTGCACTGTCCTAGATTCCCTGTTCGAGGGTGAGGCCTTTACCCAGGAGAATCCACCATGCTGGAGTAGGAGGCCCCTGTGCCGTCTTGCTCTCCTTTGAACAAGAGCTCTGTTGTACTTGCTCCTATTTCGGGTGGTGTTGGCCTACTGCAGACAAACAAGTAGTCGGTGCATGTTTGCTTTTGGCTGGTTTCGGTCTGAGCCTTCGAGGCATATCTGGCTGCAGCTGAAGTGTTGATTTCCAGATGCAGTATAACAGGGCATATGGGCAAGAGCAGTACAAACTGAAATTGATTGCAGTCGGAAGTGTTTTGGTCCTGGAAGCTGACATTTTTAATGCACTGACATTTTGTTGACTTTCAATATTTCCTGCCCTGCTGTACCCATTGTCATGTGACTGTCTAGTGTTTGATTTCGTAACACTAAGTAGAGTAGATCTATCACTGCAAGAACTGAAAGAAGAGCACAGATCTACCGACTTTGGTTGATCATCGCCTTTGCAATGCAATATGCTATCCATGTGTACAGTAGGACACTAGTGGAAAGTACATGTAACTGGATTGCGATGGGTACTATTGAACCGCCTGGAGCTATAAGGTTTCTGCCGACCCATCTCAGTGTTTGAATTATCTGGAGGTGTGTGAGAGCTAGGTCTCAGGTCGTGGAATGTCTCAGTAGCCTGTCAGTTTTGTGCCCTGTTATCGCACTGTCTGACTGCTTATGATCTTGTTACACGCGTGGATAGTTGCTTCATAACTCGTTCCCATATGTTTTCTCTTGTATTCGCAGATTTAACAAGCAGCTAAGGAAGTGCTTTTCCTACAAAGGTAAGTGGCCTTTGCTATTAATTTTCAGAGTATTGTTTGAGCGAGCTTGCTTGAAATGACATGTTCTTCCTTTGCTGCTTGCTTTCGCAACGAAAGTGTACTGTGCATTGGTCATCGTCCAGGCCATTTTTCCCCATGACAAGATGGATTCCTATCAGAATAGCAGCATTGCGTATTTTGAATATTATTTCACCATGGCAAGATGAATACCTATCTGCATAGCAGCATTGCATATTTTCCATCCATCTACTGGTATCTGCATAGCAGCATTGCATAATGTGCTGACATGCTGCTGATACCAGTTTATCTGTTGTTGTCTCTGTACAGATTCGTGTGTTGCTGTGCACTGCACACATGGTGTGAATCGCACTGGCTACCTTCTCAGCCAGTAAGAACTTCATTGCACACGAGCACATGTGTGCACCCACTCTTATTTGTTCTCTCTCTCTCTCTCTCTCTCTCTCTCTCTCTCTCTCTCTCTCTCTCTCTCTCTCTCTCTCTCTCTCTCTCTCTCTCTCTCTCTCTCTCTCACACACACACACACACACACACACACACACACACACACACACACACACACACACACACACACACACACACACACACACACACACACACACACACACACACACACACACACACACACACACACATACAACCTCTTCCTTGATTTTGTGTGCCACCATCTGCTTGCACGTACAGAATACTATGTGCATCAGATACTTAGTGGTTATGTATTACCTTGCTCTTGCCTATGTACATACGAACACGGGTGGCCGTTGTGGGTCTACAAATCCAGCAGTGAACGTACTGGTGCAATGGCTGTGTACACATTGTACACATCATAATTAGTGCTGATTCGGGTAGCATTTTCTTCGGGTATCTGGTTTGGGTAGTTTTCCACGGGTACCCGACCGGGTAATGTTTCCATGGTAACACCACAATGCACCCCTTCCCTTACACACTGGGTAGACATGCGGAGTATTACATGAATTTGTACACGTGCACTGTACATAATGTCGTCTGCGACTTCAGGTTTTCATGTACTATTCTGTACCCGTCTACACGAGGTCCCCACGGGTAGCACGGGTACCCGACTACCCGTGCACACCCCTAATCATAATACTACTAATATTCCTTTTAACCCTTGTCTCTGTCTCTGTGTGTGTATCTGTTTCTGTCTCTGTCTGTGTGTGTGTGTGTGTGTGTGTGTGTGTGTGTGTGTGTGTCTCTCTCTCTCTCTCTCTCTCTCTCTCTCTCTCTCTCTCTCTCTCTCTCTCTCTCTCTCTCTCTCTCTCTCTCTCTCTCTCTCTCTCTCTCTCTCTCTCTCTGTATTCATTCATACTGCCGCACTCACCTATTACTTATAGGTACCTTATGAAGCATCATGGCATGAATGTAGACGAAGCTGTCTCTTGTAAGTAGAACACTATACATTTTACGATGTACTCCTATTGGCCTGTGCCTACATTCTGAGTGGTTGCATATCTGTAGTGGTGTCTCATTCCATGCTATTGCTGCGCCTGTTAGCCCGATCCAATCCGGTTGTAGGGAACCACGGGTATTCCCGCACCACTCCGATACTTATAGTAAGCACTTCTTTTCCTGCTCATGGAATTGGCTTTCCTTCCTGTTGTTGTAAACTTTACTGTTTGAATTTCCGTGTTTCTCTCATCAGCCGTGACTGAAAGTCGAGGCCATGACATTGATCGTACGGAGTACGTCCAGGCTCTTCGTGATAATGCTGCATTGTAAGTAGTGTTGAGTGTTGCTCTAGTTTATAGTCTTGGACAGAAATGTTGTTGAAAGATAATCACACACCGTACATGTGGTTTCTACCGGGTGATGAATCGTTATGCAGTGCTAGCATCGTTACAATGGCGTCACTTGTGTTCAATGATGTGCTCCATGCCAATGTGGAATCAGAGCAGCAGCAGCAGTGTAGCATGCGTGTTTGCGACCGGTACACCGGTGGCAATGCATGGCATGTTCTCTCAGAGTGCTGTACTCAGTGAGTGCGTTCGATTACTGCCATGAATCGATTCATGAATGGAATCTCGTCGTTCGATTTCATGTCATGAGCCCTGGAATCGGTTTGGAATCCATTCACCCTATTCACATGGGTTGATGTGAATAGCCAGGGGCGATTCATGAATGGATTCCTCATCGATTCGTTGGCAAAATCGAACGCGCTCACTTTGTATGGCTGCCAGTAGCAAATGTACATCCACATAATACTTGATTCTGAAGTACAGTGCTGGCCAAAGAAATCCAACCTCATGAATAAAACAGCGCCAGGCGCTACACAGCCCTAGCATTACAAAGAAATCCAACCTCATGAATAAAACAGCGCCAGGCGCTACGCAGCCCTAGCATTACACATACTCGTCTGTGCACTCGAACGCGCCGCTGCTTTATTGATGACGTTGGATTTCTCTGGCCAGCACTGTAGATGCTGGGCTCGAACAATCTGATCGTGCTTCCACGGGTCTGCCATGGCTGTGCCATGCTAGCAGGGTGTGATACCACTGCCTGAGATTTATGTGATGCTAGTTTACCTTACTTGAGATAGGTAATTACTAATTATTGTTAGTGTACACTGCACTCTTCATTAACTCAGTACTGTAGAACTCCCGTTATCTAGGCATGTTGGGACCAGGCACTGCCTGTAACTTGGAATTGCCCGCAACTCATGCTTGTATTGCAGCTGCATGCAAGGATTGCAAGCAACACGTTTTGTGTCAATCAATTAAAATTTTGATGCCGTTTTTCAGTGAAAAGCCTTTTTTGTGACTTGAGAGGGCGAGAAAGGTGCTTGGTAGACGGGAGTTCCTGCAATCCTGGTTCTGAGGAATTCGAAGGATTAGGGGTATTTTACTGTACAACGAGGCAACCGCTCTATATTCCTGTGGTGTCACTTGTAAAGGCAAGCTGCTTTAGCAAAAAGACTGGTGAATGTGAGTGGGCAGTTCGCCAGGGTATGGAAATTGAAACGATGAAGGAGTCTAGGCATAGAGGTGAGCGGAGTTAGTCTATGACCCTGTGAGGGATTTGTGTTCATTGTACCTGCCGTATTTCACCCCGTGATGTTTTCCGTATTGCAGTTTCAACTTTGGACTTCATGAAAAATCCAAGAATTAGGAAATATCTTAGGCCGCCTGGCCCCTGATCTTCTTCTCTCCGAAACTCAACACTTGCAAGCTACACTGTAGATAGCAAGGTCCCCGGTTCGCGTCCTGGTGGTGTGACTGATGTTTCTTTTTCTTTCTTTCTTTCTTAGGGGCCTTCCGTAAATACCGATATTTATTTAGAAACGAAAACTAGTCGTTTCTCTTCAACCCCCCTCCCTGAGAAACGAACACATACAAATGGTACATAGTATCGATATTTTTGGTCTTTTTTCTGGACATGCTCACGCATGCAAAATGTACATCGATATTTTTCGAGAAACGAACTGGCGCTCAACCCTCTCCCCCCTAAACGACTAGTTTTCGTTTCTAAATAAATATCTATATTTACGGATGGCCCCTTATCTGGCTTGCAAGTTAGGGTTTCGGAGAGAAAGAGTAGTAGGCAAGTGGCCTTCTTTCCCAATAAGTCTTCCATATGGTTTCATTTTGTTCACTTGAGCAAGCTAAGCCATGCTCATTTGTAAGTCGCAGGCCTTTTCGGCCTTGAAGTTTGATGTAAAAGGTACGGCTTGCATTCCGGTAGATACTAGTACATTGATTTTATGTTTCTCTGTTGCCGGGGGTGCTTTGCTCCTTGCATGTTCTTGATATGCGGGTGGGTGAGTGGGTGGTTGTTCATTTTCTTCTTTCCACTTGTGTCTACCGTTGACTGTTTCAGTGTGGTATAGGTGTGCTCGCTTCGTTCTTGGTGTTCGCTGACGTCTTCCCATCACTTCCGATTCTCCTGGTGTGTCTGTTTACGTGGCATGTGCTTCTTTCTCTCATTCTTCGTTCCCTGCAGCTTGGTAACTGATAACTATCAGGACGAAGTTGAGGCGCCTGATCATGCACTGCAACAGAGCGGTGGCAGGCATTACCCAGCCAGGCAGACTCAGCACTACAGTAGCGGCGGCTCGTACGCGGGAAGCGGACATGCTGGTGGATGGGCCAAGGGTGGCGGTAGATACGAAGCTCCTGCCCCGGCTGCTGCTGTGCGACGTGATGAGCGTTTCGCTAGCTCCTATTCTGATTCGTACACTTCTCGTGGTTACAGCCAAAGTAGGGGTTCCTCGTGGAATCCCTCCGGAGGACTCCCGGCCACACGCTTTGCACCACAGACCACAGCACGGGCTGAAAGCTACTACCAACAACCGCACCATCCTTACGGCGGCGACTCTAGTCGGCACAGCCCCGCAGCAACGTCTAAGCCACGCGCACATCATTCCAAGTCACGGCGAAGGGACGAGCAAGACAGCTACGGGCAATCCCAGTATTACTCCCGGCCTCGTCAATCTCATTCTCGCCAGCAGTTTGGCGATGGCGACACACACTCGAATAGTACCCATCAAGCTGCAACATATGGTGTGTCTACCGGTAGTCATAGCAGCAGCCGCCATGGGTCCAGAGCTCAGCAGCAGCAGCAGCAGCAGTATAGTGGACAAGGCGATTGGCGTTCTAGTCGCAGCAGTAGCAGCAAACATCACTCTAGGTCTAATGGTTACTGATAGTGTGCTCACCACCCTACTCTAACGTTATAGTGCCACCGTTCCTTAGTTCATTGTCACTCACCTGCCCCGTATTAGTAGTTTCATGATCTGATCTCCCTGGTGGAGTCACTTATCAACATACCTCCGAAATTAGGCCTTGCTGAAGAATCCTTTTTTCTGACCAATTTTCTTTTGAAGTTTATGGTGTCCTCTGAAATATGAAATATGTACAAAAAGGAATGTGTCATCAGTCTTGCTTTCTTCTCTGTAGCTTCTAGCGTGTTATTAATTTATTTTATGAAGCTTATCTCCTACATTAGGCGTGACCAAAAACGAATGTGTAAAACGGATGTGGGTCCTCCGCACTGAGCGTGCGTGCGCGCGCGCATGTGTGTGTGTGTGTGTATGTGTGTGTGTGTAGTGCATAGGTGCTTTGACTGTCTTGCCACACTTACCGGTACCGACTGCTATGCTGTTATTTCTGCTATGTCTGCTATTTCTCCACCCTACAGTCAGTTTGATGTTTTTATATGAATTCTGCAGCTTATGCCCCTGGAAGGATTTTTTTTAATGAATTTGTCAATTGTGTGAGTTCTTGTGTGAGGAATAGACTGTGGGTAGTGAGAAAACTTGGTGCGCCGACTCTGGGTATAGTTGCCGTTTTCATGCCCGGAAGTCGCTCATATGCACATCTCTGTATGGCTCCCGGCTGGAATCGTACACTGCGCTAGGTTCCAAAGAAGTCCACAGGTTGCCCAGTCTCCTTCGGGCTTTGTGCTTTTGTCTAGCCTAGCGCCTGTGTATGTCTATGATAACATTGTGTTTTCTGAGTGACTTTTCTCATGCATGCCAAGCATCCTGTTCTCTTCTTTTGCAAACCCAGATTGCTGTGTTTTGTGAGAGTGCACAAGCCATCTTTACATCATTCTACTCATGGTATTATATAACCCAATACTAGTTCAAAACTAGTATTACAGTATTAGATAAACCGTGATAGTTCACGCATATGCGCATATCAGGATACAGACTTACTCGTACATGTCATGCATGTGTTGAGTCTTGTCTTGACTCTTGAAGGCTATGTGACGTCATACAGGGCTGGGGCGGCGGCCAAACTTCTGCGGCGCCGCCCTTTCAAATGCAAAACGTCATTGATTGACATTCGTGAAAACCCGGGGAGACGTAGAGTCTACGTGCACTATACAAATCACGTCATACTACTATCACTCAGCTCCAGAAGTAGTATCTCGTTGGACAACACTCAACACTCATTTTGACTCTCAAATCGATCGACTACAGTCAGACCCGTCATCTCTGGAACCTACATTCTGCCATTTCAGCAAGGAAAACTGCTAGTGCTTGTCAGACTGTACTCGACTCACTTTCTTTCAACAAAAGCATGTTGTGTAGCCTAGCTTGACGAAATTTCCTGTACTGTAGTTAACTTTCCCGTTAGTCACCAACTCAGCCTGCTTTTTGTAGTTTTGCAGGAGTGGACAACACGCAATGGCGTATGGTGGCAGGGCATCTGTTGAGGAGTTATCTGCTGCTAGTTACAATAGTAGTGGCTACCCAGAGCTACACGCTGGAGCAGTAAGGCACTCAAGCCCTGCAAGGAATCAAGGTGGTGATGACTCTGAGTTTGTGCTCAAATTTCGGAGGACCAGCGTACCCAGCGCACCCACCGAGGTCGCCCCTGTGAAGAGCATTAGTGCTGAGTCGTTTGGTCTCTCTGATACTGAAAGCAATATGTGAGTGTATGGGCACTGATGCTGAAATGTGGCTTTGTGCCACGCTGGATAGTGGTGACAGTGGTGGGGATCAGTACACAATTCACAGGCCAGTAATAGCGGGTCGGGACAATGTACTGTCGTGGACATGGAAATCCGGTCGCACGTCTAGCGCCCCCAGGGCGCTGGCCATGCAGCCATGGGTATGCGGTACACACATGCATTTATGCGCTGCAGCGCGCTGGTCGCATCAGATCAACATGACACTGCATGCTACGTTTTGTGCGTGCTGAGGGCCGCCGGCCCCAGTCATTCGACTGGATTTCCATGTCCACAACAGTACATAATCATTGTCCAGCCCAAGTGGGGAGGACGACTGGGGCAGCCCCCCCCCCCCCCCCCCAAGAAAATTCTCCAAAAGCAGAGCATGATTGTGGCTTAGTTACAGTATCCGGCCAGTCTACAAAGTTCACTTTCGACGTAACGCTGATGATATGGGGCGTAAAAGCCTGCCGGGAAGACTGAGGCGAGCAGTAAAATCCTTTACGATTCGTATGGCACAGCATGCAGTAGCTGTTGGCGTGAAGCATGAAACACCGTCTGTGACAGGTTATGATGTGGCTCAACTTTCTTGTTTGTCAGTGCTTTCTTACTATTATTTCTCCTGACATGAGGCGGTATCATTCTCACACTACCAGTTTGTCACAAGGCCAAAAAAACAGTAGCTGCGGGCTTTGTCCCCTTCTAATAATGGTCAAAGGAAAATCTGTTTGCCCCAAACAAATATAGCAAACAGCTCATCTGACACAGTTCTGGTCTAACCCTGAAGAAAGTGAATGACATGAAATCGTAGCTTTCTTAGTCAACTTGGTCATGTGAGCCATTTGGCAAGTTAACATAGGGAGCATAGTGTTTGAAATGCTCAAATTTGGCAAAGTTACCATTGCCACATGATGTCCTCGCCAGTTCACACGGTAAATGCAGCCACTTGGTACACTTGTATCCTGCATGCGCTATGAAACATTGAGCAGACTCAACTCTTCCGTCGCTCCCCGATTTGTGCGGTATTGCGGTTGTATTCCCTGTCCTGGTGTTCACATTTGATGCCGTCAATCGAAGTCGTGATTGTCTTGACGGTTCCCGTTGCTGCTTACGTGGCATCCCGTTGTGCCTCAGCGAATGTGAACTAAACTGTACTCATCTTTATGTGGACTGCACTGCACTGTGCACCGATGCTTCAGCATGCACTGGCATGCAGCTGCTGGCTGAATGGCTTGTTTGTTCACCATTGCATGCCACACATACGTTAGCAGGATAGCGTACAAAAAGATGCCGGCTTTGCACACATAGGTGGGTCAACTCTTCACATCAAGCTGTAGCCATGGCCAGACTGCACGCTGGGACCAGCTGCTACGGCCCATCACTCCATTTAGTTATCTCACATCCAGTACATGTACATGTAGTATTCAGTGTATTGGTATTACTGATAACGCGCACGTGTGCAACTGTACATGTACTTTGAAGTAGTATTGTCAGCGATACACAAGCTGCATAGCTCGATGACTTGCCAGTTTGAGCACTCCGGCAATGTACATGTACATTCAAGCCTGGTTGTAGGTCTGATTTTGAGAAATTGCACCCTTCATTTCTACCAGGTTCGGCCTCATTTTTCTCTGCTGCGCTTATGAGTCCGCAAAGGTGTGTTCACAGATTGAGTAACTCGTCCCCGCTGAAGCTCTTGATATTATTGCATGACTGTACAACCGTGTTCCAGTGAGGGAGAACAGACCTTTGAATAGCGAGTATGGTCATGTTGATGGCGAACATCTCGGTCGTAGTGGCGAACAAACGTGCGCACCACATACACACACACACACACACGCGCACACACACACACACACACACACACACACACACACACACACACACAGATATTTAAAGAGCACTGCTTGTTCTGTATGCTTTCATGTCCAGTAAAGTGACGTGCCCACGGCGGCAGCATCATGCATGTAGTAACAAGCTGCACCGTGCACTTTCCTTGTTTTGTGAATGTGTAGGCGACAATGTACTATTTGCTTTGGTGATGAGGATGATGCGCCTGGTTTGGTCTGGAGTAGGCCGTGCCGATGTCGTGGTACTTCTCAGTGGGTTCATCGAGCATGTATCATGCGCTGGATTGATGAGAAGCAAAAGAAGAAGGGGCCGGATTCAGTTGTTCGGTGTGAGCAATGTCAGGTATGATAGTGTGCCGAATGCGTAGCGGCAGGCCTGCCACTACATGTGTGCAGTACATGTGCAGTGTCGTTATGCTGTGCAATACTACATGACATATTTGTCATAGGGGACTGGGTAGTGTAACGTGCTGCTAGTTTTGTTGACTTGTTTACTGTTGTATGCGAATTATTTGTTTCCCCTCTTGGTGTCTTACAGTGTCTGTGGTAGCAGCAGGGAATAGTAAAATACCGTATTTTACTACTCACTCCCTGTGCTGCTATCTTGGTGTATACGTATTGTCTTATTGTAGTACCTAACGTATTTTCCAGGGTATTAGCCGCACTGGAGTATAAGCCGCACCCAGATTTGTTGTCACAAAATACAGACATCTTCCCTGCTTATCACTGGTAATTTGACCCTGGTAGGGTGAATCCCTGGTAGGGTGAATCAATTACTGTATGTACTGGTGTTTAAAGTGCAACTTATACTCCGGAAAATACGGTATATCTTGTTTATCATTTATTTCTGTATGTTGTAAAGATTCCCCAACGGCTAGCAGCCTGTCTAGGGTTTTTTCAGCATGATAAGTGTGGACACCGTGCGAGAGTTACATCCAGGATGTGTCACTTTTATTATCTCAATCCCCATGCGTGAATTTATTGATTTTGCCACCTTCCTCGTATCACGTTGCCATGTAGCTGTGCGCTTGACTACCTGTCTTAGCAAATCCCCCCTCCCTTTCCTCAAGCCTGTACAACATCCTGGACTGTAGTGTCTGTAGTGCTGCCTGCTACTGTGTGACCTACGTGTTCTAGTTAGTGTGTGCGAGTATCTCACTGTACTGTCAGAGTTGACACGTGTGTTGTTTGTTCAGTTGTGGCAGTCCTGCACAGTTGTGGCAGTCCTGTGCTGTGTATACAGTCATGTCTGTGTTGGTCGTATGAGTGTGATTACTGGTGCATTGGTAGTGGTGCTTTTCAAAGTTTCACATATCGCGGCACATCTACTTCAAGTACAAGATTGTACTGCTGTGATAATACCGTAGCGTATAGCGTATCCAGACCCTTGTATTTGCCTGCGAGAGACTGCGGTCCGCTACAATACGACTTCATACTCAATGGCACAACTCACTTGTCAACTCCCTCAACCTACTGTGAATTGGCTAATTTTAGCGATGGTGAAATTTTGGCAATTTTAGCGAAGGGAGTGTTTTTGCTAAAGTTTAGTCACGCTAATCGAAAGTTGCATGAATCTTCAGTCTCTTCTCTTCCTACGTGAAAACTTATCGCTAAAATTTCACCTTGCAAATTCGTGCCATGTTATAAATTGCTAAAGTTTTCACCCGCCAAAATTAGTCGTTTGACAATACTTTGTTCATACCAGTATGCTGCCATTTCATCATTCCTGTCTTTCTGTTCACTATGGAAGAGCTCTCTGCTTTTTTCTGTTCACTATGGAAGAGCTCTCTGCTTCTTTTTGTTCACTATGGAAGAGCTCTCTGCTTCTTTCTGTTCACTATGGAAGAGCTCTCTGCTTCTTTCTGTTCACTATGGAAGAGCTCTCTGCTTCTTTCTGTTCACTATGGAAGAGCTCTCTGCTTCTTTCTGTTCACTATGGAAGAGCTCTCTGCTTTTTTCTGTTCACTATGGAAGAGCGCTCTGCTTCTTTCTGTTCACTGTGGAAGAGCTCTCTGCTTCTTTCTGTTCACTATGGAAGAGCTCTCTGCTTCTTGGATTAGGCGCAGTACAATTGCCACACAAGCCCTGTTGTTGACTAGCCACTAAGCCAATAGGGCAAAGCTGCTTCTTGCCTCTGTCTGTATCAAGTTGTTGTTGAACTTTGTGTGGTAGTACAGTACTTTTATCCTGGATGAGTTGGTTCCTTCAGCATGTTGGTCCTTCTGTGCCTGCTTGTCAATGACATGCTGTCCGGAGACTAGGAGGTATCAGCTCGATAGCACCTCCTGTTGTGGTTTGGCTTCCTGTGCGTTTTGCAGTGATCTGTGGAGTACACAATCGGATCCCCCTACAGACTACACCTTTCTTCTTGTTGTTTTTGTGCTTTGTGGTGTACTGTAGTTATTTTTTCTCGCTCCGGTAGGGCGGTACAGTTTCTAGAAGTGGATTGTTGACGAACTGCAATGCAATAGCAGTGCATATGTTTTTCGTGTCCTGTGTGCTACAGTATCCATACACGATCATCATGCCCCCGGCATCGATTGCAGAGAGGGTGTTGTCTGCTAGCGACAACGCAGTGCACCTGCTCAGCCCGTTCAGCGTCATCGTCATGGGCTGCACTGGCCTGTTTCATCTGTCTTTCCGACTCGGCGTCATCTACAGCCAGGTGGTAAGGTAGACTTGTGTGCTACTGCTGCTGTTGGCAAGTGCTGCTGCTGCTGTTTTAGTAGTGTATCTGCTTGCTTGTTTGCCTACACATGTGTGTTATTGTGGGGGTGTGAATACACTCAATACAGTAAAACCTGTCAAGGCGACCACTCGGATAAGCGACCACCTGTTCTAGAAGACCACTGAAATCAGCACCAAGGAATGCTATTTCCAGTCACATGACCCTGGATAAGGAGACCACCTGGTTACAGAGACCACGTTTTGAAGGTCCCTTGAGCGGTCGTCTTAGACAGGTTTCACTGTACCCACATCATCAGCAGGTTGCACAATTACAAGTGGCCACTGTGAGAATGGGCATGCACTTTGTGCCAGAGAAACTGTGATCATCTCTGCCACTGTTTGGTGTGTTGACGTGCAGGCGGCTGGACCAGAGGTAACTGAAGAGTGGCTGAACGGAGTGAACGCCTCCATACCCACTCTCATCATGTCTCTGACGCCCATGGCCCTCCTCGGATTCAACATGATCAAATGGGACGAGATGGCGGCTCGCTTTGTCACCTGGTCGTGGCAGAGAGCCTGCAAGCTTGCCAGGCGCATCACTGCACCCAAAAGTACGCGATGTGTGTGAGCTGTGTATGTCATGCTCAGATTCCACACTCTCGTGTAGATCTACATGTTTATGTACAGTGCTGCTCAATGAAATCCAGTCGTGTCACTCAAGTTTGCGCCTTGCACCATTTCGGAGCCCAGTGTTCGCAGGTCTAGGGTTGCGCAACCCGCAGTGCATACTTGAGGGATACGCCTGGACTTCATTGAGCAGGACTGTATTATGCTTAGTCTGGGAGGGGGGTCGGATTGTCACACTTTGTTCTTGCCTGCACATGCTGTCCCAGTTGCAAAAGCTACGAGAGTGCATGTCTTCAGTTTACTGCAGTGTGTAATTTATTACGAGTACTTGTAGACATTAGTGGGAGATTTTAGTTTGGAGGTCTAGTCCAGACTGTATGTTGCATAGTGTGTAGTGTAGCAAGGGAGCCATGAGCATTCGCATCGGCCACTCCTGTTGTGTTCTACCGTGAAGTCGTGTTTTTCCTGTTCTTCTTTTCCTCTCAGTGTTAGTGTATGCCACTACCTGGCTCAGTGCGGAGTGTGTCTCTCGATACGTGTAAACTTGTACGGGTATAGCTATCATCTCTAAGCCATTAGTATGCGTTTCCTATATGTGCACTGTCTAGCATTGGTGAAGCCACGATTGTTGTTATTACTACTGCTGCTACTGTTGCTATGTACTGCTGCAGATTCCAGCCTTAGTCCATTTACGGACCCTGACGAGGATACGAATCGCGCTGAAATCGCTGTAGATCCACCAACACCAGACTCTGAATACAGCTTCTGGCTGGCGTCCTCCCTGTCGCTGCCCTTCGCCTCCGCGTTGTGCGGCTATGCCTTGTTCCGCAATCGCCCCTGGATGCAGATCAGCAAGACACTAGCTGTGAGTAGATGGGGCTGGAGGTGGCTGCTTTAGGCAGCGCTTTTGTTGTTGTTGTTGTTGTTGTTGTTGTTGTTGTTGTTGTTGTTGTTGTTGTTGTTGTTGTTGAGGTTGTGCAAGTTTGTTTCAGTATACTTCGAAGTAGCAGCACAATGTAGTAGTTAGTACGAAGTGTGTATTTTGCAGGAGTGCTGTTTTCATCTTGTTGGATGTTCATTGGTACATCTTCCCATCCTTTGAATAAACTACCGTAGAATCCCGCGGATAAGCCCACCCGCGCATAAGCCCAGGGAAAGTTCGAACATCACAAGGCTTCGTCATACAAGCCCAGGGTCATGCAGGTAGTACATGTGGGTTTTTTGGGCTTTTTTGGACATTTCAACACAATCATCGGTTATTTTTTGTTTGCATAGTGGCTTTCAGCAATGTACTTCTCACTTCCTTGGTACTTTCAATAGCACAATGTTGCTGTCAGCGTATAAGCCCACCGAAATGTCCTTGTGAAACAGATAAGTCCATGGGCTTATCCGCGGGATTCTACGGTATAGTAATAACATGCAGAGGGAAGTTGCAAGTGAAATCAACGTTATGCATTAGCAAATCATAAGCACAACCACAGCCAGTGTTCGTAGCAATGGGGTCATGTGGCCGCGTCCCTGGGGTATTATATCCATGTGGGCCCCGTCCCTAGGGTATTATATCCATGGGGACCCGGGTGGGATTTCACTTGCCCTCACTGCACTACACTGTATCTCCATCGTGCTATTCTGAATGAGGCTGGGTGACAGTGGGTACTTTCAATAGTACATTGTACTCTAATACCGATGCATTAGTTTGCGGGAAAGTTGTGAACGGGAAAAGTCTGAAGAAAAAATTGACTGTCACCACCAGGACGTGAACCAGCGACCCTCGCTCATGGACAGTGATGCTCTACCACTAAGCTATGGTGTAGTCATCATCCTAGCAGCGGCCGCTCAACATCTTCTTCAGACTTCGAAACTCACACCTGAATCCACGCAGGCTGACTGCGTTCTTGAAATTGCATGCTTGGGTCGGGATTAGTTATTATAAATGTGCCTTTTATTTCATTCTTGAACGAACATGGTTTCCTTCTGCATGTACTCTTGCACTGCAGCACACGTTCACAATAACGGGTTCATCATTGTGAACGTGTGCTGCAGTGCAGGCTCCTCTTCATAGCTTGAGCACTTTCTCAAACCTCAATTTTGCTTTATGCATCTGTGGGTATGCTGTAATGTGCTGATTGTTCTGAAATTATTGTGTGTGCGTGTGTGCAAGGGGTGCGTGTGTGTGTGTGTGTGTGTGTGTGCCTGGATGCATGCATGCATGTGCTGCTGCTGCTGCTGCTATGTCAACACCACTGCAGGGTGGATTGGCTTATCTGATGCTGACTGGCTCGTTCAAAGTGTACTGCAACCTGCGCACCGAGCAGCGTCGCAAGAAGAGGACCATTGAAGATTGCCTTCTGTAACTTTGAAGTGCTGCTACGTCGCCAGCGGCTTGCTCCTACTACTACTCATGCATCGTTGTTTTACAGCAACATCATATCACTTGACCACACCAGCACCCCCAGACTTGTAAGCTAGCTTTGTGTCTTGCCTCTCACGACAATACAATAGATCCAATTCCTTTCAAACAGCCAAGCAGCCAGGTAATCCTGGTGGCGGCGGGATGGCTGGTACACTGCATGCTCCTCATTACATGTTCAGTCATTACATGTTGTTCTCATGAAACACACGGGCGCTTTGAGTGTAAGTTTTGCATTTTAAAGGCTCTTAGTGGCTATTTCACCCAATAATAGTGTATAGCACTGCAAGGAATACATGGTAGTATCCTGCTGTTGCACCATGGAAGGAATAATGGCACCGCTACCGAGTTCTTCTCTCTTTTGTTTTTGTTTTCTTCCGTATTGCCATTGTGATATCCACGTGTATATATGTGTTCTTCCTCCATGTGCTGGTGTGCATGTGTGGCATTTTCTCTTAGTCTCGTCTTGCCTTACTGGTTACAGGCAGCAAGACCACCTAATTACTGCTGCTACTGCTGCACTGTTCCATCTTCGCTAATTGTATTTACTTCTTTGAAGTAGGATCTTGTGATGTGTCAGCTATGATACCCTGCGTTGTGTTGGGATTTTTTGGGGGGTAAAGGGACTAAAGAACTTTTTTCCCCTTTGTGAGAAGTCCCTGATTGGATGAGAATGGTGGACATGCTCGCTCGCTCTCTCTCTCGCTCCCCCTCTCTCTCTCTTTCTCTCTCTCTCTCTCTCGCTCCCTCTCTCGCTTTCTCTCTCCCCGCTCTCTCTCCCCGCTCGCTTTCTCTCTCTCTCTGCTCTCCCGCTCTCTCGCCCTCTGCTCTTTCGCTCTCTCTCTCTCTCGCTTTCTCTCTCTCTCTCTCCCCCTCTCCGCTCCTTCTCTCCTCTCTCTCGCTCTCCCCCCCCCCCCCCTCTCTCTCTCTCCGCTCCCTCTCTCTCTCCGCACCCTCTCGCCCCTCTCTCTCTCTCTCTCTCTCTCTCTCGGCATGTTTTTATCTCCGGTACTTTCTGTGCATCTGTTTCCTACCTAAAATTTCAATAACCGAACAAACACTAACACACATAATCCAATAGGGAACTGCTTCTCTGTGCATAAAATTTCTGCTCACCTAACCTGGCCTTTTGCTCTCATACAGCAGATTTTGAGCACCGAAAATTTCTGAAATTAGAGTAACTCCCGAGAGTGTCAACTCCAGCTATGGGGTCTGAGACGGCAGAACTTCACATCACGTTACAAACTTGTATTGTAATGCCGCAAATAGGGTTTTTTCTCTCTCTTTCTTTCTCTCACCAAAAAGACACATAGCAAACCTACAGAGAAAGGTGTCATTCGTTCCCTTCCCTGAAATATGAAATAATTCTCCGGTTCGGGTTTCGACAGGAAGTAGTTTCAACTGTAATGCACGTAACACCTGGAGACCAGAGCAGCCTGATGACAATAGTGACTGTGTCTTTGGACACGTCACAAAAACAGTGAATTATAGAAGTATCTTTTAAAACTATTCAAAACCAATGGCTCCAACACGTCGCAACTCCTTCAGAACCATGCTCCGTTGCAACAACAACAAAATGACACTGAACATGTGCCACCGAACAGCCAAGGCACAGTGGAACCGGGCCCGGCTGCGTGTTTCATTCGCATAACAAAGGTCAACACGAGGCTGCAGATGCAAGCCAACTGACCAGGCCAGCTTACTCTGTTGCAGCAGCAATACTATAATACCGAAACTGCCAGAAGAAATAGCTGCTGGCATGAGAATCATCGTTAGAACCACGAATGAGTATGGCAGCAAGTGCAAGGACAATGAAGCGCGGGCTCTAATTATATCAAATCAAATCACACTTCCCCAGGGCATGCGTGGTTCGGATAAAATTATTCTCTATGGTTGTTCATAGCTTAAAAAAAAGTAGTTTGCACAATATCATTAATATTAATGGAATAAAGAGAGGCAGGTCAGTGCAGTTGAAATCCATGGCAACTCATGAAGGAAACAAAATTAAAACGGCTGCCCGAGGAGGAAGCGTTTCCACAATGCAGCGCTGTGAGTAGCGACTCGGGGGACGTACCAGCGTGTTTGACCTCTACCTCTTTCAAAGTACTATTCAACTGGATATAGCCGTATCAAACGGACATGGAGTGAGACTGATCAATCATCTGGCATTCGATCAGTTTGCATTATTTCGTATGGTAAGCTATCATCACAGCTACTTGCTGTCACCGCCACCACCGCCACAACAACGTGAACCTCCTGGTTTACTGGAAGTTTCCGTTTCCTTGGTGTGAAGGGCGATGTTATTTGTTAGTGCTGGCATTCGCGAACAAAGAGAAGCAGCAGAGTACAACACAGAGGCACGTTTCCAAGTCTGAGTTGTGCCACATATGATGCACAGCATACTTCTCAGTCATTTCAGTCTCAATAAAAGCAGGAGTATATAGCCCCCCCCCCCCCCCAAGAGTGTGCAACTCTGCATATGGGGTATCCGACGGCGAAAACTCACATCACGTGTCTCAGATACATTCGTACTACAGTCGTCTCTCTCTAATCCGGCACTTGTTTATCCAGCACCCTTGCAAACCAGCACACTTTCTGGCAAAACGGATTTTTTCAGTTCATTTTGTACGCTTTAATCCGGCACTTGAATTCTGCCTCAAGCAGCGATTTTCTGCAACAAATCGTTCAAACTGTACATAATTCGGTTTTCTAATCCAGCAGTTTTACATCGCATACCGTACCGGAGCACAGCTATACCGGTATGTCAGTTTGGTCAGTGCACGACAGGCCAACGCAAATCCACGTGCACCGGAAAGTTGCTATGGTATTTTACCTGTGAACGAGAAAAGTGGCTGAAAAGTGCAAGCGAGCTGGGAGCCCACTTTCACGATAATCGTGGCGTGTACGAGAACATTTACACCAAAAAGCGCGAAACAAGACTTGATTTTTTACGCGGCTCTTTAGAACATGATAAGTATTGTATGCGTGTTTTGAAAATTTGAAATACCCATGGCTACTGGTCGGTGAAGCATTCAAAAATGCAAATGTGCCTGTCGTCGAGTGCAGCTGTGTGAATCCACACAGTCGCTTTTCTCGTATGTCACTCCCTGTAAAACGTGCAAGTGCCTGTCGTGTGAATACCCCATCAGGGAGCATTCTACACATGTAACATACACTTGGGAATATCCTATGTGCATTCCACAAAGTACTTGGATCGACACGGAAAATCCCTGCGTTTTGACGTATGACACAAACATGTATGTTAGTAGGTGGGTTGGAGGACAGGATTTGATAATCCAGCACCCTCGTTTATCCAGCAGAAAATGCCGTTGCAAAAGGTGCCGGATTAGAGAGGGACGACTGTACGTACAAACGAAGGATAGCGTGCGCGCAATCCGAAATCTGCCATGGTCATGCTGGGGATTTGCATACCCGCAGTGAGTTTCTGTCAGAGAGTGCTTTTTTTATTACTCTGCTGCTCGCTAAAAACGGGCTGGAAACGTACAACTGCAACACTGCACCACAGGCTGTGACTTTTCGCCGTCGGCGTACCCCATAGAAAGGGTATCAGGAGTTGCACACTCTTGGGGGGTTATACACTCTAAAGCTTGAGGGCATTTTAATTATTGTACGTCGAAGTACAATGTACCGGTATGTCACAATATCCTGGAGTTTCATTTTTTTAGCAGCAGCAGTGTGAACTCAGTTTCCAGTTGAGAATGAATGCACTCCTTGGCAGCACAATGTCACTGCATGCATATGATCAGATCTGCATACATGAGTGTCGTTCAGCCTGTGGCAAGACGTAATATTCAGACGATAACCATTGTGACCTGGCACCAGTTTCAACTTTCAAGCAAGAGAGAGAGAGAGAGAGAGAGAGAGAGAGAGAGAGAGAGAGAGAGAGAGAGAGAGAGAGAGAGAGAGAGAGAGAGAGAGAGAGAGAGAGAGAGAGAGAGAGAGAGAGAGAGAGAGAGAGAGACTGACAGAGACAGACAGACTATTGCTGCTGTTGCTGTACAAGTCAATGAAGCAATGCTTGAAGTGAGCTTACTATTTGCTGGTGCTCCCGCCTTGGGATGACAGTCCTTTGCAATCTTGTCAAAGAGCTTTCCTGGAAATGCAGCATAGGGCACGCAGAAGAAAAAACACATGGAAGAGAGTGTGACAAAATTGCTGGTGGCCTAGGAAGGATATTATTTTAAATTAAAATCAATAATTATTCACTTGTCCACTTTGATAATTTTGGGGTGCTCACACACTGGCGGCTATCGTAAGAGTGGTCAAAATCTGATCCCCGTCGTGGGTTCTGCTGAAATGTTGCTGTGTCACCGTGCACAAACAGCACACATACACCAGTGCATGGTGCCCAGGTACTAGGGAAGTATTCAAGCGGCTCCAGTACAGTTCACCAGCCCCATACAAAGAATCAACTACAATCAGCGTAAAAGGCAGTCTGATTGCTCGCCACGCCGCACCTGCTTCACCAGTGGGTGTACATGTGCATGTGCAAGTACATGTTTGCCAAAGAAGACACAACAACTACATGACTGTACTGGCTTACCAACATTCTGCCCTGTCTTTGCTGACGTCTCGATCACAAACGCACCGACCTCTGAACAAACGCGAACAACGACATTCACGCACAGTGTCGCATTCGCATAACAAGTTACACAGCACACAAAAACAGATCAGGACAAGACCACGCACACCGCTAGGGCACCCTGCAACGGTCTCACAGCACACGGCAACAGTAACTAACCATGTGTGTAGCTGTGTACGTCGTTCTCGTGTGTTATAATCTCGACTTTCAGAGATCAAACAGATTCACATATAGAACACATAGTCAGTTCGGAAACTTCGGATCCAAGTTATATTACCATTAGCCTTAAGGGCCTAGTTGGAGAATCAAGCGATCCCAAAAGCGGTGCAAAAGTGCTGCAATAAAATTGTACTTCTCAGTGCTGCTTCATGCTACCAGTACTCAACCCAGCACTGTCACAGTGTCAGCCTCGAGCACAAAGCAGAGTTATTCAATATCAACCCAGCACTGTCAGCCTCGAGCACAAAGCAGAGTTATTCAATATCAACCCAGCACTGTCAGCCTCGAGCACAAAGCAGAGTTATTCAATATCAACCCAGCACTGTCAGCCTCGAGCACAAAGCAGAGTTATTCAATATCAACCCAGCACTGTCAGCCTCGAGCACAAAGCAGAGTTATTCAATATCAACCCAGCACTGTCAGCCTCGAGCACAAAGCAGAGTTATTCAATATCAACGGTAACGTAGAGAAGCTGAAAGGACCCACGGGCAATCCTTCCACTACCTAAGACGGGCAGTTTGTTACACGGATGCAACGGCTATAGTATTTTAGAACAAGTAAACACACAAGAGTAATGCAAGCACAGGGTGACGGAGTTGGTACATGAGTAATGCAAGCACAGGGTGACGGAGTTGCTACAAGAGTAATGCAAGCACAGGGTGACGGAGTTGCTACAAGAGTAATGCAAGCACAGGGTGACGGAGTTGCTACAAGAGTAATGCAAGCACAGGGTGACGGAGTTGCTACATGCACACTAGTGTACAATGCCACAGGACCTACCTTGGCCGTATGACTGCAAGACATTTGCCTCGACTTTCCTCAACGACTTGTCCTGGGTCACAAGATCACACTTGGTGCCGACAAGGAATAGGCGACACGACTGCAGAACACACACACAAAGTGCACCGGTGAAGATACAGGTAAAGGCCATATAAGCCACTGAAGCGCCTACGCAAACCTGGATAGTGAGTCAAGTCGCTCTTCTAACTCTACACGTATTTATGTATTTGACCTACCTAGGACACACATGTACTCGTAGTCTATACGCCTCTGCATGTTGCTGAGCGATGCCGGGCACAGACCCGTGGCAAACACACATGCACAGACACATACATGCACATGTGCACATACGCACACACATGCACACACATGCACACACACACACACACACACACACATGCACACACACACATGCACACACACACATGCACACACACACACACACACACACACACACACACACACACACACACACACACACACACACACACACACACACACACACACACACACATAGCATGCAGAACCGATGCTTAGTTTGGTCAAGTACATACATCTCCTTCACAGCTCTGTAGTTCGTCCACCCAGTACTTTGCTCGCAAGAAGCTCTCAGCCTCAGTCAGGTCTGCAGGAACAAACAGCATGTGCAGCAAACACACACACAAACCGGTTTTAAAATTTAAATACAGACACACATGCACATGTGTGCACATAACAGAACAGGTACACACATGACCAAATGGGCACCATGCAAACGCACGCCTCCTTCAGCAATTACTTGAGCTTGAAAGTGCCTGAAACTAGCTGGCCCACGTTGGATGAGCAAGTGTAGAAGTTACATGCTCATACTCTCAAGCTTGGCTACTATTCCCTGGCACTAGTAAGAACAGGACAGCAGCCGCGGTTTCGCCCCAACTGATCGTCAGCCAAGCTGGTGTATGCGCAACAAAATGCTGTGCGACAGAGTCTATACATAGACAACAGTGCAGACTGGATAAGATGACCTCGATTAAAACAACACTGCAGTGTTGCCACATCATTATACAAATATCAGTAGGGTAAAAAAATAGAATGCATCATCCGAGGGTTTTTCCCCTTGACCCCTATTCACAGCAACCCCAGTATAACGTTACACACACACACACATAAGGCACTATTACGAAAACATTCACGGTTCTGCGTGAGAATCGGACTGAGTTTTCCAATATTCCGATTTTTCACGAGACAGATGACTTCACTTAGCACCTTAGTTAGGGCGCGTTCAGACTGGCGTAAAAAACAAGCGGAATGTGAAAGTTGTCAAGGTGAATCGCTTACGTGACGTTCCCGCCAGCGTAAACACGGAAAAGGTTTCCCACCACTCTGCAGGCCAGTGGAATGCAGATTCCGGCGGCACGCGGAGCGCTTTTGATATCCTTGCAGCACATGTTCCGTCTTTTCGTTTTATTTCAGCCTCTACTCTTGCAGTCTGACTGCATGCTTTTGAGTTTTGAGTTTTGACTTCTAGACTGCCAACTAATTACTTCTCCCATCATGCCGAAATCTTTGTTCGACTCAGCAATGGAGAGGGAGTTCATGGAGCTGTACGTGGTGATTTTTGCGGGCCGCTCTGCAGGCAAAACGTTACTGCGAACGAGAAGCATACTCTGATCGCGGAGCGGATAAATGCCACCCAAGCACCAAACACTCCGGACAGACATAGTATTCTTTCCGTCGACAAGCACAAGCAAAAGCACCATGAGCCAGCATCTCAACAGACTGAATTAGTTTATTTTGATATCCAACTCAAACTTTAATAGTCAACTCAAATTTTTAAAAATGTCGAAGCTTCACATGTACTGGCCATTCCAGCGGGATACATGTGCAATGTGATTGCGATTCCCGGGATTACGCTGCAGCTTTCCGGCGGCTATTCACGCCAGACTGAACGCGCCCTTAGAGGAGAGAGCTGTGGAAACACTCATCGTGACCAGTAAGAGCAAAACATCTGGACAATCACTTCTACACCGGGCAGAATCAAAACTGGACATCTTCATGGCTGTTAACGACATGCCTAAAAAACCGGCAGGCTGCTAACATGTCGGCAGGTGTGGCAACACGGCAACAGGCTGGGATTCTACAACTGCAGTGCTGCTGAATGAAATCCGATCACGTGAGCCTAGTTTGCGCCCAGCCTCCAGCCTCTAGGTTAACATGCTCAGTCACGGTTTGCAGGTCTACTGAGGGCTGCACAGTGCCCGGCGACCCCGACGTGCCATTGGTTCGCTTGATCGGATTCATACATACTGCCAGCACAGCATTGTTGAGCCAGTACACAGTGCTACCAGCTGCTACCGGTGCACAGTGTAAATCATGGTAAATCATGAGTGCCGCCGCGAGCAGTGCCTACACATGTAATCGTGAGTGCCGCCGCGAGCAGTGCCTACACATGTAATCGTGAGTGCCGCCGCGAGCAGTGCCTACACATGTAATCGTGAGTGCCGCCGCGAGCAGTGCCTACACATGTAATCGTGAGTGCCGCGAGCAGTGCCTACACATGTAATCGTGAGTGCCGCGAGCAGTGCCTACACATGTAATCGTGAGTGCCGCCGCGAGCAGTGCCTTCACATGTACTATATGTGGGTAACTCACTGACACAGATGATGGCAGCCACAGCACCGCGGTAGTACATGCGGCTCATTGCCTGGTAACGCTCCGAACCAGCCGTGTCCTAACACATTATACACAAATACACACACGCAATCGCACACACATGCATACATGCACACACACCCACACCCACACACACACATACACACACATACACATACACATACACACACACACACACACACACACACACACACACACAAACACACACATCATAGTACACACACACACACACTCACACACACACACGCACGCACACACACACACACACACACACACACACACACACACACACACACACACACACACACACACACACACACACACACACACACACACACATGCAGTACACAATGACCCAACGATCACACGACAAAACTACCCGAAGAAAACAATGACTAAGGGGCCTTCCGTAAATACCGATATTTATTTAGAAACGAAAACTAGTCGTTTCTCTTCAACCCCCCCCCCCCCCCCCTCCCCCTCCCTGAGAAACGAACACATACAAATGGTACATAGTATCGATATTTTTGGTCTTTTTCTGGACATGCTCACGCATGCAAAATGTACATCGATATTTTTCAAGAAACGAATAGGCACTCAACCCCTTCCCTCCTAAACGTCAGTAAACGACTAATTTTCATTTCTAAATAAATACGTAGTCAAGTGGTGTGCTTCACTGTCCGAAGAGTGCTCAATGCCCATGTAGGGCAGAGCCTTGTACACAAGAGAGAGAGACTTTGGAAGCTTTGTCACAACTCCGAGTTTCACGTATCTCTACGATCATCAGGTTGCCTGATGATCGTAGAGATACGTGAAACTCGGAGTTGTGACAAAGCTTCCAAAGTCTCTCTCTTGTGTTTCTAAATAAATATCTATATTTACGGATAGCCCCTCCCTAAGGGGCCATCCGGGGTTACCGATTGTTTTTACAAAACGAAAAGTTTTAGTATTTTCCAGCCCCCACCCACCCACCCACCTTTACTGCAGGTTAAACGAATTCCAATAAAATATTGGGTCACCATCCGAGTTAAATAAAATATTGATGTCTATTTTCGACACCCAGAAGTAACTGGGTATTCCCCATCAGCATTCAATAATTATTGTACTTGGTCCGTTCCATCGCAATTGTCGCTTATCTATCGCAACTAAGAACAGGAGTTTTTTTACCGCTCTGTGAAATTTCCAATACGCATAGTGAAGAAGCATGATACAGGATTCCTGTCCGCCACAAGAAATAAATTCAGCGATGGAATCTGATGAAGCAAGTCGAAGGAAGGAAGCAAGGTTACAAAAAATGTACAAAAGAAAACAGCGACGGAGCGCCTTCTTGCACTCAGGCTTTAGTTTATCCGACTCTGGCTCTGTATGTATCACTGAGCTGATGCCACTTGAGCTCACATTCACTGGTGTGTATAGCTGCTAGTGTAGAGTACCGTATCTCTTGCTTTCTCCGCTTGGCGTATAGCAGCGACGGAAAGGAACAGTCGCGGTTGTCACTTTGGCACTTGGAGGAACGTGGGCAGCGTGACCCGTCTGTCACTACAGTACTGTGTGTTCAACAATGTTTTTGAATCAGGCACACATCCCTCTCCAGACAGCTGTCATACGCTCTGCTGGATACGCTGACCACGACTCTTGTGCTGCGCTGCCAGGTCGGACAATGTCTTCTTTGCCACCATCTCGCCATCAGTTTGCAGGCTTGCAAAGAATACCAGGTCATTGCAGTTCAAACATTGCAGTTCAAACAACTGAGCTGGCTGGCCTCGCCGTGACTGTCACGCTCTCCAGGTCAGGATGTCGATTTCCCCTGCTACAGTTCCGGTCTTTGAGCTGCGCTTGGCTTTTCGCTGCAGCGAAAAGTTTCCCACTTTTCCATCAAAATTGTATGAATCGCGATGCCACTGGCGCTAGTCGCGATGGTTTTTTTCTTTCTGGCTCCTCTGATCTTGCCATCACAACCTCCCAAACGAATGTGAGTTAGATATCGAGATAGGACTGGGTTTTACCTGTCAAAAGGTGCGTGGGAGATAAGCGACAATTGCGATGAAACGGACCAAGTAAAAACGAAACTCCACCAAACCCACCCACCCCCAAACGAAAATATTATCGGTAACCTTGGACGGCCCCTAAGTGACGATATGGCTTCTGCATGCATTAAGTTCATAGAGTACATGTAGGAAAGGGTCTGGACCAGGCCAGGGGCCGGTATCTGTGCCAGGCCAGGGGCCGGTATCTGTGCCGACTGTTCATGTGATCGCATACACCTAGGCTCTAACCAACCGCGTTCTGGTTGTAGTTATACAGGAGCACGGTTGCAGTGTGCCCTCCGCCTTGTGGCATGCAGTGCCATAGTCATACATGCATGAAATGCCACACCCTACTACCTCCAGACATACCGCACAAGTACAGCATGCTGTACTTACCCAAACACCCAACGTGACTGGTTCGCCATTGATCATTACCTTCTTTGCACCAAACGCAGCGCCGATAGTCTACGGGAAGGAAAGAGAACATCCGGCAGACAGCCAAACTGAAACTGTTACAAAGTGGGAACTGTTACATCGTCACAGTTTCATTCTATTCGGCCGGCATGATTGGCAAGAATCAAAAATGAAAGTGAGAAATAATTGCGTAAAGAAGAGGAGCCAGAAACAGCATTGGGTAGGATGCACAACAGCACATGCATAACAGCACATGCAAGAAGGAATGACAAAGGCTTCACAATTCCACCTTTTGTCAATGATTCCTTCTATTTGTATGGTGTTTATGCATGTTACCATGTTTCTTGTTGCTCCTCTTTGCAATGTTTCTATAACATCTCTAAATAAGAACACCTGGTTAACTCATTTGTCAGTTAGCTCATGAAGGCAATGTCCATCTTGGTCACGGTGCAAGGAAATGTCAACTTGTTCCATTCAAGCAGCTACTGAACATTTTCTGACGGAGAAAAAAACATACTTATTCATGATGAAACGTCAAAATTGAAATGCAGGACACAGTGCAGCACTCAGGCCTCGCTGCTCGCCTTCTAGCGTCCTACACATGACTTCAATGTTACATTGACTGTTTTTCCGCTAGGCCGCAGCCATTTGGCTTCCCGCTGACTTCTTGAAGTCACCACATTATAATACCACTTATTTTACAATTGACCAAACTACCGGTAGTACCTATTCCGCGGTCCGGGTTGCGGACATATCTACATTGGAATGTTCTAGCGTGTCGGCATACATGTAATACCAAACGCGTTTCACGACCGGCTGTGGCCCAGCACGATACAGCAATTTTTGGTATTATCCATGCCCAAATATTCTGGCCAAACAATGTATAGCCGTGGGAGGTGCAGAAACCATTTCAATTTCAACTTGTTCAAGCGAACTCGTTCATATGCACTCACGTTTTGGTATGCAATGGATTCAGCAAATCGGTCGTGTAGAAAACGCTCCACCAGGCTCGTCTTTCCTCCATACTCCTTGCCCAGCAAGACAACCTTGATGTCCACTCGGGCAGTACTCATGCTCGCTAGGTCCAGCACCGCTCAAAGCTACAACGTAGCCGCTAGCATCCCTTCCGCAAGAACTCTGGGCCCATCTTCACACTAAAAATAAAATAAACGCTCAGGTTTGAACGGAAAATAATGACACACTTTTGCCAGTGCGTTTGTGGAGAGCTACGTCTTTCTTTGAATGTTGATTTAGGACAGTCTCGCGCGCGCCAACGACACACGTAAACCATTGTAAACGTCGTTTATATAATACGTGCTGATGCTAGGCCTATTTTTTTCGTAGTCATGTGTGCTGCAGTGTCACAGTCAGTGTGCGCGTGTGGAGTGCAAGCTCGTGTCACGTCAGTTGTCAGTTTCACTCACTCTCGAGATCTCTAGATTTAGCGCTGGAGCTAAAATATAAAGAGAATACAGACTACAGTCTACAGCACTCAGTAGTAGTCAGTACATAGCCTACAACTAATACTTACAAGTAGGCGCTGCCGTCTATGTAGACTACATGACGTGTTTGTAAAATTTAAAACCAAGGTCAAGGACATGTATTATTTATGGGACCAAAAATGGTATGTGCACTCAGCTAGCTGCCAGGTAGCACCGGTACGCGGTGCAGAGCCGTACAGCCCAGTACTCAGTGTAGCACTAGCGGTAGCACAACAAGCGCAGCACGAGCTCGGAGTAAAATCACTTGTTGCTTTCCCTGTTTTGAAGCAGTCGGAAGTTACTTGGAAGGAGTTACCAAGAGTACATGAAATTTTTTTCATGTACTCTCAATGCTGCCAACCGCCCGTATTTGTCCGTATTTTTACGGAAAAAAGAAGTTTTGTCCGCAGTACGGATTTCAATCGGATATCCCGCAAACGATCATGTATATGATCAATTGCTAAAACCTTCGTAACTCCATCGTTTCTTGTGCCAATTCAACAATCGAAGGATCTACGTGGCAGCCAAAACTCCAAGCTGTCCAATGCAACACTCACGGAAGCGTTACGATATCATTCCAGAAATATAGTAGACCAAAGTTATGACCTGGTGAAGTTGAAAATTGTACTGAATTCGTAGGCTTCGCAAGTGAACTCTGTGGCTGGAAAAGTTGTACAGTATCGTTTTTTCTTCCAAACACTAAATCAGTCAAATTGTTGACCTGAAAAACGAGTACGGAAAACTCTGAAAAATTCTGCAAAATGGCACTGGGCAGTACGCATGGGGGTAGAGGACACTTGGTAACACTGTACTCTTGCCTTGGTAGTACTGGCCTGCCTTCGATCTTTATCTTTGACTTGTGAGTACATGTACCTCCGAGCTCCTGGCGCGTGAGTGAGTCACCATGGGCACCACTAGTGCCGCAGTCACTAGTGTGTACTGCGGAGACTGCGGACAACGAAAACGACGTTGGCGTTGCAACCAGTCAACAATACAATGCCAATGGTCAAGCTGTTATGGTTAGCATTCATGGTTTATGTCGAATGGTCTGGTGTCTGACACTTGTGTCAGCCAAAGGCAAAGGCGACAAGTATCGATATGACGATAGTGCAAGTACTCGCACACCTACTGGTAGACCAACCAGTCCAGTGATAAGTCCGATACAAGCAGCACAGTCATGTATAGTACAGTCACTCAGTCAGTGCTATGCCTGGCCCTGACGCCTGAGTGAGTGGTACATACAGGAAATCATGCACACGCTGATGACATAAAGCCACAAAGGACAAAAGTTCACCCATAACACAAAATACAATCAAGAAAACAATGCCGCTGAAACTGACCTCTTGATCTTGTCTACAGAACACAGTACAAACAATTACATGATTGCTCATGTATAATACAGTAGAAGACTACAGTCCATTCAGAAAAAAGATGGGCTCTGGCTCTGGCGAGCTCCCGTATTTGGCGATTTTTTCGTGATTTCATTGTACACAGTGCAGTGCTGCGAAATTAGAACTTTGAAAAAGAGTCCAAAAAGGGTACCTGAACTGGGGTTCGAACCCCACAATGCACTGTTGCAGGCAGGGTCAAACGGCCTGGATTTTGATGGTTTTTTCCAATTCAATGCTTCTGGGCAAAACCTGGCCGATATCCTATTCTTGTTATGGCTTGCTTTTTGGACAAATAGACTTCAGAAACATAATTGGAAGAGGATTCCATAGGGGATTGCAGAAAAAATTCTAAAAAAACTCAAAGTTTGACCCATTTATGGCCAAAAGCTAGAAGTCCATCTTTTTCTGAATGGACTGTAGGGAATACCTGTTGCATAGAGCTAGAGTCATTTTGATAGTGTACTGCAATCATACAGATTACAGAACAACATGGACAATCAAGGCTTGTTTGCTGCGACTTCAAGAGTATTAACCACGCTCTCGCAATCATCTGGCAACATGAAGATTGGGTGCCGACCATGCCAGTAATATGCCAGGAGAGGGTACTACAATAATATAAAATACCAAGATTGGCATGACAAGCCCTGAACTGGCCTGGGGTTATTGACTCGATCCTGCTATTACTAGTATTAGTAATACATGACCATGATGACGTAGTCTACCGAGTAGAATGATGAAAACAGGGCCTACAGTGTAGATTGTCTCGACGTCGAATGCAATGCTACTGCTGATGGCATTGCAGCACTATAAACATGACTGCACTTCAAATCAGGGATAAAGACCACTGAGATCCCGAACAGAATGATATTCCAGGTTCTGATGACTGCAATTCATGCGGTGGATCACAACCTGCTTTGCTTGTGTCTTGTCGGCTGGGACGCTTGTGTCTTGTCGGCTGGGCTGGGACGCTTGTGTCTTGTCGGCTGGGCTGGGACGCTTGTGTCTTGTCGGCTGGGCTGGGACGCTTGTGTCTTGTCGGCTGGGCTGGGACGCTTGTGTCTTGTCGGCTGGGCTGGGACGCTTGTGTCTTGTCGGCTGGGCTGGGACGCTTGTGTCTTGTCGGCTGGGCTGGGACGCTTGTGTCTTGTCGGCTGGGCTGGGACGCTTGTGTCTTGTCGGCTGGGCTGGGACGCTTGTGTCTTGTCGGCTGGGCTGGGACGCTTGTGTCTTGTCGGCTGGGCTGGGACGCTTGTGTCTTGTCGGCTGGGCTGGGACGCTTGTGTCTTGTCGGCTGGGCTGGGACGCTTGTGTCTTGTCGGCTGGGCTGGGACGCTTGTGTCTTGTCGGCTGGGCTGGGACGCTTGTGTCTTGTCGGCTGGGCTGGGACGCTTGTGTCTTGTCGGCTGGGCTGGGACGCTTGTGTCTTGTCGGCTGGGCTGGGACGCTTGTGTCTTGTCGGCTGGGCTGGGACGCTTGTGTCTTGTCGGCTGGGCTGGGACGCTTGTGTCTTGTCGGCTGGGCTGGGACGCTTGTGTCTTGTCGGCTGGGCTGGGACGCTTGTGTCTTGTCGGCTGGGCTGGGACGCTTGTGTCTTGTCGGCTGGGCTGGGACGCTTGTGTCTTGTCGGCTGGGCTGGGACGCTTGTGTCTTGTCGGCTGGGCTGGGACGCTTGTGTCTTGTCGGCTGGGCTGGGACGCTTGTGTCTTGTCGGCTGGGCTGGGACGCTTGTGTCTTGTCGGCTGGGCTGGGACGCTTGTGTCTTGTCGGCTGGGCTGGGACGCTTGTGTCTTGTCGGCTGGGCTGGGACGCTTGTGTCTTGTCGGCTGGGCTGGGACGCTTGTGTCTTGTCGGCTGGGCTGGGACGCTTGTGTCTTGTCGGCTGGGCTGGGACGCTTGTGTCTTGTCGGCTGGGCTGGGACGCTTGTGTCTTGTCGGCTGGGCTGGGACGCTTGTGTCTTGTCGGCTGGGCTGGGACGCTTGTGTCTTGTCGGCTGGGCTGGGACGCTTGTGTCTTGTCGGCTGGGCTGGGACGCTTGTGTCTTGTCGGCTGGGCTGGGACGCTTGTGTCTTGTCGGCTGGGCTGGGACGCTTGTGTCTTGTCGGCTGGGCTGGGACGCTTGTGTCTTGTCGGCTGGGCTGGGACGCTTGTGTCTTGTCGGCTGGGCTGGGACGCTTGTGTCTTGTCGGCTGGGCTGGGACGCTTGTGTCTTGTCGGCTGGGCTGGGACGCTTGTGTCTTGTCGGCTGGGCTGGGACGCTTGTGTCTTGTCGGCTGGGCTGGGACGCTTGTGTCTTGTCGGCTGGGCTGGGACGCTTGTGTCTTGTCGGCTGGGCTGGGACGCTTGTGTCTTGTCGGCTGGGCTGGGACGCTTGTGTCTTGTCGGCTGGGCTGGGACGCTTGTGTCTTGTCGGCTGGGCTGGGACGCTTGTGTCTTGTCGGCTGGGCTGGGACGCTTGTGTCTTGTCGGCTGGGCTGGGACGCTTGTGTCTTGTCGGCTGGGCTGGGACGCTTGTGTCTTGTCGGCTGGGCTGGGACGCTTGTGTCTTGTCGGCTGGGCTGGGACGCTTGTGTCTTGTCGGCTGGGCTGGGACGCTTGTGTCTTGTCGGCTGGGCTGGGACGCTTGTGTCTTGTCGGCTGGGCTGGGACGCTTGTGTCTTGTCGGCTGGGCTGGGACGCTTGTGTCTTGTCGGCTGGGCTGGGACGCTTGTGTCTTGTCGGCTGGGCTGGGACGCTTGTGTCTTGTCGGCTGGGCTGGGACGCTTGTGTCTTGTCGGCTGGGCTGGGACGCTTGTGTCTTGTCGGCTGGGCTGGGACGCTTGTGTCTTGTCGGCTGGGCTGGGACGCTTGTGTCTTGTCGGCTGGGCTGGGACGCTTGTGTCTTGTCGGCTGGGCTGGGACGCTTGTGTCTTGTCGGCTGGGCTGGGACGCTTGTGTCTTGTCGGCTGGGCTGGGACGCTTGTGTCTTGTCGGCTGGGCTGGGACGCTTGTGTCTTGTCGGCTGGGCTGGGACGCTTGTGTCTTGTCGGCTGGGCTGGGACGCTTGTGTCTTGTCGGCTGGGCTGGGACGCTTGTGTCTTGTCGGCTGGGCTGGGACGCTTGTGTCTTGTCGGCTGGGCTGGGACGCTTGTGTCTTGTCGGCTGGGCTGGGACGCTTGTGTCTTGTCGGCTGGGCTGGGACGCTTGTGTCTTGTCGGCTGGGCTGGGACGCTTGTGTCTTGTCGGCTGGGCTGGGACGCTTGTGTCTTGTCGGCTGGGCTGGGACGCTTGTGTCTTGTCGGCTGGGCTGGGACGCTTGTGTCTTGTCGGCTGGGCTGGGACGCTTGTGTCTTGTCGGCTGGGCTGGGACGCTTGTGTC